AATTTTTTTTTTTTTTGGGTGGGGGGTGGGGGGGGGGGGGGGGGTGTCGTCTTAAGAGTAGTGTATAAATGCCAATATGCTTATCATTCTGTGAAGTTTTTAGTCAATTCATTCTCATACTAGACTGCAAACGTATAACAATTCCTGAAATATTATCAGTAAACCAAAAATAAAATGTTTAATCTGCAAATACTTTAACTTACAGAAGTTTTTAATACGTATTAAAGAACGTAAGCGCTTTTGATTGGCATTCGGCAGGAATCTGGGCATAATTGAAAGTGATAATCTTATGAAAATGTCACATGAAATTTTAACATTTTTTTTATTTATCGGGTTCCTGTGCAACAGGAAAGGAAAATATTTTCCCGAAATAAAACTTTGATTTGCCAAAAAATAACTTGAAAATTGGCCAGATCTGACATTTGGTACAAACTGGTATATTTTTAAACACGTTTTTCTAAAAAAAAATTCTATCTCTGGGTCGTCTCTCCATGATTTTTAAACGGTATTTGTGTGTATTTTAATTCAAAGAAACAGGTACACATTTTTAAACAAGAGGCCCATGGGCCACATCACTCACCTGAGAAGCTTTGGCCATTCTGTACTTTACTAGATGTAAAACTTTGATTCCCCATTGTGGCCCCACCCAACCCCCGGGGGTCATGATTTGAACAATTTAGAATCTACACTATCCCAGGATGTTTCAATATAAGTTTCAGCTTTTCTGGCCCAGTGGTTCTTGAGAAGAAGATTTTCAAAGATTTTTCCTATATATTTCTATGTAGAACTTTAATTCCCCATTGTGGCCCCGCCCAATCCCCAGGGGTCATGATTTGAACAATTTAGAATCTACACTACCCCAGGATGCTTCCACATAAGTTTCAGCTTTTCTGGCACAGTGGTTCTTGAGAAGAAGATTTTCAAAGATGTTTCCTATATATTTCTATGTAAAACTTTGATTCCCCATTGTGGCCCCACCCAACCCCCGGGGGTCATGATTTGAACAATTTAGAATCTACACTATCCCAGGACGCTTTCACATAAGTTTCAGCTTTTCTGGTCCAGTGGTTCTTGAGAAGAAGATTTTCAAAGATTTTTCCTATATATTTCTATGTAAAACTTTAATTTCCCATTGTGGTCCCACCCAATCCCCGGGGGTCATGATTTGAACAATTTAGAATCTACACTATCCCAGGATGCTTCCACATAAGTTTCAGCTTTTTCTGGCACAGTGGATCTTGAGAAGAAGATTTTCAAAGATTTTTCCTATATATTTCTATGTAAAAGTTTGATTCCCCATTGTGGCCCCGCCCAATCCCCGGGGGTTATGATTTGAACAATTTAGAATCTACATTATCCCAGGATGCTTCCACATAAGTTTCAGCTTTTCTGGCCCAGTGGTTCTTGAGAAGAAGATTTTCAAAGATTTTTCCTATATATTTCTATGTAAAACTTTGATTCCCCATTGTGGCCCCGCCCAATCCCGGGGGGTCATGATTTGAACAATTTAGAATCTACACTACCCCAGGATGCTTTCACATAAATTTCAGCTTTTCTGGCCCAGTGGTTCTTGAGAAGAAGATTTTTTAACGACCCAACCCTATTTTTGTCTTTTTTTGATTATCTCCCCTTGCAAGGGGATATGTCCCTCCATTTTAACAATTTAAATTCCCCTTCACCCAAGGATGCTTTGTATCAAGTTTGGTCAAAATTGGCCCAGTGGTTCTTGAGAAGAAGTCGAAAATGTGAAAAGTTTACGGACGGACAGACAGACAGACGGACGGACGACGGACACAATGTGATCAGAAAAGCTCACTTGAGCCTTCGGCTCAGGTGAGCTAAAAATGGACAGAAGACCCAGAGACCACGAAAAATCAACTTTTCCCCAAAAAATCCAAATGTGTGAACATGGTGAATGTGGTGTTTCTTTGTCCTTTTAAAATTGTCTGTATATGTGTAGCAGTGATAGCTCAGTAAGTTGGGCTACCTGTTCAGTGCAGTTAGTAATAATAGTTTTTGCTTTGAGCCTTTCATTGGGCGTTAATTTTTTTTTCATGCAAACAACCATTTATTTTTTCAGTTTCGTTTTAATTACTTGTGTATTAAAAATTTGAATTAGATATATTTTGGTTCAGTTTGTTACTCGAGTGGAACCAATTCCAATCTTCTATTCTATAATGTACATGTACACGTATCATGCATCTATGCATAAAATTTTTTGGGTGTTCATTTTTTGTGAAATATTACTATGTTATAGTAACCCCTAGGAATAATGGACATAAATGTTACAATCTCACAAAGTCTTTCAACTTAAATGAAAAAAATACTATGGACGTGTTTGTAAAATCTGACCAGCTATGTTCAGCCAACAAATTCATGGACATTCAAACCATAAATGTTTCGTACAAATGATTCTTGCAGATCACACGCCAAATGCGCCCATCTTCTTATTACAAACAAGATGCTGAAACAAGGATATCAAAAGTAAAGTCTTGTTTTGTAAAAATCATAATTTCTAAAGTTCTTTGGTCGAAGCAATGATCTTGTCAGCTAATACAATTTATCATGAAGCGAAATGCTGACTGACGTTTTTCATAGTAATTGTTAGGTCATTTCATAATAAATTGACACAGTTCAAAATATGTTATCGTGGATTCAATTTTGGCCGATTTTACAGGGCCGCATCGTTACCCAGTTCTTAGTTTTTTAAGATAATTAAGAGGCTGAAGCCCTCATGTATGGCAAACAAAAGATGAACATTATATGAAAAATACAAAATAGCCTACGTTCAGTTTTTTTATGACTAATTAGTTCACCCATATATTAAAGACATGCTTGAAATTTATCAAAGCATTAAAAAAACTAAAATCGACCTCCTTCATAGTGTATTTGTACAGTAATGTAGCGACAACGGACCGATGACAACGTACTGAATTTTCATATCTTGGTATGACAACGGACATAAATTATAATAAATCAAAATTTTTAGTTTAAAGTTGTTCTAAATTTTTCTATAAAGTCTAATAACATGTCTTGATACTGTCTGCATCAATTGGTATGTATAAAATATTCTATTTACAAAGAATATAACATTTCAGAAGGTAAATGAATGAAATCCACGTTTGATTTCACCAGGGTTTAATATCGCCAACGCAAACTCCTCTTTTCGTACTTCATTTTAACAGCTGAAATTTATACAACACCAAAAGGGTGTCAGTCCTATTCCCCATTGCAATTTCAGACATTGGTTGAAACTATTTAACTAAAAAAAATGAAAAACTGCTCACATTCTCTCTTCTAAAGTCATGACATCGGACAGTTTTTGTCATAACCTTACCTGTATTTTCATGACAACGAGCCATTTTTATTGCTAAACTTTAAATGTTTCTGACAACGTTACTATCTTGGAACTTAACGTGTTCCTGACCGTACGTGTTATAGGTCACTTGACTTGAGTATCTCGTAACATCTTTTCAACAATTGGATTTGATTCATGTTTTAAACCGAAGGCCATGAAATTCAAAATTTTGAAAGAGGAACCATTGTTTATAATAATTATACCTTAAAATGCTTACTTTGTTTACTTAATTCCAAGAGGTAGATCTGAGTAACAAAGAGAAACTGCATTTCCACTTTATAACCGGTTGTGTACCCCACTCCACAGGAGCCACTGACCCTGGGGCTACATACATGTATTTCAAAATTTTGGAAAATTTATCATGAATTTTATTTCATCATAAAGTGTTGATAAATACCAGATTCATTTTCACTATGTACTCCCCCTCCCCTCCAAATACCTCTGACCCAGGAGCCTGGAAATTAACCATTTTGGAAAAGGCACCATCCATCATAAATATGTAGTACTTAAATCATTGGCATAATAACCTTGAGCAAAGGAAAAGATTTTCAAAGAATTCATGTATTTTCATTATATAAACATAAGAGCCCCACCCTAACACAAGAAACCCTGATCCAGGGGCCACAAAATTCACAAATCTCAAAGAAGCATCCTTACTCCTTATAACTACGTACATAGTTCATTGGTTTAATACCCAGGCTCAGAAAAGAAGATTTTCAAAGAAATAATTCTTTATCACTATATCATCTGTATAGTCTTGCCCTACCATCAGAACCCCTGACCCTGAGGCCATGAAATTCATAATTTTGGAAGAGGCAGCCTTATTCAACATAACTATGCACTTGGTTAGTTTATTCAATGCCCAGAAGCAGAGAAGAAGAATTTCAAAGAATTTATGCGTTTTCACTGTATAATCTATATAGCCCCACCCTAGCACCCCAGACCATGCATGAGGCAATGAGATTAATAATTTTGGAAGAGGCAATCTTATTCAATATAACTATGCACTTGGTAAGTTTATTTAATGCCCGGGAGCTGAGAAGAAGAATTTCAAAGATATAATACATTTTCACTATACAATCAATATAGCTCCACCCTAGCACTAGAACCCCTGACCCAGGGGCCATTGATTTTTACAATTTTGGTAGATGCAGCCTTATTCAACATATCAATGTACTTGGCTAGTTTATTTAATGCCCAGGAGCAGAGAAGAAGACTTTCAAAGAATTTATGCATTTTCACTATAAAATCTATTTAGCCCCGTCTTAGCACTAGAACCCCTGACCCTGGGGCCATGAATTTCACAATTTCGGTAGAGGACTCAATGCTGACTACAATCACAACAACAGTTTGACTGCTTGGTGTCCAGGAGTAAAGAAGAAAATTTTAGTGGTTTCAGCCCTACCCTCCAGGCCCCTGGGGTGCAGGGGCCATGAAATTCATAATTGTTGTTCCCTTTCACCTATAGATGCTCTATGCCAAATTCGATTGAAATTGGTTCAGAGGTTTCAGAGAAGAGCTGAAAATGTTCAAATGTTAAAGCACGACACATGTCGCTTGACAGACGAAAACGGATAGCAATAGGTCAACTGAGTTTACTCAGGTGACCTTAAAATATAAAGAGGAATTGTATAAAACATACCATGTTCAGTAAAGCTATGAAAAATCTTAACACGGTGAACATGGCGTAACTGCTGGCGAAGGCTGTTCCTATGCCGACAGCCCCTTGTATCCAGAGCATGCCCAGAATGATCCACTTCCTGCCAAACTTGTCAGACAGTGGCGTGAGACAGAGGGCCCCCAGTGTGTTTCCCACCATATAGATCGTGGAGGACAAATCCACCAGGAATTTATTATCACACACCAGATCCCACTGGAAGAGAAAATGTACAATTTTTTGACGGTATCGAAATGAATCATCAAAGCTCCAGCAACAGAATTTTTTTGTATGCTGTCACAATTCAATGCTAATGATTAACATTGTTATTACTCGATGACTAAAGTCATAACAGAATTCTGCTTTCATCTTCATTAAAAATAATGCTCTGTGGATTTTTAGTTTATTTTCAACTGAAATTCTGTATACCGGTATGTACCTCTGTTAATATGGTGGAATCAAATTCACTTCCATATGTCCACCCTTGATCACATGTCTTGGTTTGATTTTGGGTTGAAGATTTCATCACACATTTTTCAAAATCTCCATTTGAGTCCAGAGGAATAATGGCTGTCACTGATTCATTTACAGGCACCTGCAGGATGAGATTCAAGTTAAATTTTAAAACTCCAAGCAAGTAAGCCCTTCAACATAACTCTCACATGTACACATATTACAGATCTTGTCACAAAATGTGAGGAGTTGTTCTTCCTACACTTTGAGGAAAATATGATTCAATTTTATGAGAAGGAGAAAGTCAGTTTTAATCAGAGAATGAACTAAATTACTGAAAATGTTAATGAATGAATCAATGAATGCTCCATCCCCTTCCTTTGGAAAGTTATTACCAATGCTAATTAATTTTTGAAAATAGACTTAAATTTGAAGTCATAAGTCCACTGGGTCATGAAACAAAATCTATTTACAAAAGTTTTGTCATATGTAATATAAGAAAATCAGAAAGCTCTTTATCTTCCAATTCAAAAGTAATGACCAAGGTAAAAAGTAATGTTAATTTTTTTTTTTTTGGAAAGTAGGTCAAACTTCAAGGTTAAGGGGTCAAAGTTTATTAGGATAGGTCTTGTCAGAGGTAAATTACAAGTGAAATATGAAAGCTCTAACTTTTCTCATTCAAAAGTAATGACTAAGTTACAGGTTTTGTGAAAGAATAACAAATGGACAAATTAATGTGCAAGCAGGGGACCATTAGTCTGATGATGTCATTACCTTACAGTGATGACCCGGGTCTCCTCCCAGAAACAGAATGGCCATCACTGGCCAGGCTCCTCTCATGTAGATAAAGGACACACAAAGAAAGAACAGGACCTGAAATAGGCCAAACGGCCCAGGCTCTCCAGTATTTTATCTCCATCCATCTACAATATAAAAATAACATTCAGACAGAAGGGGACCTGGAATAGGCCAAAACAGCCCATACTCTCTAATATCCTATCTCCATCCATTTACAACATAAAAACAAAATGTGTTTGTGCAACACTATGCAGACGGAAGCAACAAAGTTAAAAAAAATGCTATTTTAAGCATATAGGTCACAGTCAAGGTCGAAGGTCATTCATCATAGTGTCATTTGAAAGAAATTAATTAGTGACTTATGCATACTAACAGTCAGTAAACCATAAAGTTTCTATCTTGTATTGTTCAAAAGTTATGGCGAAAGTTCATAAAAGCTATTATTAGCATATGTCACAGTCAAGGTCACAAGGTCATTGACCTTGCTGTCATTCGAAATAACTTAATTCATGAAGTATGCATACCAAATATGAAGTCTCTATCTTTTATGGTTCAAAAATTATGGTGGAGGTTAAAGTTAACAACAGACAGACAAACAACTAAACAGACAAACAGGACAAAAACAATTTATCGATGCGTACACATAATATATAGAAAAAAAAGGACCTGGAATAGGCCAAAATGACCAAGATTCTTCGGACTCTAAATGGTCTGTAACTTACTAATAAATCTTAAGAAGGTCGCATGTGTGGGCCAGATTGGTTCCATGACTGTTTATGGAGACTCAAGTATGTGTATCAATGAAATTCCTAAATATAAGTGGGAATTATCCAACTTTATTTTTAGCAAAGATGAAATGGGACACAGTTTTAGACACTTTAGAGTTATCATCCATGCGCCATAAAGCAGAACAAAACATAAAATTTTATTATTTTTTTTATTCATGCATACATGTATATACCTATTTGAAAAGTATATTAACAAGAGGCCTATGGGCCACATCGCTCAAATGATAAGCTTTGACCATTCGGTTCTTTACCAGATTTCCACCTTTTAATAATATTGCAACCTCACCTTACCCCACTGATCATGATTTAGACATTTTGAAATCTACAATACCCCAGCATGCTTCCATGTGCACATAAATTTAAGCTTTTTTGGCCCAGTTGTTCTTGAAAAGAAGATTTTCAAAGATTTTTCCTATATATTTCTATGTAAAACTTTGATTCCCCATTGTGGCCCCGCCCTCCCCCCCCCCCCCCCCCCCCCCCGGGTCATGATTTGAACAATTTAGAATCTACACTATCTATCCCAGGATGCTTCCACATAGGTTTCAGCTTTTCTTGCCCAGTGGTTCTTGAGAAGAAGATTTTCAAAGAATTTTCCTATATATTTCTATGTGAAACTTTGATTCCCCATTTTGGCCCTGCCCTGCTCCCGGGGGTCATGATTTGAACAATTTAGAATTTACACTACCCAAGGATGCTTCCACTTAAGTTTCAGCTTTTCTTGCCCAATGGTTCTTGAGAAGAAGATTTTTTAATGACCCCACCCTAATTTTGTCTTTTCTTGATTATCTACCCTTGTGAGGGGACTTGGCCCTTCAATTAAACAATCTAAATTTCCCTTCACCCAAGGATGTTTTGTATAAAGTTAAGGGGAGACAGGGAACATGTCACATGACTAAAAAGACATATTACGTCATAATCGGTGGTGATATACATGCTAAACGTTGTTAGAATCAACAATTCTTTTGTAATTGTATTCTAAATTCTAAAATTGTTTTTTAAACATTTTAATTTTAGAAATTATTATTAATAAAGATTTTAAAGATCTTGCCATCAATCAGATATTGTGAAGTTGCCCAATCCACACATTTGTTTCTCTTTACCCTGCGGTCTGACGTTAGTGACGTCATAGACGTAGTGTTTGAATTCTCAGTGCAGCGAGATCAAGTACACACACCCGCCATGATCAGTTTTATTTCATAATAAACAGGTCACAGTCAATGTATCATGATAAATTTCTGAAGCAGATTTTTTAAATTAATATTTTTTTGTGTTTACAAGCAGAGCTTCTCTCTATTTAGATAATTTTGAATGTATATGTTTTCGTGTGACATCACAATTGATTTCCCGCACTCGGAAAATACAAACGTGAAGCGTTTTTATCATGCCTATGTCTAATTCAACGATGTCCTGTGCGATACTGAGGTAAGCTTCACCCTGTGATTTTTATGCAGTAAATAATTACGATGAAGGACTGACATTCAATCGTAAATTTAGAAATATTTATTGACAGATTTTTTTCCAAATGAGGTTTTTGTCGTTGAAGCTACCTTGAAAAATGCAGAAATAATCCCACCCAAATACTAAATAATATTAAAACAATTGCTTTCAGATAATTTAAACACTACGAATATTCTGAAATATTTGAGTATATAGTGTTATCTATCATATTTATCGTTTGTGCATAAGAATTTGCATTATGGACTCCGTTATGGGCCCGTAAACATGATGTATCTAAACTACATACAAACTCTAAACAGGGTGGTATTTGTGGGGTGATATCTTTTAAATAAGTCAAGAAATCCCATGACAGGACCCTTTTAAAATGTTAAGTACATATTAAATTAGTTATATAAAATATACAAAAAAAATTCATTGACAGGAATTTTTTCAGCTTAAGGTCCTGTTCCTCCTTAAGTCAAATTTGGCCCAGTGGTTCTTAAGAAGAAGTCGAAAATGTGAAAAGTTCACAGACGGACAGACAGCTAGATAGACGGACGGACAGCAAGATGAATGACGGACAAAATGTGATCAGAAAAACTCACTTGAGCCTTCTGCTCAGGTGAGCTAAAAATGTATTTACTAAAGAGTCTAGGATATTACTGGACAACCCTTGTACAAATAGCAACACAAAACAGTCAGATGGATGAAGAAAGGCTACTGGTTAGGCCTAAAATAAAATTTGTTTGCAGTTGCCTACCAACCCACTGAAAATGCACCTGACCTAAACTTTTTTTTAGTCACTTTGTAATCTTTTTTTTCAAATTTTTAAGGATATTGAAAGTGTTTCATTGTCAATTTCTGTCTTTATCAATCAGTAGTTTATACCAATAGTGGGGCTTATTCATATATAGTAGGCCAATGAAAAACTTTTTATGAACCCACATTTTTTCATGGTGCATATTGTTTTTGTCCTGTCTGTCTGTTTGTCTCTTTAGCTGTTTGTCTATTTGTCTGTCTGTTGTCAACTTTAACCTTCGCCATAACTTTTGAACCATAAGAGATAGAGACTTCATATTTGGTATGCATACTCCACTAATTAAGCACTTTCAACTGACATCAAAGTGAATGACCTTTTGACCTTGACAGTGACCTTTATGCTAAAAATAGCTTTTTCCAACTTTCGCCATAACTTTTGAACCGTGAGAGATAGAGACTTTATATTTGTAATGCATACTCCACTAATTGAACACTTTCAACTTACACCAAGGACATTGACCTTGTGACCTTTATTGTGATCTATATGCTAAAAATAGATTTTTCAAACTTTCATTATAAGCCTGTGTTTTGTTTTTGTCCTTTAGTGTCTGTTTGTTTGTTGTCAACTTTAACCTTCGCCATAAAGTTTGAACCATCGGAGGTAGAGACTTTATATTTGATTTGCATACTTCACTAAAAAGTGATTTCAAACGACACCAAGGTCAATGACATTGTGGCCTTGACTGTGACCTATATGCTAAAAATAGCTTTTTCGAACTTTGTTGCCGCCGGGCACATAGTGTTTCACAAACACACCTCGTTTTGTATGTTATCTTACTAAATTCTGAAAACAATTTTTTTTCAAAAAAAAAAAATGCCGAACTACCTACTCAGTCTAAAAATTATAGGTTTGCTATTGCAAACGAAGAATTTTTTTAAGCTTGGCCTGATAAGAAAAGCTCAAATGAGCATTTGGCTCAGGTGAGGTAAAATTACTCTCAAATGATAATACATGTATTGTGTATTCCAGTGGATAGCTAAGGATAATTCAAAGTTTTCCATAAATATACATTAATATATAAGAATCAGAAGCTACTGCATGTAGTCATTAATTAGCAACTTTACCTCCTTGAGTACAATGGCAGAAATGGCAGAACAGTCGAATATCAGTAATAATGAATTTCAGATGAAGTAACCCTTCTTTTTTTAGTATTTCATATTTCACAGCAAGGTATGAATACCCAATATATCATATAAATGTATACTAATTAGCAGGTATAAAACCTGCAGTACATGCAGAATATCTTACCTTGAAAGTTGAGAATGTACACCTTCAGGTGAGTGCCTGTTGTAAAACTGATCCAAAATACCTGTACAGGTACGCTGTCATTTTTATCTCCTCCTTTTACAGCTCAATCGACCCCATTTCTTTTAACACTTGGTGCTTACATAATTTCATGCTACTTGAAAAGAACAAGAATATACAAAAAGATTTATTACTAATAAATATAATACTGTGGTAAAATATTACATGTAATTTATTTTTTGAGATAATACACGAACCTCCAACATCGGAATTAATGATATCATTTAACTCATGTCGATCTATCTTCTTTTCAATTAAAAGATTTTATTTACTAGTATTTATTTTTGGGGTCTGTTTGTCTGTCTGTTCCTTAGTTGAATAACTACAGGGTTTATTTTCATATTTGACAATATCAGATGCCACTTTTTACCCTTGTCTGCAATTGGCTCAAACACTGACCTCTTTTACTGGCTCCCATATATCAAGGTGATAAGCAAAAGAAATAGTCCCGATATTGATTTAATTCCTTATAATCCAATGTCCATGCTTATCTTTGATTTTGAGTTACATGTATATACTTAAAAAATCAGTCTAGACCTATTAGTTTTAAATTTGAAACAATCCTTCAAATATTACGATTTATACGTTATCAAAAAAATTTGGACTTGAGTCCTATGCAGAGGTGCCTAAAAGAGGTATGCACCGCAACTACGCCTTGGAGATTGATCGCTATAATACTTGGGATCCTGTCATGCATATCTACATGTGCAATTTACATCACAAAATTTTCTCCACATTGTTCTAGACTTCTCCACTTTCCATCACATCTCCCTAGCTAAGGGTTTCTGATATGCTACTCTCCTCATTATGAGGAGAGTAGCGTATCAGAAACCCTTGGCTAGCAAAGATGTTTCTATCATTGCTCAATCAACTTCCTTTCAATCCCTTATCGAGACAATTGTTAACCAACCTGTGTTTTTTAACACCTCCTTATCCTTATAACACTGTAAAACTTGTCTGACAACAAACCAATAAAATCTAACCTTTTGAATTATTTAATCATGTGTTAATGATTTACAGTGTTATTTACCTGTACATGTATTGCAATATTTTCAATTACATTAAAATGAAGATCTTTTCTTTCATTAACCTCCATTTAAAAACAGTAATTTATATATAACAGTTAACTACGATAAATATATATGTAAAAAAATTAGTAAAGGACATTTTTTTTCCAAAATGTGACCACAAAACAGCAATCCTGTTCTATGGTATGACTGAAAACAGTTCTGAGACCTTAACTTTTATATTTTTTTACTTATTAGAAATCGAAAGTCAAGCATATGCATTTCTTCACAACATTTTTATGACATGCTGTATAAAGGGTTATTTTTGCCCCGTCTTATTTTCGCCCTTTCACACTTGCAAACAATTTTGCCCCATTTTAAATTCGCCAGTCATAGTTTGGTTTGAGAAATTATACTGTATTTTTTTAATTCGCCTCGTTTTAAATTCGCCAAATGGGAGTAGGGCAAAAGGGGCAAAAACAAAATGGGGGCGAAAATTTCCCTGTCTACAGTAACTTCTAAAATTTTGATCCCATATTTTGGCTCTATCCTATCCCTAAGTGGTCATGATAATTCAATATGTAAAAAAAATTAATCAACACTACCTGAGAATCCATTTGTATAATAATATCACTACAGTATACAAAATTATTTTCACCCTTTAAAACTTACAAACCAATTTGGCCCTTTCTAAAAGTTCTAAATCAAAGCTCTATTTCAGAAATTATATTACATTGTTTCCTCATCCTACTCCTGTGGGTCATGATTTGAACAAATTTGAATCAAATTCATCTTTATATGTAACAGAATGTCATTCAAGATCCACATCACAAGTTAATTGAAATGACCCCTTCCAATGTTCATTACTTTTTAGTTATCATCCCTTAAATGAGACTGTGACCCTTCATTTAAATCAATTTACCGTAACTATATTTTTGCATAGAAGTCAGTCCGCCTATAAGTCAGTTGTACTTTTTTAAGCTTATATCAGAGGGACTGGCCCTACAAAATACCAATCTTTTTATAACTCACCTATAAGCCTGACAAAGAGTTTAGACCACTGATTAATGCCCCCCCCAAAAAACGACTTATAGGCCAGTTATATATATTGAGTAAATTCCCTTCACCAAAGACTCTGTACCAACTTTGGTTGAAAATGGCCTATTGGTTCTCAAGAAGGTTAAAATGTGAAAATTAACTAAATACAGCAAATATAACTATGATAGAAAGCAGACAATTTTCTTTCAGATTTTCAACTCAGATGAGATAAAAACCAGAAGTCTCTGTCGAGACTGTAGCTCTACTGGTTTATACTTAAAACAACGGAAGAGAAGAGAAGCACTTGGGACTTGAGACTTTAAATCAGCAATAAATAGAAAAATGATCCTTGCCACTCATCAAAATAAAAAACTATGCACAGAATTATGTATCTTAGTATAGTCTACTTGTGTGCCAAGTTATATGGAAATCGGACCAAAACTGTAGGAGGAGTAGCATTTTGATAGAATTTCTAAGAAAATTCTATTTTTAGTAACCATAGCATAACCTTTCATCGAAATCAAAAACTGATGCACAGAATTATGTATCTAAGTGTATTCTACTTGTGTGCAAAGTTATATTGAAATCGGACGAAAACAGTAGGAGGAGTAGCATTTTGAAAGAATTTCTAAGAAAATTCTATTTATAGTAACCATGGCAACACTGTTCATCGAAATCAAAAACCGATGCACAGAAATATGTATCTTAGTGTAGTCTACTTGTGTGCCAAGTTATATTGAAATCGGATCAAAACTGTAGGAGGAGTAGCATTTTGAAAGAATTTCAAAGAAAATTCAATTTTAGTAACCATAGCAACACCGTTCATCGAAATCAAAAACCGAAGCACAGAATTATGTATCTTAGTGTAGTGTACTTGTGTGCCAAGTTATATTGAAATCAGACCAAAACGGTAGGAGGAGTAGCATTTTGAAAGAATTTCTAAGAAAATTCTATTTATAGTAACCATGGCAACACCGTTCATGGAAATCAAAAACCGATGCATAGAATTATGTACCTAAGTGTAGTCTACTTGTGTGCCAAGTTATATGGAAATCGAACCAAAACTGTAGGAGGAGTAGCATATTGAAAGAATTTCTAAGAAGATTCTATTTTTAGTAACCATGGCAACACTGTTCATCAAAATCAAAAACCGATGCACAGAATTATGTATCTTAGTGTAGTCTACATGTGTGCCAAGTTATACTGAAATCATACCAAAACTGTAAGAAGAGTAGCATTTTGAAAGAATTTCTAAGAAAATTCTATATATAGTAACCATAGCAACACCGTTCATCAAAATCAAAAACCGATGCACAGAATTATGTATCTCAGTGTAGTCTACTAGTGTGCCAAGTTATATTGAAATCGGACCAAAACTATAGGAGGAGTAGCATTTTGAAAAATTGTTTACAGACAGACGGACAGCTAGACAGACGGACGGACGACGGACGCATTACTATTGCATAAGCTCTTCTGGTCTTTGACCAGTAGAGCTAAAAAACTTTGAGTCCCCCTGAAGTCCAAAGAAATTCTAAAGATAAATTCATCTCAGATCTTCCTGATATTGAGGTTATTTTGAGAAGTCTTCAAAGTACGACGGACGTTCAATAAATAATGTCATTAGCTCGATGACATACAACATAGCAGTCATATGACATTAAGCTAGACTTTCTCTCATTATTGAATCTTTAATGAATTGATAACAGTTTATGTAACCACTTTTCATAACACAGTTTCATCATGAGAAGCTGGGAAACAAGGGCTATTCAAGACACTGCATTATAAATGAATGGTAAAGAATCAGTAGAGTGAAAATAAAAGCTTCATTAAAGCTGCTGTAAAACTTGTTAAAAATCCAAAAGAAATTTTCACTGAAATATGTGACATTTACATCAACCATTGCCTGTTTTATAGACAAATAAGCAATTGGATTTCAAACATAAACCAGAAGTCTCTGTCGAGACTGTAGCTCTACTGGTTTATACTTAAAAAAAGGAAGAGAAAAGTAGCAGTTTGGACTTGAGACTTCAAAACAGCAATTAATAGAAAAATGATCCTTGTCACTCATCAAAATAAAAATCGATGCACAGAATAATGTATCTTAGTATAGTCTTTTTGTGTGCCAAGTTATATGGAAATTTGACCAAAACTGTAGGAGGAGAAGCAATTTGAAAGAATTTCACAGAAATTTCTATTTTTAGTAGCCATGGCACCACCGTTCATCAAAATCAAAAACTGATGCACAGAATTATGTATCTTAGTGTAGTCTACTAGTGTGCCAAGTTATATTGAAATCGGACCAAAACTATAGGAGGAGTAGCATTTTGAAAAATTGTTTACAGACAGACGGACAGACAGACAGACGGACGGACGACGGACGCATTACTATTGCATAAGCTCTTCTGGTCTTTGACCAGTAGAGCTAAAAAACTTTGAGTCCCCCTGAAGTCCAAAGAAATTCTAAAGATAAATTCATCTCAGATCTTCCTGATATTGAGGTTATTTTGAGAAGTCTTCAAAGTACGACGGACGTTCAATAAATAATGTCATTAGCTCGATGACATACAACATAGCAGTCATATGACATTAAGCTAGACTTTCTCTCATTATTGAATCTTTAATGAATTGATAACAGTTTATGTAACCACTTTTCATAACACAGTTTCATCATGAGAAGCTGGGAAACAAGGGCTATTCAAGACACTGCATTATAAATGAATGGTAAAGAATCAGTAGAGTGAAAATAAAAGCTTCATTAAAGCTGCTGTAAAACTTGTTAAAAATCCCATAGAAATTTTCACTGAAATATGTGACATTTACATCAACCATTGCCTGTTTTATAGACAAATAAGCAATTGGATTTCAAACATAAACCAGAAGTCTCTGTCGAGACTGTAGCTCTACTGGTTTATACTTAAAAAAAGGAAGAGAAAAGTAGCAGTTTGGACTTGAGACTTCAAAACAGCAATTAATAGAAAAATGATCCTTGTCACTCATCAAAATAAAAATCGATGCACAGAATAATGTATCTTAGTATAGTCTTTTTGTGTGCCAAGTTATATGGAAATTTGACCAAAACTGTAGGAGGAGAAGCAATTTGAAAGAATTTCACAGAAATTTCTATTTTTAGTAGCCATGGCACCACCGTTCATCAAAATCAAAAACTGATGCACAGAATTATGTATCTTAGTGTAGTCTACTTGTGTGCCAAGTTATATTGAAATCGGACCAAAACTGTAGGAGGAGTAGCATTTTGAAAGAATTTCACAGAAATTTCTATTTTTAGTAACCATGGCAACACCGTTCATCGAAATAAAAACCGATGCACAGAATTATGTATCTTAGTGTAGTCTACTTATGTGCCAAGTTATATTGAAATCGGACCAAAACTGTACGAGGAGTAGCATTTCGAAAAATTGTTTACAGACAGACAGACAGACGGACAGACGGACAGACAGACAGACGGACGGACGACGGACGCATTACTTTCGCATAAGCTCTACTGGTCTCTGACCAGTAGAGCTAAAAATTATATAAAGGGCATCAAAAATAGGTACCGTCCTTGTCAACACAAATTACATGTATATCAACTTGTGCTTAATTTCAACAAATAATATCTGATGATGTATGACTGACTTTAAGACACACAACAAATTTGATAGACATCATAGCAGGAGTGGTTTACAATGTTTTTAAGAAACGTTTGATGGTAAAAAAGCTTGGTACTCAAAGATCACCCTATATTTTGAACAATGAGTGAAAACGACAGCGTGTACGAAAGTCTTAACAATTATTTTAAAATATCAGTTATTGTAGTTATCCACTTTTGTTTGATATTCAAACAGGTAATGGAACATGAATCTATTGCTTAAAATCCTCAAAACAAAATTTACCATAAGATGTACTTGATAAAAACAGCAATGGTCCGACAAGAGCAAATGTATGCAAGAGCACAAAGACAGATTTATATGCAATTTTCTTAAATATTAGTGAAACTGTTGTTCAATTTCGTATTCGGGGAGACAGTTTAATTTCTGGAGGAGTCTACAGAGTATTTTTTTGCAAAAAAATCGAAAGGTTTATTAGAGGAAGGACCTAGATAAAAAGGAAGTTAATGTTTTTTCACACAATATTCGCCAGATTTTTTACCTTCTGACTTTTTTATATTTCCAAACTTGAAAAACCACCTTTCAGAAAGAAGAAACATGTCAAGGAAATCATTGGATCTGCCATTTTCCAGTATACTATTAAAGGGTCATACCCAAAAATGAGTTCTAAAAACAATCATAATTTAGATATAAAATTAAAAAAAAAATTACGAACATCTGTTTTATTCAAAAGAGATTAATAAGTAAAATCATGAAGATTAAATCACTGAAAAGTGTCTTTTGCTTCTTTCCTAGCCCTGATGAAATTATTTATATAAACGTCCCTCGTATAAGAAACTGTAGCCATAATCAAGCCCTTTTGAAACTTTTTTTATGACACCACCAACAGTAGACCCTGTTTATACTTCCTGTTAGCTTGTCTTTGCTTGTCATCATCTAGATCTGTGTGCATCAGTTATACTAGACACTTTAACAATCAACATCCTGTTCATATCTAAGCTATCCTGACTCTTTTTATGAGCAACAAATGTTGTCACTTTCAATGATATTATAAAAAGGAATAACTTCTCAAGTGTGATATATTCATTTCTTTGAATTACAGTGGAGAAATTTTAACACTAGTTTTACAATGCATGCATTTTACATTAGATAAAAGGTTTAATCAATTAGCAGGAATGCAGGATAGAAATATAAGCAGCATTTATAAATAATCTTAATCATAAAAAAAATAAAATCCCAGAAAACTTTCCTCTCTCTCTTTTTTTTTTAAATTTATGGTACCGACGCATCTGACATGAGTAAATTCATAATTTAAAAAATGCAAGTTTACCTTCAACAATTCAACCATTTCACCGAAACATCCTAAATCCACAATGAAAATGGGCCTCTCGTACTCTACGTCTGTATTTATTACATTCCAACGAAAAGATGATGTAAATGATTTGCATAAAAATGTCATTAAAAAGCTAACGTATGCAATGCACGTTTAGTCTTAAATCAGCCGTTGTACTGCTCAAGGACAAACAGACACCGAACAGATTAATGAATAAAAAAATATACGGATAAATAAGTATACCAACCAAAAGTTTTCGAACTGCCCCCTTAAATGCTGCTTAAAATAGTAATTCTAGATAACAGAACACATTGGTGGACGACAGTAGACACGTCTTTTTGTATTGATGCAACATGTGCGTATCATCTGAAATCTACTTTCACTTTACACTATTATACATGCAATCGTTCCTTGAATGGTTCGTCTTTAATTTTTTTTAAAAGGCAATGAAATTCTACGACATCCATGTATGTACATAAAAATCAAAATTAAAAAGCCGAAAAAAATTAGAAAACTTAGAATCTTAAAATCTGATGGACGGTGGACCTAACTTCAAATATTGAAAGACATACAATTTAATGCTATGAAATTTAAGACATCGAAATATCGAACACGCCTTTGTACATGGACATGTCGTTTTATTAGTAAAAAAAAATTATACTGATGGAAAAACCAAACGTTAAATATATATAATACCCCAAAGACAAACACAGTTTCACATATTTTTGCAAGGCAGGATATATAAATTAATTTTTTTTAATGTCGTAATAAATAAAAAATGTTTAGCGATATCTCAGTAAATATTGCCGTTTATTTTACACTTCCCGCCATCAACTTCCAAAGGCGGATCCAGGGCTCCGCCCCTCCCCGTTTGATTTTTTTGTAATTAAAACTTATACGTCCATTATCCTAAAATCAAGGAAAAAAACATCAGATCTGTTATTTGCAAGAACTTAAGCTACCGGACCCCCGAACAGGACCTTGTCTTTGACCCACTGGGGGTCTCGGTATTGCCACTGACCAGACTGCATGCATACACTGAGCATTCCTTGACTTTGACTAACTGATTTTAGCGTCAATGTCGAAGAATGCTCAGTGTATGCACAGTGACATGAGAATGTATTCGTACACCCGTGTTTCGGTTGTATTATACATGTATATTGTAGTCAACATTTCTATCGAAAATTTTCCCTTCATATCGATACTCCAACATTTGCCGGTGGAGGACTTCAAATTTAGACAACATAGGCGTCTGAAAGGGGGGGCTTAGCCTCTCCCCTCACTCTTTTGCAAATAAAGATATTATATATACGCATTCAGAATTGAGGTTACATTACCTTTTTTGTTTATAGTTTAGCCCCCGCCCCCTTTCAATTGCCTTCCGACGCCTATGCAATATGAGCGACGGAACCAGTAGTTTCTCAGGTGGGCGCAGTAGAAAGTCATGGGTCTGTGGGGCTGCATGGAAGCCCATATATAGTGGGTCCTTTGTCCTGGTGGGGTTTTATGGGCAAATTTTAAGCCCTTGGAAAAATGATGAAATTCTAGAAGTGTTTTTTCCTTCTATTATATAATAGTACAAAAAAAAATCAAAAGAGAAATTCAAACGGGAGGTCTTACGCCCTAGATCCGCCTTTGAATACTTGCCACTCATTTTTATATGCTCTGTTTAATAATCATACAGGTAATATGCCCGAAAGGGCCCTGATCTGGAATGAATATATTCTATTCTATTATAATCCATGTAATCCGAAATACCCGAAGTTTTCCAGGCTTTTTCACGATTTTGATATTTTACGTGCCTGGAAACATAGGAAAACTGCTCCGTCAGATATTACGGACTAGGCTTATAAGTGGTCTCAACCGATAGACCGATCTTCACCTCCCGCAGTTGGATTTGAACCCACGACGTAAAGACCAACTCAAAAATCGAGTTATCATCAGAAAACCAAGATACGATGTTTGACCCTAACCTTTTTACACGCCTGCTAATCGATCAATTGCACAACCAGCAGTTGTGTATAACAATCAAAAGAGATCGATTTCCGGTTGTGCATTAGATGCGAATAATTCCAGTACAAAGGTAGTAAATGGACCCGATTCAGGCAATAATTGATATTTTTATTAAAATATAAGAATGTGATTCCATGAGAAATTTATTTTCCTTTAATGTTACACTCTCATAAAATGCAGTGATTGTCGATTAGCCACGATATTTATTTTGAAGCAAGGGCTGGTAAAAATAGTATTCGCCGACTAAAATTCGTTTTAATCTCAACTAACCTTGAAAATTCAATGTCCACCATGAGTAAGCTACAAGGGCGTTTTATCCACCAAAATTGGGACTTCGATAGGTGTATAATTTGACAAATATTCGAAGAAAAAAACATTCGAAGAAAATAACATTGCTTATGCATGCGATCATTCAGTTGTGAAAGAGATCTTGGGTTATGCATGAGATGATTCATGACGGACAAAAAGTTTCAAACTGTATGAATAAAATTAAACATTATATAATTATAACGTAGTCTTGCAAAATTAAAAAAAAATAAAATTATAGGATTTTCTTGCAAATAAGTTGAATTTGTGAGAAAAAAAGATATATAAGATATGTAAACTGTTGAAGTAGATCTGTTAGGGGATGGGGTTAAAGTTTCAGTTACAATCAATATATATGTAATTACATTTAAAAAAAATTGTGTGTGTCATTTAGATCATAAATTTTGTGTGAATTACCCAATGCATCTTTAATATGACTATTCCGTATGCAAAAAAAGAGATAAAATAAAATTAATAAAAAAAAAAAAAACAGCATACCCGGTATATATCGACTTCTCTCAGTACGAAATTGTTTAACTCAAACATAACTCAAACATAACTCAAACATACCTTACCTTTATTTGACGGTACTGCAACAAAAGTGGAGGGAAATACCGAATTTTTCATATTTTCATTTCATAAATATATCCGTAAATCTGGAAATTTTTACGTCGATATTATTTTGCGAATTTGGGTCAAAATGCTGTTGATTAATTTTTACGTTTCAAAACTTTGCGAATGACCACTGCTTTGTTTCTATTTTCTTTTGGTGATTTATTTTTAAGAAAAATATTTTTGCGAATGCAATGAACTCGCAAATTTGCTAAAAATTTATCTATAGCAAAAATTTCCAGATTTACGGGTATATAGTAAAAGTGTTGTATGTGAAAAAATAAGAGGCAGGTTCTTGATGATATGTGTTTGCCATGGGATAAATATTTCCTGGTGGTTTGAATCTCGGTATCCTGAATTTTTTTATCGAGATGGAAAGGATCAATATGACAACGCCACATTACAGGTGCTTGTGGACAGGAACCCCCCCCCCCCCCCCGATATTCACTCCCAGACTTGTTGGACACTTTTTTTTCTCACAAATTATATATATTACATTTATTCATCATGTATACCATAGGGGAAAAATCGTTAAAAACCAAAAATAATCGTTCAATAACTATTAAACATTCCAAATAAAATTGATGCAAAGCATCAAATCGGCCGCAAAGTTTATAATTTCAAAAATTACTAGTACTTTCTTAATTTCAAAAGCATCAATGAGTCATCAATGAATCAATAAAAAAGTCAATTATGAATGATATGAGTGTATGAATGAAGATGTAGACCTCTCAAGATGAACCACATGCTGAAACCCTGGATCTTTGTCTGACACGTGATAATACCCATGGTTTCGTCAGAATAGGCTACTCAAGGATCGTAGTATGATGGAAAAAATGTAAGAAAAATCTTTGTTGTCACATCTGTAGCACATTTAAAACAAGTTTTACTACTGTGTTGTTGAAAAACTTTTTATTCATCTTGCAACTTTTACCACTTCATTTAATATTATCCGGAAAATCATAACGATTTCCTTTCATATCTTGAACACTCCCTGGTTGGGGAGTACTTATTGTACAAACTCTTTCTATATAACCATATCTTATTTATTACCCAATTAGAAATGACAATGAAATTGAAACAACAACAATAAACGCTCAGTTTAAAGCAAATTTTTTAAATTAAGATTATATACTTTACAGAACTAATGAAAAATACTTCCCTATAAAAGAGATCGGCCGCTGCTGCTGAAAAAAGTCAAAATGTGCCTGCAAAATTTGACTGAATATCATTGGCGGATCTAGAAGGCGGTTCCTGGGGTTGGAACCCCCCCCCCCCCCCTTGATTTTTGCACACACACAGAGAGAGAGAGAGAGATATGTAACATGGATATTTTATTACGAATAAAATAAATACTTTGAATAAAAAAAATATTTCGAATAAAATAAAAACACTGTACATGTTGTTCAATCTCTGTCCTTTCTGATCGTTATAAATAGAGTTCCCTCGTTTAATATGCTTTCCTCCGAGTACCGTCACAATCCCAGACCTGGGTGGACTACCAACACGTCCTATGCAAAGTTTCACTTTGAAACCAGTGAAAGATCCCAGCGAATTATAGCTACATATTTATCTACTGCTTGCTTGTTTGTGTTTTCTTTGTTTGTTTGTTTTTTGCGTGTCAAAGTCCCCCATAGAACTGTTGAAAACTCAGTGTTACCAGGTTTGAAGTGCCTATATGCATGAGTGTTGGACACTTGGACCCCCCCCCCTTTTATTTCAAAAATTGCTGGATCTGCCACTGCAACATCTTCATATTATAGTCAATATTTAAAATTTTATAATTAACCAAAATAAAATAGTATAAGAGGTGAATTATGAAGATTGTATAATACTTTCGTAACTTTTTATCCTTTATCTCCTGCATAACCCGAGATCTCTTTCACAACTGAATGATCGCATGCATAATCAATGTTATTTTCTTCGAATATTTGTCAAATTATACACCTATCGAAGTCCCAATTTTGGTGGATATGATGCATTTGTAGCATACTCATGGTGGACATTGAATTTTCAAGGTTAGTTGAGATTAAAACGAATTTTAGTCGGCGAATACTATTTTCAATCAGCGTTTTCGCTCTACCAGCGCTTGCTTCGAAACAAATATCGTCGCTAATCGACAATAACTGCATTTTATGAGACTATAACATTAAAGGAAAATAAATTTCTCATGGAATCACATTCTTATAATATATTTTAATAAAAATATCAATTATTGTCTGAATCGGGTCCATTTACTACCTGTGTACTGGAATTATTCGCATCTAATGCACAACCGGAAATCGATCTCTTTTGATTGTTATACACAACTGCTGGTTGTGCAATTGATCGATTTGCAGGCGTGCCTAATAACTACTCAAAAGTAACATTTTCTGTTAGGTCAGGTTTGCAAAAAAGATAACAGACAGACCGACAAACTTTTATCACTGTAAGAGGAGTTAACGGACAAACAATACTTTCAACAAATATTTAATAAAAACTGTCCATGTAAGACGTGATTTTGTTACAATGAAAAATCGTGCATAAATACTAAAATAGTTATTATCACAGCACTTATTCAACTTGATAGTCAAGGACTGCATCACAACCTACAACAGAAAGATTTTTGATAATTATAATATGTAATTTTTTTTCTTTTTTGTAACTTATAATACATTCATGTTACAAGTTCTATGTAAATTATTTTTATTAATTCAGCAGTCGGTGACAATACCTGATGGCGCGTCGCCGACGCCTCCTTCCAAAACCGGATTGCCCTTGACTCATCGACTGTTGTCCAAATCCTCCAGACATACTTGGACTCCCTAATCCCATGCCTCCCCCCAATCCCATTCCTCCACCTAATCCCATACCGCCACCCAATCCCATATCCATCCCACCCAGTCCCTGGCCACCCATCCCACTGAGACCTTGACCGCCCATCCCACCAAGTCCCGACCCCCCAAACCCTAGTCCAGCTCCACCCATATCAGGAGCTCCCGGCATTCCACCGAACCCTCCCTGCATCCCGCCAGCGCCCCCTGTCGGTGGAAACCCTGACATGAACATCATGGACATGTCGTTGGCGTTGATTCCACCAAAAGATCCGCCAAACATGGGGCTGTATGAAGGTTCTTTCTTCTTGCGACCAAATAAACCTCCCAGTCCGAGCTTATCACCAAATCCACCAAGCATGCCTAATCCGAAAATGGCGGGTGCTGCATACGCTACAAAACAGAAAGAGAGGTTTAAAGAATGTTCATTGCTTCAATATTGCATTATACCTTTGACATTTAAAACTGGCCGTAGGAACCGAGGTGGGTGCAAGGAAGGGGGAGGGGGGCGTGTGCCCAAAAAAGATTTGCCAATGTATAGAATACTATTGAAATTCTAAAAAATATTTACTCGTTGCTTGTCTCCACATTAATAAAGTTGAATGTCTTCCCACTGTCCATGAATTTTTTGTCCCCCCCCCCCAACTGAAAATATATGGTTGTGCCCGCCAGTATTGTTACTTACCTATAAACGGAAGCGCTGCCGAGGATAACGGAATGATTGTGAACACGACACATATAGTCAGCAATATTTGGTCTATCTTCATCTGAAATAAGGAAAAATATGTACTTGTATGTATATATCTAGGTCTAGAAACTTTATCTAAAAGAAGCTGTCCTAAATAATCAAAATGAAACTTTTTATGCCCTAGTATTGGCCAGTAATCGAAGATTTGGGGGTACATGTACTTGTATATAGTTTTTGTCCTGACCGCCCGTCTGCCTTTCTGATAATTAATCTGTCCGCAAAAACTTTAACCTTGCTCAAAACTTTGGATTGGTGTGAGCTATACTTGGCTTTAATGTTTCACAAGTTTCTTGTTACAAGACCTTTAATTTCTTTGATAAAAATAGTTGACCTCTTGAAGTTTGACCCAATTATGCAATTAGTTTTTTATGACTTAAAGTTTGCATTTAATGCATCTTATTTACACAGAAATTTAAAATTATTGCGTATTTCAGTATCGGTAAGTTGCAGTTTTAACTGCGGGAGGTTACGTTTGGAAAAAAAAAAGTGGGGAGACAAACAGACAGACAGGGCGGAGACTATGTACCCCGCATCTTCAAATACGTGGGCATATCAACACCGGTAACAGATCTGATCGACTATTAAAGAGACTGGGGTGGCAGCCATTTTTAGACTATTTCAATCTCCTTTAAAAGGAGAGCTCCATATAAAGATATACAAAAATGATCAAATTTTAAACCTTAAATGTATGATTTTTTCTTTGTAAAATGATAGTTGACAGCTAAAGATACCGTATCTAAAAAAATAAGTTAAATCTGTTGGTTAATTTTGGATTAATTTGTTGACCACCCAGCCTCCTAAAATTTACCGGTATTATGGAGTATGGACATCATGACCTTTTCAACTTTTAGGCCTACTTGCTAGTCTTAGTACAAAACGAACATCGATGAATCATTTCACCCAAGATGCCTCATTATCACCATGCACCAATCAGAACTTAGCGTTAGCGGTTTTATCCGAGTGATTAACCAATCGGTTAACGTGTTAACTGGTGTTACTGCTTTATCTATATATCGCTACAATAACCGTTAATAACGGTCGGTAACACGGCGATAATAGCTTCCGTCTCTCTATAGATACGGTAAAACACGCTTATGACAAAATATTGTATACATCAGTCGATAATCTCTGTATTTCTATTTTGCAATATTATATGTATCTGTAAATGTTTTCACTTTGTTACACAAGTGTGTACAAAGCAAACTAGTAGAAGTTCGGTAGAACAAATATGACAAAATTAATAAGATCTTCTTGAATCTTTACCATACCAAAATAAAATTTTCCTTTCTGGAAGGAGAAGATACATGAACTTTATTGCATTTCTACTAATTATTTTCTATATCAATATTTGTATATAAAGTGTGATTTTTAACCTTCGCCAAACTCTTTCCAAAAAATTAAAACAAAATACTTAGTAAACAAACAAAGTCGAAATGTACAGTTTTTTTTTTTAATTCAATCGCAGAATTTATATTTTTTTTTAAATAAAAGATATTATATGGATAATTCGTCGCTTAATTTATTTTTAAAATAATACTAATGCAGGCACGTAGCAACCGGGGGGGGGGGGGGGCTGCCCCCCCCCCCACTTTTTTCGCCAACATTACCTTCAGTATAGAAAATGTCCATTGAAAAGATGGTTGCCCCCCCCCCCCCCCACTTTTTACCACTGTATATTCATTACCCCCCCCCCCTCCCTACTCCAGCATGCTAGAGGTTCACGGCGAGATACTTTTGACTTGGCGCGGCGTGTATAAAAGGAGCGAAGGGACGTTAACCGAGGCTCTTACTTGGAGGAGTTTTTTTTGCTTGTCAACTTTTTTTAGGTAAGTAAAAAAAAAATTCTCAGGTTGCCCCCCCCCCAACTTTCAAAAACGATGCTACGTGCCTGCTAATGGGAAAATTAGTACCTTTACTTTGACAGTGTTCTCAAGAATTTTGTGTTTAATAATTCTTAATATTTGTAAATTAATGTCATAATAACATATACCCCCATTTTGGGGGTTTTTTAACGGTGGAAGATGGCAAACTTTATAGAAGTTTTCTATTCCGTATTACATGTATAACAATAAAAGAAGTCACAATTGCTAAGAACAGGAAGAATCATAAATCACTTATAAAATCCAATTTAAAGTAAAAAAAAAAAAAAAAAAGAAACTTAATAAATTCCCACACATGTATACAAAATAACGGTAAAATAAAATTCAATAAAAAAAAGTTTTAGGAAACGTTTTAAGAAATAAATATTCATTTACCTTTGTTTTTGGAAACACGTTGTACGTCTTCCAGGAAGTTTCAAATATATCTATCTTTCTGATTGCTCTCTGATGGTCACTAATGAATGCTGGGGGCTGACCTTTGCGGACCGTAATACATGGGGCCCCGGGACAGAACACGTAACGGACCACGAGAGGAAATAACATCTAAGAATGGGCATATATTCATTGACCAATCTACTGACTTTACTGTTTCGCAACGAAGGGAACTAATATTAACATTTCATAATTTGTAAACACGTACAGATATCTCCTTAAAATTGTTTTCTTTTGTTTCCCGTATCCCTATTCGGTGTCTATACGAACGTTAAAAACGTAGGGAAGGGGTTGCAAAGCCCAATCATTAATTTAGTACATGTACTTAATTAATATATATAGTATATATTTATAAATAAATTTAAAATAAATATAATTTATATTAATTTATATAATATATAGAATATATAAATATAATTTATTTATAATAAAATTTCAAATTAAATTATTAACAGGAATAGTTTTAAAAGGGTGAGATAATACGAAAAGGAGATGTGCGAACAAGGCAGGCAAAATGGCCGACCATATAGCTTTACACATGTTAAATATTAAAAAAGAAAATCGTACTCAATTTGTGAATTTAGTATTTAAAGAGTGAAGTTCTTATCACTGAAAGGTATGAAATGAAATGATGACAAGCAAATTTTTCGGAAAATTCTCTCAGCAAAAATCATTTTTTTTTTTGGTAAAAAAATGGTTTTCCTCGATCCTTCTTTGGTGGGTGTATTCTATTTCAAAGACAAATAATCTTATTGCTGCGAATATTGCAGATTGTTGAGAAAGATTACGTTAATGTTAAGAAATTTTTGCCACCATTGAGATGAATTTTCACTTTCTTATTTGTCGCTCAGTGGGCATTTTGCTCACCTTATTCGCCCACCTTCTTATCAATACCAATATTATACGTGAAGTATGTCAAAGAAAAAAAAGAAAAAAAAACACTATCTCCGACCAAATCATCACATTCTAAAGGATTTTTTCAGCATTAAGCTTTTAAAAAAAAAATATATATATATATATATATATATATATATATATATATATATATATAATATATATATATATATATATATATATATATATATATATATATATATAACCAGTGAGGATTCACCCCCTTTTTTTCCTTACCCACGCATTATTCACGCAATATTCAGTTGAATTGATTTTTGGTAAATGGCGATTTGCTCACAAATTTACACTGGAACAAGGAAGCCCTATTTAGTTCTCTATTATCACAATTTACCTCATTTTAGCCTGATGTTCAACAAAGACACGGCGGTGATATTTTCTTCTTAAAGGTACGTGTACGATTTACAAACGTAAAAGAAGTTCAAATGTTTAAATATAAAATACCAACTTAAAATTATAATCCAGAAAATGTCCAATTCATACTAGTATGTTATAAGAAATCGAACGGCCAGAGAATTAATTTAAAAATATCAATATAATCCAAAACGTAATATTTGAAATATTAAGTATCCATTTAGTTTAATTCAAATGCAATTTCCTCCAGAAAATGTCACAATTATTTTCAAACAAAATCAATAATATATATATCAAATATATCCTTTTAAAGTGATGCAAACGATGTATGCTCATAGTTCGATGAAGAAAAATAATAGAATAATAGATATGTATTTGTTTAAAGTTACGATAAGTCTAAAATTCTTTTAAAATATTAAATATCCAAAACTCGCAAAAAAAGGATAATAAATTACGGTTTGGCAAGGCCGACCTCTCAAAACAACACCTTTTGAAAGGGCTGCATTTCATTTCCAGAATTTTTTGTAATTATCAACTTTTCATTTCCGACATTTTTTTGTTTTCATTTCCGACATTTTTTTGTTTTCATTTCCGACATTTTTCAAATACATATGCAGTACCTTTAGTAACAGCATTTGATAACTTGACTTATGAAAAACTTTATTCGGTAATATTTACATCCACTGAATATTTTCTTCTTTATTTCTTAAGAAAACCCATTGCGTTCATCCCTGCATAAACTACATTAGGCATATCACCTGTACAGATTTCTTGATCAGTGGCCATTCCATCAATGAAACGTACAAAGACGTTCGCATCATTAACACAATAACTAATATTTTTAATCCTCCTTAAAATGATAATTTAAACAGATATAAATATAAACAATAAAATGTCTTTCTTTGTTTGTTGTTACTGGAATGAACGGTCGCAGCTATTGCAGAAAAAATTTACATAACCCGCTTACGCGGGTTATGTATTTTTTCTGCAACAGCTGCTTCCGTTCATTCCAGTAACAACAAACAAAGAAAGCATTTTATTGTTTAAATAATCAATATTTGCCCCCAAAATCAAACTTTGATGGAGATATATCTAATTAAGTTCATAAACAGGGGAGTATATGCTGACTTCAAAGCACTGAATATTTTCATTAGTAATGACGCCATATGTATGTAATGACGTCACAAACATGACGTAAATTTCAGTTTTTATGAATTTTACAGAAAAATGTGCATATTTCGTCGATATTTTGAGTAAAAGTCACCGAGCGCATGTGTGTTCAGGATCAATATTTTGATATAATGTGTAGAATGATAATATCAATGAAATATGTCAATATTGTTCCTGAACAAAATTGCGCTCTATAAATTTTAAAGCTAAAATTGTTGAAATTGTGTCCATTTTGTCCTCTTTCTGAAAAAGGATATAAAATCGGACTAGTTTATGACGTCATAAAAACAAAAATTGTGAATACACTGCTTTGACACTATAATATTTTCTGTTAATTAATATTTCTCATACAATTTATTGAATTCAGCATATTTCAGGAACTTTTCAAAATCTGACTTTTGTGGGGGCAAATATATGCAATATACCGCATATAGTTCTTTAAAGGAATAAATCATAAATAAATCATTGAAATCCAATTTTGTAAATCTATCAGTGACTTGGACATAAGTATGGTGCTGTCACTGACATTTAATTTAGTGCACATTAAATGTGGTGAAAAAGTTTAATGCTCATTGAACTCTTTTACCTAGACTTAGTGCTACATGTATGCACATATGTATAACTGTTTTTCTATTTTTTATTAATATTTTGGTATAAATACTTTTAAAATTCCATTTTCTTTTACTTAGAAAACATTAAATTGCCGCACAGGTAAATTCCGGAAATGGACAAAAAAATTATGTCGGAAATGAAAACAAAAAATGTCGGAAATGAAATTAAAAAAAAATGGAAATGCTATGCATATTTCCGGAAATGAGATGCAGCGTTTGAAAGTTAATGGGTCACCGAAACTAAGCTTTGCCCAGCCATCAATGCTAATAAAACTTTACAATACTTCTATTGCTGCACTTACAACGCATTTTGAAAAATTACGCACTTTGAACAATTTTTTCAAAGTGCGTTAAAATTTGGGACCAAACTAACGCACTTTGAAAAAATAATTTTTATGCAAATTGCGTTAATATCGACCATATTAACGGACTTTGAGAAAAAATGTAAAGATTGATTAATATTCCTTCAAATAATCGGTATGATGTATAACAGATCCTGGTTTGATAATTTTTTTTATGATAACGTCACTGTAGGACCAGATATATTGACGTTTTAAGGTTTTGATAAAATAAAAGGGTCATGAAAAAAAGAGTGACGATTGTTTAAGTTCATTAATTCGTTTCTTCTTTTTTTTAATTTTAGTCTTCGATAAGTAGATGTAAAGGTGTATAGGGGGCACTTACAGAGGACAGCTTCAAGCAACTTAGCATTTATCATAATAAAAAGGGGTCAATTTGATTGTTCAAAACTATGAAAATTCGTTCTCTCTACGTTTTACTGTACTTAAAAATTTCTAGTTTTCATCTGTTTTAATTAACTCATTTATTATTGAAAGTTTTCAACGTCATACCAGTTAGGTAAATACATAATTATATGAATGCTTTGAGTATAGCATAGACATCGAGACTGGGCGAAGGGCCAGGGGAGGGGATGGGGGGGGGGGGGGGTAAGCCCCCCACTTATTTTGGAAAGATATATGCATCGTATAAGCATTGAAAATGCAGCGTACCCTTTTTAGGTTTATTGCTCTCCTCCCCCGTTTGGAAAGATAAAGATTTGGACTAAAGGATCTTCGACGGGAGTAAAATCAATTTATTTTTGAGGTTAGGGTAAGGCTTAGTTTTTTGAAAGATAAATAACAAATAAAATCCTTTTATGACTAAAATATGATTTTTTTTCAAAGTGCGTTAAGTGTCTCCATGGTAAAATATATTGATGTAGACTCTTAACGCACTTTGAAAAAAAATTTCAAAGTGCGTTGAGTTGGTCCTAAATTTAACGCACTTTGAAATTTTTTTTCAAAGTGCGTAATTTTTTCAAAGTGCGTTGCCACAGTCTGCACTGTTTTAAAAACACACTTAATTGTAGCAAAATTTTCGACCTTACTCTTTCCAATCAAATTGAATTTATGAACTCTTATCAAACATTCTTTGTCATTTGAAAAGTAAACCATACCACAATATACAATTTTCTATTGTATTTTCAGTCCATTATAAAAAAAGTTTTGTTGATTGATCAAAGAGAGCACTGCTGTTAAATAATGGAGTTCAGAGGTCAAATGTTAATGCTGGTTGTCCTGGTAATGTCCATCTCCCACATCCAGGCCAACAACAATGACACATCTAACACAACCAGTAAGTAGACATCCATCACAACCAGTAAGTAGACACATCCAACACAAATAGTAAGTAGACACATCCATCACAACCAGTAAGTAGACACATCTAACACAACCAGTAAGTAGACACATCCAACACAAATAGTAAGTAGACACATCCAACACAAACAATAAGTAGACATCCAACACAACCAGTAAGAAAACATCCAACACAAGTAGTAAGTAGACATCCAACACAACCAATAAGTAGACACCCAACACAACCAGTAAGTATACACATCCAACACAACCAATAAGTAGACACCCAACACAACCAGTAAGTATACACATCCAACACAACCAGTGAGTAGACATCCATCACAACCAGTAAGTAGGCACCACAACCAGTAAGTTGACACATCCATCACAACCAGTAAGTTGACACATCCACCACAACCAATGAGTAGACATCCAACACAACCAGTAAGTTGACACATCCACCACAACCAATGAGAAGACATCCATCACAACCAGTAAGTATACACATCCATCACAACCAGTAAGTAGACATTCAACACAACCAGTAAGTAGGCACCACAACCAGTAAGTAAACATCCAACACAACCAGTAAGTAGACATATCCATCACAACCAGTCAGTTGGCACATCCATCACAAACAATAAGTAGACATCCAACACAACCAGAAAGTAGACATCCAACACAACCAGTAAGTAGACACATATAAACAACATAACCACATCAACAGCTGATAAACAACATAAACAAACCAGTAGCTGATAAACAACATAACAATTAGCTGATAAACAACATAACCACATCATCAGCTAATAAACAACATAAACACACCATCAGCTGATAAACAACATAACCATTAGCTGATAAACAACATAACCATAAATCCAGTAGATAAACAACATAACCACACAAGTAGCTGATAAACAACATAACCACATCATCAGCTGATAAACAACATTTAAAACATTGCTGTGACGTCATGCCTTTGTTCTTGCAGTCTAAAAATTTACCTGTAGCCGTCCGATAATAATAATTACCAGTCTGATAATATATTATCGGACGGCAATGATAACAAAATCGGACAGTATTTAAAAAACAAAAAGAAGAGTGAAATTAAGGTTAAGTATGTCCAGAAACCCCCAATAAAAATGTTAGGAAACAAATTCAGGAAAAGCAAACGCAAGGAAATTAAATTGCTACAAAATAGCAAATCCATCAAAAAAAAAATCCAAGTTTAAACCTTCCACAAAATTAATACTTTTCACTCTTTAAAAGAATTTTTGATAAAGCACTTTGAAAAAGCGAATTTAAATCCATTTCTGCAAAATAGTCTGCAAATCTCCTTATTTTATGTTTGTTCCCCGATGGCCACACTTTTAAAACCTGAGAATATTTCCATTATCTAAACTAAAACTTCAGGGTAAAAATCTGCATTTTTACTTTCAATGGTGATGGCTATAATATCACCCAAAATTATGTCAGTATCAATGTCAATTTATGCACAACATAAAAAAATTGTTTCCCCAAAAAATCTTTCACTACCGGACCCCTGTCCTGCTATACTAAACGACTGCCATTGAATGAATGAAATGAAACAAGAGTTCACTCACTTTTTTACCGTCTCATTTCTTTTATCTACTTATCAGACGGGTAGAAAACAATGGATGCTTGAACTCCTATTGTGTTATTATCGGACTCCTCCAGGTAACTTTTGGACATTTAAATCGCAATGTTTTAAGTAAGATATATGCCTCATACTATTCTATATGTAAAATTATCAGACAGTTTTCGGCCCTAACGGGCCTCAAACAGTCTGATAATTTTACATGTAGAACAGTATTCGGCATATATCCATTACATACACACCATCACCTGATAAGCAAAATAAAAAAATAACCATTAGCTGATAAACAACATAACTGCAGAAATTTTGTTTTTGATCCTTTTAATGTGTAAATAGATAAATCTCCTGGCAGGAGACAGTAAAATGAAGATACTGAGACTATATTGTGTTTCCTTTCAGTAGTGCCAGATGACCTTGGATCTAATCCACACAATGATGCTTCGTGGACTATGGCTGTCTCCGTAACGACATTCCTTTGTGCTGCCCTTTTGATTAAGATATTCTAATTTCTTATGAACAATGGCTTCATAATGTACAATATGTCATTAAGTGCCCTGACCTTTGTTGTCATTTAATTGTCATGTTACTGTCTTTCAATCCCCCATTTTTTTTTTTACTAGAAACAACATCATAAGCCATTCAATAATATGCATTTATTAGTTTTTCCTTTAAATAAACTATGTTTAAAATAATATACATGTAATCAACAATGATAATGAAAGTTCTTATGATTCCAGTGTAGTTCATGCCTTAACCATATTTGCAAGAAAAAAGATATATCATCAACTTTATCAAATGTGAATAATTTTTTCTTGTTACAAATGTTCTTGCATCAAATGCATGTACAGGCATTATGTTCTGAAATAATATTGTAATGAATGCAATTTCTTGTAGAATACTCAGTAATATGTGAAATTCACTTTCTGTACAAATCTATAATACATGTAATCCAATTCCACAATAAAGACATTCCATGAATAATTAGTGTTGTCTTTTTCAATTTTGTGAGGAAAATAATAACATAATGAATATGACATAATGACCACACTTTCAAAATGTACATTTCTTTCAAACTTTTGAGACACACCATACAAAAGTTTTAACAAAGTTATAACCACTCTTTGTCTCTTCTGTAAAATTGAGCTTTGTGATGCCAGATAACTCTGACAATACATATGAAATCAATGTGAAGAATGCTGCCTTTAGTTTACTTTGACATTGTTAACTGAATGAACAGTGTCAGGCCAACAACCAGTATCACCATTTGTTCTCCGTTGTCGGCCATTTCAGAATGAGGTTTGTGCCCTCCACTTCCACATGTTCGTAAATCCACTTTCTTCCACATCGACACTCGGTGCCACATTTTTGGGAGCCACATTTAGGGCAGGGAAAGTGGCACCCTTTACAGGAAACATCTAGACAATCACACAAGTCCTGGCTGTTCTCCAACAGGATCCCGTTCTCATCGTATACCTGGTTCTTTTTAATGCTGGAGGAAAAGAGGAAAGATATGGGTTTAATGTAATTCTTCAGGTAATCATAAATTCATAATGTATTTTGGAAATATGACTTTATCAAATTATTATGAGTAAAACCCTATAACAAAAACGAACATGTATCTCTTAAGTGCTGGTAGAAAATGGGAAAGACATGTATGGGTTTAATGTAATTTTCCAGGTAATCATAAATTGATTTTTTTTTTATTTTTAAAAATATTTTTATTAAGTACAGTGGAAACCATCAAATCCGACACATGTGCAATCTGTTTCACTGTGAATTATAACCTTTATTTTTATTCCCTTTTTTATATTTCTCACGTTTCTTACATTGTGGAATCTGACATAAAATTTGTCTCAATGCATTCTGGTTTGAATGTTTACTTCCTTACATATCTCTACATATCTGAAGACTAACTCATTTTTATCCATCCTTCATATTATTTTTTCTAAGGAGAGGACGTTCTAAGTATTAAGTACTTGTGTCCAATCATTTTGTTATAACATCTTAACAATAAAATATGTTCAAACCATTATTTTTTCACTACATGTCTTTTACTTACTTTTCTCTGTATATCCTCCTATTCATTTTCCTCATCTCTCGAGCACTTCTCTCTGGATCAAAGTCTTCCATAAACTTCCCTGGATTCCTAAACTTTAGCATCTTTAGATGTTTACTCTGTCAAGATTTAAAACACCATTAATGCAGAAAATTATGAACATCATTATTTTTTGGGCCCATTGTTTGACATAATTCCCCAAATTAATTTTATGACATTGAAGACATCACTATTTAGAGTTTTATTCAACAGTGTGGAACAATATTTGCTATATTCATTATATTAGAAAATCTATAGACATGAATACATATGTTTGTAACAATAAACTCCTCAACCAAAGTAAATAAATTGATAGTGTCATGAACTACATATTAATTAAGCCCAGATATATTTATAAATGATTTCCATGGCTTTGATGGGTAACAGGATGGTTCACCTCTATTGGCGTTTCGCGTCGAGACCATTCGCCCCCAAAGACCTTTCGCGCTGAGACGTTTCACACCTATTTTAATCTACTATTTCCTAAAAGTAATATACAGTTATTGACTGGGTATGAGGGCAACATATGATTTGTTGGACCTGAAGGTGAAAATGTTGCCCGAGGCCGCAGGCCAAGGGCAACATTTTCACCTTCAGGTCCAACAAATCATATGCTGCCCGAATCCCAGTCTATAACTGTTTTGTTATACCCTTCACTGCTTACTTACGAATGATCAATTTAATCAATACACGCTATATTATCAATTATTTTATATGGAAAATTATGGCTTCTTCAGTAAATATATAACATCAAGCTGAGAAAGAACAAAATCAATTATATATCTATTGTATCACAAAAATTATTTATCACAAAACACACTCTTCCCTTCTTTCTTACCGTGCTGTTAGCAACAACTCTTGTAGCTCTAAACTTCGGCTATTTTCACGTCGCCGATATTGAACGATGATTAATTGTGACGTAACAGACGAGTGACGTTGCGGTCTAACAATTCTTATGTAAGACCGGTCAATAGTGAAATTGTTAGACCGATGTAATTAACAGTTCTTTTGTTGGACTTTTTATAAGTAATAAATATATAGAATGATATTTATAAGGGTATAACAATGAACGATGATTAATTACTTGTGACGTAACAGACAAGTGACGTTGCGGTCTAACAATTCTTATGTAAGACCGGTCAATAGTGAAATTGTTAGACCGATGTAATAAACAGTTCTTTTGTTGGACTTTTTATAAGTAATAAATATACAGAATGATATTTCTAAGGGTATAACAAAACAATATATTTCACTGTTCATGATAAATTTTTATATATTATGGTTAATTCGACTAAATTTCTAAAGATAAAAAAAAAAATCTTATCAATGCTAATTTACTTATTGTTGCCATTGGGCTCATGTCTTAATCAGTGTTAATTAGATGTATGAAATAATTATTCACGTGCAGATATAATTATGTTTATTCATCAATCATTATGAATCATAATTAATTGTCTGATTCAGTTTTGTAATTAAACTTTAATTTGGAGATTCTCCATGCTGTAAGATCTACAAAGATGAGCTGTCATGCTACTGTGTTGCAGAAAGGAGACTCCTTTGTTAGAATACAATACAATATGACAATAAAACATATTTACATTGATTTTTTTGATTTCCTAAATATATGCAAAATATGAAAAGATGTGTAATCCCAATCAGCGTGTCAGGTCTTTAGTTTATCCCATATCCTTATATTTGATGTTAATGATTGAATTATATGGAATAATACTTCACAGTACAGAATTTAAGAAAGTAATGACTGCTGTTAACAAGTGATAATTACAACATAATTAAGTAATTGATCATCGGCTTGAGCCATCTTGGGGCGAAACGCCTCAGCGCAAAAGGTCTTTTGGGGCGAAATGTCCCACACTCCTTGGATTGGGGGGGAGGGGGGGGGGATTTTTGATTGTTCGGATGAGACTGTATAAACTGAGGACTGAGGTTCTATGTTGCAGTAAGTACTGGCATAAATAAAGACCCCTAACTGCTCAATGGCCCTGAGTGCCAAGTATAGGCCTAAGCTGCAGCCTCCACCAGAAAGTGGTGGCATCTCCTGAATAAAAAAAAATCTCAATACTGACACTACTGAATAGGGACATTAAACAACATTAAATCAATCATTAACAGCAATTTTTTAAATCTTTGGCTTGGCCACTAATTATCTGTATGCATATGTTTTCTTGACTTATCGAAAATTGAAGTAGAACTACAATCTCTTTTAGATGGCAAAGTTTGTGTTTTTAATTTTGATTTAAAATCCCGTTTAACTTGAATTTCCTCCATAAGCTTACATATTTTCAATGATATTTCTACTGAATATAGGAAAAATACGCTTACCGACGACTCATCATTTTTCCCGTCATTAGAATTAGAATTTTCATCATCGGTTGACTTCACTAAAGAAACGTTTGATCTTAATTTTCTTACATCTTCTCTCTGGCTTTCTTCTTCCATTTTACCGGAAGTTTCTTTGCACAAGTTTTTATTAGTAACTCGTACCCAAATGGGTTCGTTGTCAAATGTCAATACCTTGCATAATTTCCTCCTTGAGAATTTCACTTTCAGTGTATGAAAAAGCATGTTCAATTACCTTAAAAAATAATAGCAAAAATTAAGACCTGATATGCCCTTTGCTTGTATTTAAAAAAAATTTAATTCGTGTTTCCGGAATTATTCATTCCCACTTCTAAAACTGTTAAATAACTAGACTGGTTCCCAAAATATGAAAAAGAACCAAACAAACATTACCAACAGCTGTCAAACTTTAGGTAAAGTCCGTGAATGCACGTTTTTGTGTCTCTACTTTGATCGAGGGGTTATTCATTTACCCTGCAACACACCCTAAAGATCAAAGCCTTAAGTTATGCAAAGTCAATTGTTAGATGCATGCCTTTTCGATGCATATTACAGAGGTATAAGCCTAGATATCTACAGTTGTATCTTTTCTACGTGTAAATCAGTGTGTAGATTGAATCCCCACCTTTCAATAGTTATTGCCATTCTTGGGAGTAAGGGGGGTGGGGGTATATGAGTAACAGAATAATGCATGCAGCATAATATGTTTTTGCAATTGCTTTGCTTAGTGCAGAATCTCAACATAAATTGCTATCAGGTTGTGCTGGAACTGGCTATAGTTGTGCAAAATTAAATATTGTGAATTATTTACAAAAGACACCATGACAGGCTTGACAGCTTTAATTCCTTTGTACTTTTCTGTTACCCCCTTCCCTGCAGACATGTATTTTGCATATATATCATTTCCTATTTCTAACACCAGATGATAGATCTGACACACATACTATATATATACCATTTCTCCACAATCAAGCATTTTTTGCACACTTTCCAAAGTACATTTAATCTTCAATTTAATGCAAATCCCTTTCTCGTTTATGCTTCACTTGCTAAAATATATCTTAAAATAAGAAAAGTTATCTTATTGAAATAATTAGTCATAATAATTAATGCTAATTAAACTTTAGAGAAACTTTTACTGCGCTATTTATAATAAAGTGTTTGCTGGGAAAAGGCACATATTAATACATATTTAGTTAAGTGTATGTAATGTTGTGTCACAGTTCAGTAAGTTGTAAAGAGTTTAAAATCAAAATAAATAATATTTGCTGCCCTTTCACATCTCATAGGAATAAATTGGGTTGGTAGATAGGTGGGAAAAATCTCTTCAAGTCTTGACCTTAGCAACTGTATTAAACAGCCATATTTTTATTGTATTCTAATATTCATTAATATAAAGGTCAAGATCAAAATTTCAAGTAAAAAAATACTACTGGAATTATGTTTCCTTTCATGGACACTTCTTGTTTATTGTAGGTTGTTTACTTTAGGCGAGGTTGTCCACAAAGCTGACTGACATCTGTCCAAAGGTTGATTCATAACATCATCGCTTCTCCTCATCATAGCTAGAGCATATAAGAAATTTGCAAACTGAATGATGTAAGTAAAATTTAATTCCAAGGGTACATGTTTTTGCCTTGTACACAATTCATTTGTTTACAGGATTTATGAAAATGGTCCCTTTTCATTATCTTCACATTTTTCACTTCTAATATTTAGCTTAATTATCTCAACAAAGCTGGGGAAACCTATGGTAAACCATATGTATTTCAACCATATACGCATACTGAAGGGTGCACGATGTTTCGGCACCGCGACGATTCGGCACTTCATCGCAAAGACGTTTCGGCACCCCGATGTTTCGGCACCGCGACGTTTCGGCACTTTTATATGACGTTTCGGCACCTCGATTTTTTTTCGAAGAAAATAAATCGTTTTTTTTTTCTAAGTCTGTTTTTGTTATCATTTTTACATCATTTTTGGGACATTTTTATTATAAGGTTGAACATTAAATAATATAGTAAAAACTGGTTTGATAATTCATTTATAAGGTGAATTTAGTAAAACTGAATTGACTTTTTTCAACTTATGTACATGTGTTTGTAAACAAGGCATGTATGGTCTTTCAGATCAATTACACATTTTTAAATGTCAAAGTTATTATAAAATTGTCAACGGAATATATTTTCAATGAGAGTAGAACAAAAAAGGTATACCTAGCACACAGGGTATAATACCGTAATGTGTCAAATTCTTGATGACAGTTGAGGGGGGTAAAGAAAAATTCGAGTAAATTCAATAGTGACAGTGTGTCACTTTTCCCAATACACAAGATATAACGCAAGGTGTCAGAAAATGAGGGGCCTATATGAAGGATTCTACATGATTTCAATGTATCACTTGTTTCCAAACATCACCAGAAGAAAACCAGAAATGACAGGTATGTAGAAATATATATCTATAAATTTATATTGCAATATAATAATGCATAGCTTTAAACTTGATTGTATTTTGCGTTGAAACTTAAAAATAATAAAACGCTTGATTAATTTGAACTGAATATATAAAAATATATATCGTGTAATTAAAAAAAAGTATATTTTACGAGTATATATTATCATGCTCAAAGGTATTACATGTATTTTTAAATAAAATAAGATAAATTAATTTGTTGAAAATACGAAGGAAAAAAACCGCTGCGTGGCAATGATATTTTTCTTGATAGAAATATTTAATTATAAGGTTAGACAGTGTACATTAAAAAAAAATAAGATATGATTGTTTATGCATGCGATGAATTATATATAGTACCGTGATTTTCATGAAATACTAAACTCTTTTACTTCCATAGAAATGAATGACATAAATTTACAATTTATCATTGATTACAGTAATATTTTATAGACGTCTGCATCATAATAATGCCATGTGGATTTTTTATTCAAATAATTACAATTTTCTATAAGAGATGAATATAGTGATCATTTATCAAGTGTGCTGCATCCCTATAATCATTAAGTTTTACTGCTTAATTATACGACCTCATGTAGATTTCTGTGAAGTCTGCTGCTGTTAGAATTTATTGCATATACAGTGTAAGTTATCACCTCAATAATTTCCAGTTTCGCAGTAATGTGTTAAGTGATAATTAAAAGCTGAATAGATTGATTAATGCATACAGAAAGGCAGAATTTTGAACTTGTCAAGGTTTCCAAAATATTTTATAAAATATGGTGTGTTCATTATATAGCAAAATAAGTCACATATATATAAATCTTGGCATTTTTTTTTTTTTTTTTGCAGCAGGACCGTACGTTCTTACTAGAAATACATGCAATAATTATAATTTAAACAACTAATCCCTAGCATATAAATCATGGAAAGAAATCTTTTTTTAAAATCGAAATACGCATCATAATTTTTCAAAGGATATATCGGAGAACTTGAAAAAAAAATTGTCCGCAAATCCGACATCATTTACGTTACACAACAATTTTGATAACCCATTTATCAAATGGTAATGTTAGAGAAGTTAATGCTTGACTTTATCAAGTCTTGATCTTTTTTGAATAAATCTGAATTTGACCAATTTCTTTTGTTTTGCCTCTGATGTTCAGGATATAGAACGCTAAAGTACGATTCATGAATCCGAAAATGAAGTGAAAATTTCGGATAAAACATATTTGCCTCCCCATATATATAAATATTTTTTGAGAAAACATTGAATGCAAAATCTTTCCCATGATATAAGCTAGGTTCCGTGCTGATTGAAACTTAGTTCTTTTTAAAAATATACATTGGTCCAAAAATTTTAAAACAAAATATCGTTACGGTTTCTTTAGCATAAGATTAAAAAAAACTTCTTAAAACATATATCGCAACCTTTTTGGAGCTACATGTACTAGTATTTCAGACTTAGAATTCTACATGTATCTTGAAAGTAAACTGAATTCACAATAATATACGGGTACGCAGTGGAAAAAATTTCCCAACATTACATTAAGTATATTTAAACTCAAAGTTTTTTACAAAAATATATGGATTTGTGATGTTCTCAGTTTATCAAATTTTTACTTTTCAGACAACTGCATCAGCTGCAATACCTTTGTTCGACCAAGGCAGGAGGCACTTCAATGTGACAGATGTCAACACTGGCAGCATCGAACATGCAATACTGGTAAGAATTTAAAGTATTAAATCTAAATTATATGCTGCTGGGATTATCAATTTAAAATTCAAAATCTTATAAACCGTAAAATCTAATCAAGGTATAATTCAACATTTTCAGGCATAACCAGAGCTGAGTACAGAAGATTGGTGCACGGCCAAGAAGATTTTGATTGGACTTGCGAAGGTTGTTCCAACAACTCCGAGGTCCCTTCGCAAGATGACGAAGACGATGTTAACAACACATCGGAAGCTCCAGATGCCACTTTCCAAATGTCCCTGACTTCCTTGGTAGATCGGGAGAACACATCGGAACAGGTACATTCAATATTAACGTGATTAAGAATGTAAATGTTAGATTCCAACATTCCACTTGTTCTATGCATTACAGTTTAATTAATCATTTTGAAGCCTTTTATGTTTCTTTTTAAAACAAACTTGAAGAGTTGGTGTACACGAGTTAGGTAGAAAATAATTAATAATTTTAGCACACGGAGGATGAAAGAGAGGAGGAACCAAATGAGGACAACACATCAACAGCCCCAGCAGATGCCACATTTCACATTTCCTTGGGTTCCTTGATTGATCCGGAAGACAGACCTGTGGTGGATCCAGAAAACAGACCTGTGGTGGATCCAGAAAACAGACCTGTGGTGGATCCAGAAAACAGACCTGTGGTGGATCCAGAAGACAGACCTGTGGTGGATCCAGAAGAAAGACCTGTGGTATAATTTCATTTTATATAGTATAAGTATTATAAATGATAAACATTATATTATAATTATGAATATTAAATGCATCGTTTTTTTAAAAATATATTATTGTATCAGTCTTTTATTAACATGTAACAATGTACACTGAATTAGTTATATTATACATTTATGAATATTCAATTTTATTAACTATTATTTAGAATCAGCAAGAGGACCAGTCCTTTGTAGCGGACACATCTTTCGCTGTTCCTGCTCCCATAAACGAGGATTCCATTAGAGAGGAAGTCATTGGTGACATTCTAGAGGAGGATGAGGCTGTGGTCACTGAATATGAAGTCGTTGACACTGGAACCAAACGGGGCAAGAGGAAACTGGTCGACAACCGTGGATTCCAGTATACTATTAAGGTAAAAAAAATGATTTTACACCAAAGAGGAAACATTTTTTAAAATAAGAATTTATGCAATAAACAATGAAAAAAGCTTTAATATATGCAAAAACTAATGAAAACATTGTTTCTACATAATTTTAAAATTCAACTTTAAACTTTTATCAGAAGCAGAGAGGAGATGGCTATATTTACTGGAGATGCAGCAAACGTGGGAAGGAGCAGCACTGTCCAGCCACAGTAATTCAGAAAGGCGACACCTTCCAAGAAGGCCTAAAAAATCATGTCCACCCTGCTGAGCCAGGAGTCCACTTAGCCATCAAAATGAAAGCTGAGGTAGCTTTTTCTTATTATTATGATAGTCAATAATATGTATGTATAGTAAAATATAATTAAGATTATTAAAATATGTCAGTATTTTTTTAAACACCATGGAATACTTTGTGCTTTTTGTACATTGTAAAACAGTCAGCAAATTATTCAATAGTATCATTTTAATTTTAATTTTTTTTTTAATTTAATTTTTTTTAATTATATGTAACCTTTTTATACTATAGGTGAAGAAAAAGGCGGTGGACAACATTTTTACAGAGTCTGCACCCCGCATTGTAGAAAATGTCATGAATGCCGCCTCAGATGTTGATGCCCCCCCTGCCAGTCGTCCAAAGCCTGCCAACATGACAAGGATTGTCAACAGGGTTCGACAGAACCTGCGGCCTCAAGATCCACAAGATTTAGATTTTGAGGTAGTTTCAACAATTACAATAAGTATCATACCTAGCAAACAATTATTTATTTACATACACTGTCGTAAACCTAACCAGAAATTCAGAATTTAAAAAAAGTTAAAATCAATGCATCAATAAATTATTATACACTTCTGTATTTTATAGAAACTGACTTGTTTTGTAAATTTTATAGCTTGACATGGGCTTCCTGGAGCAGCAGATGCCAGACTTCAGACATGTAGATGTCTATGTTTCTGGCCGTCGACATCTGCTGATGTATACAGACTACCAGCTGCAGCTCCTTGCTAAGGCCAAAACCTGGTATCTGGACGCCACATTCCGGGTTGTCAACAAACCTTGGTATCAACTCTTTACCATCCACTCCTTTATCCGCAGTGGTACTAACATGAAGCAAATCCCTCTGGCATTTTGCTTCATGTCTAGCAAAAGAAAGGCTGATTATTATGAAGTAAGTTTATCAAACAAAAGTAATTAAGAATAATGTGACTATTAAAGTAATTAATGAATTTAAAAAAAAACTTAACATTTCATTAAAAAAAATATATGAGTATATAGCAACAATTACTACTAAACCACCTTGCAATAATTTAGATGTTGCATACTATTAAAAGTTCTTGCAATTTTTCAGGTTCTCAGGACAATTGATCATCTCCTGCCAGACAACATCGCTCTCCATGGTTTTGTTGTTGACTTTGAGGCAGCCATTTGGAGAGCAGTGCAGGACAGATTTCCTGGCTTTGTCATACAAGGCTGTGTGTTCCATTGGACCCAGGCCGTGTACAGAAAGGCCCAAGAACTGGGTTTGCAGGTATACACATACATGTATTTTTAAACAAAATCTGTAATGTAACCACAGGGGCCGGTAACACTTTATTTGATTAATTTACGTAATCACTACATATATATAATCTTTTTGACGTTTTTGTCTACAAATAGTGATTACATAAAATCAAATACAGCATGCTACTGGCACCTGTGATTGTAACAGCAGAAAAAATATATATAAACAGCTTACACAAAATATCCATTTCTTAATAATATTCCTTAATTAAGGCATAATAAGAGTTTTTATGCTTTCAAATGTTTATAAATGATACAATATGTGTAATATAAAAATAAATATATCTTTATAGAGAGCTTACAACACCAGAGGAGAGGTGCACGAGTTTATTCGTCAAGTGCTCGCCCTCCCTTTCTTGCCGCCAGAGCACATAGTCGAGACATTCCACCATTTGGATCGGCGTGTACAGACGGACTTGCTTGATTCCCTTATGGAATATGTGTGGCGCCAGTGGCTGAATAACCCCACCTTTCCTGTCAGGAACTGGAGTGTGTTTATGCTCGCCATTCGCACCAACAACGATGTAGAGGGATGGCACAACAGGCTTAACAGCAGAGTTGCACAAAGAGGTCCTGTTCCCTTCTACTTGTTGTTGGTGGAACTACACAAAGAGGCAAAACAGATCCCCCTACAGGCAAAGTTGATCTCCGAAGGGAAGATGGTTCGCATCCATAAGAAAAGGTCAACACATGTAAATGGTAAGCTGTTCGCTGCATGGAAGAAGTATTCGGAGGGGGAAATGACCACCAGTCAGCTTTTGCGGCGTTGTGCCAATGTGTATGGACCAAGCGATTAAACTACGTATGATCCTTTTGGAGATCAATTTATATTTGTTTATATATTTATATACATTGTACCATGCATCTGTATGATAGAGTGCCATGTCAAATACAATGTTTATGTTATAGTATCATTTATTTAAATATTATATGTATATTATGAAGTGGAAAAAAAAAACAGAACACATTTGTTTCTTTCTTTTGTGATGATCTGAATTAAATCAATTTCATTTAAATATGACACACTAATCAATCGTTTGTGTTTTCTTTACTTCTTATGAAATAAGTTTTTTTTTAAATCAAGGGAAAATAAATAATCTATCCTTGTTTTGCATGAAATAAATAATCTGGATAGAAATAATGCCAGTCCCCCTAAACTTATACTTCTGACTATGCTATATGTACAGAAAAAAGTTTATAAAAGTCAATTTACGGTTATGAATGAAAAAAAAATTCTGATGCATTTTTTTAACAGCTGTAAAAGACAATCACATACTAATTAAAATATTCCTGTTATTAATGTAATAACCCATGGTAGGATATGTACGTATTTAATAATACCTTTGTGTAACACTAGATGGGTTAAAAATCATAAACAAAACAAGTGCTTGTGATGTTCATGTATGTATATTATCAGATCTAATAATTTTGGATAACTTGATCGAGGATTCAGTATTTAGATATTTATGAATAACTATCATAAAATGATTACCAGAATGAAAATCAAATGTTTCTTTAACCATTCAGTGTTAAAAAAACGTAATTATTCCATTTTACTGTAATACATACCCATTTTAACTTGGTAGCAAACTCCTATCTTTTAGCTCGATTTCCAAGAGTTACTTATATACTATTAATCAGAAAGATGATTTCAAACAGACCTATTTCCTAATAGTAATATACAACCACAAGTTATATGGTGTTAAACTAATTTTTCTCCACAATATAACTCAATATTTAGATAGGTGCCGAAACGTCGCGCTTAAGGTGCCGAAACGTCGTGGTGCCGAAACGTCGCGGTGCCGAAACATCGTCGCAGGTGCCGAATCGTCGCGGTGCCGAAACATCGCGGTGCCGAAAAGTCCAGAATTCATACTGAAACCTTGCGTATACCTCAAGTTTCAGCAAGTTTCAGTTGCGGAAACTATTTGGATTCGTGGACACCTTTGGTTTCCGCACTGCGGAAACTTGATGAAACTTGAAGTTTCCGCACTGAAACTTTGCGGAAACTATTAGTAACCTTAAGTTTCCGCAGAGTTTCAGTAGAGTTTCAGCCATGCGGAAACTGTATTTTTCATCCAGTGGAAGCTTAGTATATATGTTTATTCACCAATCAAGGGCCCACGGGGGGCATGAACAAGTATGTGATACCCTTACATAATGCAGATGGAGGTACATCAAGATCATATCTCAGTACATAAATTACTGATTTTAAAGAACTAGTTTTGTTGTCACAGTAATTTAAAAACTACTACAAACTAGGCTAGCATTATTAATACTAAAGAGCAATACCTAATATGTGTCTCTTTTTAGTCAAATTTAAAAGATTGATTGATTGATTGTATACTGTTTAATGTCCCTCTCCAGAATATTTCACTGATATGGAGATGTCACCATTGCCGGTGAAGGGCTGCAAGTTTAGGCCTATGCTCGGCACTTACGGCCTTTGAGCAGGGAGGGATCTTTATCGTGCTACACCTGCTGTGACACGGGGCCTCGGTTTATACGGTCTCATCTGAAGGACCGCCCCATTTAGTCGCCTTTTACGACAAGCAAGGTGGTACTGAGGACCTATTCTAACCCGGATCCCCACGGGGCCAAATTTAAAAGAAGAATGATTGCAATGTACTGTAAACGTACTTTTTTCCACGGGGTCATAATTCCGCGGAATCTCCATTTCTGTTTAATCCACGTGTAAAAAATTACGCGGATTTTCTAGACTGTCACTAAATGCCTTACATTTATATTAAGTACGCGTGGACAAATTTCCGCGGAAGATTTGTGACCGCGTACATAGCGTAAATTAATACCACGCGGAAAAAGGTACTTCTACAGTATTTTAAGTTTAGATCAGCAGAGCTACAGTCTCATCACAGACTTTTGAGTTCCTATTGTACTAGTTGTATTTATTTCTGTGTTTCAGATGGGTGGGCTGGATTATGGGTAATCACAATGTCAAAGGTCACAGTCTCTGGCCCACTCACTGCATGCCAAATCTGACAGAACCCCACCTGGTGGAAGAAAATCCAGGAGAAAACAACTCCGCCCAATCTTCTACTGCCCTCCAACTAGACAATTTAATAATAAATAATGACCATGAAGAACTAGAAAAGTTTATCAGCCTGACTAAAGCTGATGTGAATGTAGAACTAAATGAGAAAAAAGAAACAGCTCTTATCCTAGCTGTTAAACTGAGCCACATAGAGTGTGTCCAGGTGATAGTGAACTGTGAGTCGTGTCTGAAGAACTGCCTCAATGTTAACAATTGTTCTGCTTTTGATATGGCTCTGATCACTGCTTTTGACAATCGTTTGGAACCCAGACATTCCATTTGTTGGGAAATAATCAAGCTGTTGATGAGGGCTAATGCGGAACCTATGTGTAAGGATGCCATGATGTACATAGTGCGGACAGCCTTCAAGTATCAGGATGATCAGTTTCTGCATAATCTCATCGCAGCAGCTCTAGAGTGTTCAAATTCAACCATGTTTCATGAACTCCTTCTTCAAAAATTACATCGTCATCAGCCCATCTACGTGGACCCCATTGATCCCATTTTTATGAACATGTCAGATTTTAGCATTAAATTATTAAAGATAGCTCCTCCATCTGAGCAGGAGTTTATCGTGAACTCGATGTTTTATTACATGGAGTCGTACTGGCAGTCCCGCAGGAATAAATTCAACACGTTTTACAAACTGATCGTGTACACCATCGCGGCGGGCTGGGTGTGGCAAAGGTCGAACGTGTACCACATCTCCCGATCCTGTCCACACCTGGGTAAATGGCTGATACAGCAGATGAAGACACCCCTCTCACTCGTTCACCTCTCCCGGGCCTCGTTCCGACGCCACGTGACCTGCCCGGTTCCAGCGGCCATCGAGGAGCTCCCTTATCCCATTCCGGAATCGCTGAAGCAGTACCTTCTCATTCAAGACATGGATGAACTGTGTTCCTCAGGGACTGTTAACCTCAATGAAGTGGCCTTTTGAATCTAGTCATAAAAAGTTAAAGAACATTTAATGTGGCATTTCTCATAGGAAACCAGCTCTTTTTTTAATCAAAGTAAGGGAAATCTTCACTGCTCAACAGTGTTTTAGGCAGAAATTGTTTTTAGAGAAAATTTGAATTTTGACTGTATTCGTCTAAATAATAGAAACAAAACAATATCTGCCTTTAGTTTAAAGGTGCTAATTTTGATTGATCTTTTATTTTATTATTTAAACATTGAAGATTTTAATTTGAATTGGTATTTCAAACATTTTTCTTTGAAATGAAATGATGCAGCACATTATAAACTTGTTTAAGGCCATTTTCTTGTTCCCTCTTAAAGTTGATTTTAAGTTTCCTTTCTGTCTTGCATTCAGTCTCACATTTTGTTTTCTACAGCCATTTTATGTTTTTTTTACTCTTTACACTTTGTAAATTTCATAAAGCACCTTATAATGATGTACATACCAAAAAAGTTTTATGTCAAAATATCTTTTCAGGGAAGAACAGCTGTTTGTTGTGAAGAAATCTTTTAAATCAGTTAATTGAGAAGAAAACTTTTATTTTCTTCTTTTTTTTATATTTTAATACTGAAACAAAAGAATAATTTTAATCAAGAAAAGAGTCATAAATGTGTTGCCTGTTACCTTTCATTGTTTTAAAAGTACATGTAATTTATTTTATCCATACATGGGCTACATTGCTATGTGTTTTATTTCTGTACGTTTAATTGTTATACGCTGCACTAGGAGTGTTGCTTATTATGAGTTGTATATACATGTATGTGTACATTTTGTACAGGTATAATCTATGAATATCTCATAAAAATGATGAAAAATAAAAGTGCTATGAATATGCTTCACATTTGTTTCACCCAGTTGGCCTAAAAGGAGTCGAGAGTGGATGAAGAAACTTATTTTAGACTACACTAACATTACACTATGAACAGAATCTAAGTCACTATAGGCATCGGAAGCAAATTGAAAGTGGGGTGGCTAATTGAAAAAAGGGGGGGCTAAACCAACAAAAAAAGGTAATCCCCAATTTTTAATGTGTATAATATGTCTATATTTGAAAAAAAAGTTGAAGGGCTAAGCCAAGATAAAATCTTGACCCCCGGGGATGGGGCAGGTTAACTGGGAATAGGGCATCTAAGTTTTGCATTGATATGTATAGGAAAAAATCTCAAGAATCACTGAGCTAGAAGAGCTGAAATTTATTTGGAAACATTTTTGGATGGTGTAATTTCTAAATTGTTCGAATCATGACTGCTGGGGGTAGGGTGGGATCACATTAGGTAATACAAGGGGTAAATCTGGTAAAGAACAGTGTGGCCAAAGTTACTCATGTTGTGGCCAATGGGTCTTTTATTAAATCTTCTCAGCTTCTGAATCACAAAACCAACTTCTGTTAATTTTTTATATATATTAAATAGCATGATTGGTAAATGGAAACAAAAATTGTGAACGTCATGGTATTTAGCTAAGTGCATGGTTACGATGAGCAAGGGTGCATCTTCCAAAATTGCAAAATTCATATGGTTTCTGCATGGGTCGGAGATTATGGTATTGGGGGGGGGGGGCTCTAATAACATAGCTGAATGCATTAATTCATGGTATTCAAAATGTCCTCTACAATTTTTCTTTTTTTTCAAATTTTCTGTTTAAATTTTAAGTGGATTTTATTTGATAAAATAAGGTACCCTCAGAAACTACAAATAGATAAAGGTCGGTTGCCCCCAACACCTTCACTTTTTGTTACAATGGAAAAAATCCTCTCATTTTAATGTAAAACTTTCTACATATTAAGTTTTCTTGTCAAAAAGTAGGAGTTTTCCTTAACTACCCTACAACCCGAAATAATTTTTTGCTCTTTTTTCGGGTAATATATCAGTGTATTTGAACATACATCCCCCATTTCTAATGAATTGAAAGTGAAATTGAAAAACGATGCTGCATACCTGTAGCGTTACCGTGGAGTTGGCGTTAGTTATTAGAAGTACAATGGCTGCCCTCCCCCACTTTTTTCCCCAACCTTACTTATACTATTGGAAATGTTCAGTGAAAGGGTGGTTGCCCCCCCCCACTATTAGTGATGTACGGAAAATGTAGTACACGTATAATAATTGGTACTGGAAGTAGTTGGCATTTACGACCGACCGACCTCCCTCCCCCCCCCCCCCCCACACACACGAAATAGGACTTTTGACTTTGGGCAAGTTTTTTTTTTTGGTCAACTTTTTTTCAGTTAAGTAAAAAAAATTCCTCTGGCTGCCCCCCCCCCCTTTCAACAACGATGCTACGTGTCTGCCTGTACGTTTTTTTCCTCAACAAAATTATCTTTGCTATATGCATGTATCTGAGACCAATTAAGGCTTCACATTTTAACAAAAAGTAATTGAAAGTATATATATACGAGTAATTTTAAAGAGACATTTCAGATCGTCAGCCTCCTTGTTTATTTCGATGGTACAGTTTCTTCCCCTCCCAAACTTGTTATATAAAAAGAGTCAGTTTGTTTAGAAGTTTCATCACTTTAAAGGCCGGATTTGCCCTCACTCCCCACGTTTTAATGCCATTTTTTTTTAAGTTGGACCCCCCGACCCATACCTGATGTAATAATACTGAACTTGTGAAACTTTTTAGCTCACCTGAGCCGAAGGCTCAAGTGAGCTTTTCTGATCACATTGTGTCCGTCGTCCGTCTGTCCGTCTGTCCGTCTGTCCGTCCGTAAACTTTTCACATTTTCGACTTCTTCTCAAGAACCACTGGGCCAATTTTGACCAAACTTGGTACAAAGCATCCTTGGGTGAAGGGGAATTTAAATTGTTAAAATGAAGGGACATATCCCCTCGCAAGGGGAGATAATCAAGGAAAGACAAAAATAGGGTGGGGTCATTAAAAAATCTTCTTCTCAAGAACCACTGGGCCAGAAAAGCTGAAACTTATGTGGAAACATCCTGGGGTAGTGTAGATTCTAAATTGTTCAAATCATAACCCCCGGGGATTGGGTGGGGCCACAATGGGGAATCAAATTTTTACATAGAAATATATAGGAAAAAATCTTTGAAAATCTTCTTCTCAAGAACCACTGTGCCTGAAAAGCTGAAACTTATGTGGAAACATCCTGGGGTAGTGTAGATTCTAAATTGTTCAAATCATAACCCCCGGGGATTGGGCGGGGCCACAATGGGGAATCAAAGTTTAACATAGAAATATATAGGAAAAATCTTTGAAAATCTTCTTCTCAAGAACCACTGTGCCAGAAAAGCTGAAACTTATGTGGAAGCATCCTGGGATAGTGTCAATTCTAAATTGTTCAAATCATAACCCCCGGGGATTGGGCAGGGCCACAATGGGGAATCAAAGTTTTACATAGAAATATATAGGAAAAATCTTTGAAAATCTTCTTCTCAAGAACCACTGGGCCAGAAAAGCTGAAACTTATGTGGAAGCATCCTGGGGTAGTGTAGATTCTAAATTGTTCAAATCATAACCCCCGGGGATTGGGCGGGGCCACACTGGGGAATCAAAGTTTTACATAGAAATATATAGGAAAAATCTTTGAAAATCTTTTTCTCAAGAACCACTGTGCCTGAAAAGCTGAAACTTATGTGGAAACATCCTGGGGTAGAGTAGATTTTAAATTGTTCAAATCATGACCCCCGGGGATTGGGCGGGGCCACAATGGGGAATCAAAGTTTTACATAGAAATATATAGGAAAAATCTTTGAAAATCTACTTCTCAAGTACCACTGTGCCTGAAAAGCTGAAACTTATGTGGAAACATCCTGGGGTAGTGTAGATTCTAAATTGTTCAAATCATAACCCCCGGGGTTTGGGCGAGGCCACAATGGGGAATCAAAGTTTTACATAGAAATATATAGGAAAAATCTTTGAAAATCTTCTTCTAAAGAACCACTGTGCCAGAAAAGCTGAAACTTGTGTGGAAGCATCCTGGGATAGTGAAGATTTTAAATTATACAAATCATGACCCCCGGGGGTTTGGCGGGGCCACAGTGGGGAATCAAAGTTTTACATAGAAATAGATAGGAAACATCTTTGAAAATCTTCTTCTCAAGTACCACTGTGCCAGAAAAGCTGAAACTTATGTGGAAGCATCCTGGGATAGTGAAGATTTTAAATTATACAAATCATGACCCCCGGGGATTGGGCGGGGCCACAATGGGGAATCAAAGTTTTACATAGAAATATATAGGAAAAATCTTTGAAAATCTTTTTCTTAATAGCAACTGGGCCAGAAAAGCTGAAACTTATATGGAAGCATCCTGGGGTAGTGTAGATTTCAAATTGTCTAAATTATGATCAGTGGGGTAGGGTGGGGTCACAATATGTATTACAAGGGGTAAATCTAGTAAAGGACAGAATTGTCAAAGCTTCTCAGGTGAGCGATGTGGCCCATGGGCCTCTTGTTTGTCAGTTGTTTTCTGACCACCACCCTTACCCCACCCCACCCCTTGTGCCTAATAACCATTTTGACTAATTAAGCAAGCCTTTTCTTTTCGGGAAAAGTGTGTGTGTCAATGATAAATACGTGATGTATAGTTTCCATGATAAAAATGAGACATGATTTGTCAATAAATTAAGTATCCGTGTTAGTAAGAAAACTAGTTTTTGAATTCCGCGTTCAGTTGAGATTTTCATGGGCTCTGTATGTAAAGTAAAAGTAAAAAAAAAAGAGAGAAAGAAAAGAAAGTGAAGACTTACCTGAAAAACTTTAACATAAGGCAAAAATAAAGGGGGCGATGTCCAAACTTGACAAGTTTTTTTTTCTTCAATAGAAAAAGGTTATGGGGAGCGCCCCCTTACGACCCCCCCCCCCAATAAAATAAAGGACGTGCGTGTTTTAATTTAATCAGTCGGAGATTACTCAAATTTTGAAATAAAGTGTCCTCTTATGTTCAAAAAGCATTAAGAATATACGCATATTAAATAATTACTGTATTTTTTCTAGCTTTGTGGTGGATTTTCAGAGATGAAATAATAAGAATAAATGCTGCATCATATATTGCATAAAAGATTTCGCTCTATCAAATCCCCCCCCCCCTCTCTCCCTCTCTCAAGTCCTACTTTTGCACCCAATTAAATAATAATCCATGTCTAAAATGTTAATGTTTCTATTTTAACTCCAAATTCCAATGCTTCAATTAATATTAGAATAAAAAAAAAATTAAATATTGACCGAAAAGCAATATTGAAGCCCAGTAATAAACCTTGAAAATCTTTTTTTTTTTTTTTTACTGTCGACTGAGACCTTGATAAAATGATTCATAATTGGACATTCCATAGAAATGTCTAATAAGCCTAATTTACCTGAATGATACCTGTCTGATACCTGAAGGGTGACGTCACGGACAGCTAGGTGGCGCTGCAATTTAAGCGTTGGGATATTTTGATAACCGACATGATCTGAAATACGACTGTTTACACGGACCAGGAAAAGAACCGATGGTAAGTTTGACGAATTTTATTAAAAAAGGAAAAAGCAAATGCGTTCAAAGGACTCAAGCCTTCTGAACTGCCAAAAGAATTTCGTAATTTACCTGTGCACGTTGTTACACCTGAAAACCGATTTCCGCATTGCAGCACTATCAAAACAATTGCTGTGTATTTGAGTTTGGGGGGCTTAGGGTGTGGCATTTATGACATATCTGTTACTTTGCCCGAGTACTCCTCAATTACTCTGCGAAACAAAGGGCAATGACGGAAAAAACGAGAAAATTTGTAGAGAAAACTCTTCATCAAGGGAGGATACTCCAGCTAATTTCAAAAAATAAATATGGAAAGTTTATTTACATTCTTTTCTTTGGGTGTATAGTATAGAATAGAATAGAATAGATTTATTCCAGATCAGGGCCCTTGTGGGCATATTACATACATGATTATTGAACAGAGCATATAATAGTTATTAATAAGATGTGATGTGTTCTTAGTACATGTATATACTTAATAATTTACACATGGTTCATAAATGAAATAATTGCTAACATGTGAACTTTAAATACATATTGTAATTAAAAATATATAAAGAAGTACCACCGTGTACCATAATGCAAAAAAGCCAGAGATATACATACACAGAAATGAAAAATATATATATATATATATATATATTTTTTTTATACATACCAACACATACATACATACACGTATATATACATGTCCACACACATACATACTGAGTAGCTATATTCCACTAAATTGCAAAAGATACCACGGGACAGTGCATTGGTACTTTATAATTCACCATGTTTTGTTTGCATATCTTATGAACAAGTAATATTTATTGTGTTTGAAGTATACAAATTTTTTTTTTTTTAATTTCTTAATACATGTAGAAGACACACTTTATTGCACCCTTGATAAATTCACAAGAACTTCACTATAGATTCTTTCTTTTTTTTTTTTTTTTTTTTTTTTTTTTTTTTTTTTTAAATTTAGTACATACAGTGTTTACATGCACCTATTATTATTATAAAGAGAAATACCACATTATATGCATCAGTATTTTATATGGCTTGTCTAACCAGTTCACAAACAGCTGAAAGTACTTCAATATTTTCACAATTTAGAACCCATAACAACTTATTTTCATTATTTAAATGAGAAAAATTGATACAGTGTCTTTGTATAACATTAATCATATTCTCTCGTTCTGTAACAAAACTCAAACATTCAAAAAGTGTGTGTTTTTCATCTTCAATAACATTCATTGAGCATTTAGTACAAAGTCTCTGATCTCTAGGAATGCCAAAGTACCGGCCTCTTTCAATTTGTAAATTGTGAGAAGATGTACGCAACCTACATATTAATTTTCTTTGTTCAAATGGCAGGCATAGTAAGTATTTTTCAAGTCCAAAATTTGTTTTAATCTTAACATAAGTATCCAGTTTACCTTCTTGTAACAATCTAATCAAGTTCCACTCATTCATGTAGTATGAAATTAAATGTTTTTTGCATTTTATCTTGAAAGTTTGCAATTTGTTAGACAAAATATCCTTATTAAAGTTTATCATTTCTGCAATTTTACTATATGTTCCATACCAAGATGGTATACTGTTACTCCAATTAATCTTACTTTGAGAATATGCTGCTCTCAATAATGGGAATGACATATCTAGACATTCTAATCTATGGACATAATTCAAAATACTTTTTATAATATCAAAATGAAGGGGGAGCCTACCAAGCTCAGATAATGAGGAGAAGTTTGCACTTTTCCTATGCAGTCCCAATATATTCTTACAAAATTTTAAGTGTAGATTCTCGCACTTCAACTTACTAAAAATATCATATACAGAGAGTTTGGAGGTTTTACGAAAAATACTTGGTCGATTAATGTTCCCCCATATTTCACATCCATAAAGCAAGATGGGTTTTATTGTATGATCAAATACATGTAGGGATGTTTTAACACTTGGCTTCAAAGACAAAAATTCTTTTTGCAGTTTATAAAATGCCTTTAGAGCTTTTTTATACAGGTCTTCCTGAGCATATGAGAAGGTTCCAGAGGCACTAAAGAGTACCCCTAGATATCTATAAGAAGACACAGATTCCAAAACCTGGTCAAACAGCTTAAATTCATTTTTTATCAAACGACCCGCTTTATTAAATATCAGAATTTTGGTTTTTGTTACATTCACTTCCAGACACCAATCATTACAAAATGACTGTAATTTATGCAATTTAGATTGAAGACCTACTGCTGTCTGAGATAACAATATCACATCATCAGCATACATAAGACAGTTAATTACCTTATCATTAAGTAAGATGGGATTAGGGGTGTCTTGAAGATACTCAGGTAAATCATTGATAAAATAAAAGATGTTTTTATGGTTTTTAAAAATGACCTATTAATTTTGAAGTAAAATTACAATAATGCAAAAATTGACAATTAACCTAGCTGTAGCTTTCATCAAAGATGTATACAGTACCTTAATTCAGAATTTAAAAAAAAGTTTTTGACAATATGTGTGACAAAATGCTCTGTCTTGTGTGTCCATTTTATCACAGAGAGGAGGGCAGGTCTCACTGAAGTCACGATTTCCTTAATGTACATATGTACATGCAGCCATGCAGTAAAAGTTTGAGGTGACCATTTGCAGAGATATGGTCTACAGTCATTTAGGGTATTTCGGGTCACTTTTTACATTTCTACTGCAATTAATTAAACAAACAAGATTATTAATGGTTCCTGGGCATTATTAAGAAGTTTATTGTTTGATTGAAAAGACTTACGAACCAAACTGCGATTATCTTTGATAAAACGACCGCAGTGGTCAGCTTCATCTAGACCTCCAATTTAAGGAATTGCGGGTCACTTCCGGTTATTTCGAGTCACTTTATAAACGTGTGCAAAACAAAACAAAAATTACATTTAATGTTGTTTTATGACCAAAATTAGTTAGTTGTGCTAATATCCAATTGTTATTTCAGCAGAAACGATTTTTTGTGGGGAAAATCGCTCACGGTGAAAGCTGATATCAACACGCTATATTGACCGTGTGTAATGTGGGGCGGATCTAGCTTGAAGACCATGAAATTATGACCTTTAGATTGTTAAATTCTCTAGTAACATTCAGAGACAAACATTTTATGTCATTATTTATTTGAATAAAATGACTTTTTAACAAAGAAAAAAAAGTAACAATGGAAACACCTGGTTTTAAATAACGGGAAAATGACTAGGAATTTAAACATGGTAAGGAAAAGGCTATAAAAAAATTATACAGTAACAAAAAAAAAGTTAATTCGTCCTACTTGGACTCATATAAAATATAAACATATAAAAAAATCTATAGATCTACAAAATAAACATAATAATAATTTAGTACTTGATACTACAATATAAAACACCCCCTCACTTTCTAGTGGAAATGTGCATCTCTGTCTCTCTCTGCAAAATCTTTGGCAAATTTATGTGCATCCTTTCTCTCTCTCTCTCTCTCATTGCAGTCTTTGGCAAATTCATGCTCTCTCTCTCTCTCTCTCTCTCTCTCTCTCTCTCTCTCTCTTATTGCAAATTCTATGGTAAATTTATGTGCATCTTAAAATGATATAAAGTATGTCAAACTTAGTATGTAAACTTTTATATTAAAAAAAAAAAACAACTTCACATTCTATGAAATGAACTTTGATACAAAGAATCATATGTGATGCATGTACACTTTATGATAAGGAGACATCAATGACCGACTTTTCAGGCATATTTTCAATATGCTGCTCTATAACAGTCAATGCTGCATGGAAGTTTTTGGGACACGCTTTGTATTGGCAGGGTATAACAACACCTCCTCCTTTTTCCAGCACATGGGGCCAGGGTGGAAAACTTGGCAATGGTTCACCAGTAACGATTGCAGTTATTACACCTCCAGCATTCATCACATACCTAAAGGCACTCGCCAAACCTCTCGGAACATGACCACAAGGAAGACCTGCTATGTCACTTAATTTCAGGCCTCTCTTTTCATCACTCACTGAATTCTCCAGGTTCTCTGGAACATTTTCTGGCACCCAGACTACACATGCATCTATATCATGAATATTTGAATATTCTCTGTCGACCTGAAGTTCCAAATCACTTGTCACAAGTGGCTTTACTTTATACTCATGATAGCCCTTAATTACACAGTTTTTGATATAAATTATCTCCTTGTTGGGTTCCTGTAAGAAAAAAAAAATACAGTCAATGACATACAGATTTATAAGAAAAAGAATATTCTTAACGCATCTAATAACTCCCCACCCATCTTTTAGATCATATTCTGATTTTGATTTAACATTGTATCAAATTTTTATATAAAACATACTTTGCATTATAAATCATGTCATGCACTATGCAGAGAATATTCAAATATATAATTATGTGTTGCTTGGAAAAAATTTCAGATTATAAACTTAAAAAAAAAATAGATATTGTTATACAAGAGGAGGTTGGCAACAAGCAGGTAAATATTTACACTACAAATTCATATGATATCTATGAAATAGATGTGCAGAGCTGGCATATGAATTCAACAGATTCTTCAACAGCTGCATCTTTGTCCCATGGATGCGCAGCTGGAATACACAAGATATGTTCCCATTTGCGGCACAAATGGTGTCCAGATTTCCTTCCTCTTTTTAGTTCTTCCCATTCTTCTGAAAATAAGCAATGTGTATGTAGGGGCCTAGTATGTTTATTCACCACTTGTCTACATGTACATTCATGAAATCATCTGGAGTTTTAATAAAGTCATTGAAAAAAAAAACAAGAAAAATTGTTGCAATAAAGGAAGGGGCGCCCGAATGAATCCGCCACTGGAAGCATTCACCACTACTGTAAATGTACAATATTTTTGCACAACACTTTACCACATAACGGCACGAATCTAGGTCATAGCAACTTTATTTCACACATACAAAAAAAAATGGATTTTTCTTTTTAACAAAATGATTATTTTTATAATGTTTAATTTAGTATAACAAATTTTCTACATAAAGAAAAGCTATAATCATGATAATATTGAAAAAGCACAATGTAAACATTGACATGTGACGTACCAAAACACGAAGCTGTAGAAACACACGTGACCCGAAATACACTAAACCGAAGGGGGTTAGGAATACACCACTACCTCAATAGATTTTATTGCAACCAGAATTTGTTTAGTTGCATTAGAAAGCGTATAAATTTTCCTTTCCAGTAGTATATAACATGTATTGTTTTATCAGACTTAAACTTCACATCATCGAAGAAAAAAAGATGTCTCCTTTTTTGACATGCAAAATTCTCTGATCGTGAAACATACGCCAATTAATCAACGTATTATTTAAGACATCTATTTTCAATATTTTCCTTTGTAACTGTGTGAATGCATATAACATACCTTGCTGGACGTGACTGCAATAGCTTCTTGTTTTTCTTTTACGTTTTGTGCGAACTGTGTCAAGAAAACCCCGATGACTCCCGAAAATCGGGGTGACCCGAAATACCCTAAATGACTGTAGGCCATTGGAATATGGGGTTGCTTTAGGTATAATGCTATCACAATCTTCCTTTAAAGATTAACTCTTGTGAAAGAATTCTTAATTCATTTGTTGAAAGCACAGTGCTAGATATCATTTATTTGAAAAATGGTTAGAAAATAAAATTTCAAAGATGGCAGGGTGCACCAGAGGTAAAAAATGGTAAAAACAATTCTGGCAGTTAGGGGACAAGTCAACCCTATAAGACCTAGTCTGGCCCCCTTCCCACCTCCCACCCACCCCCTCTTGCAAATAAAGTTGAAATAGCTTTGATTCTGCAGGCAGAAAAATTGAAAAATCAAAATTTAAATATAAAGCCGTCAATCAAAAACAAATTTATTTACATGTATATTATGCTGGTGTAAGGTAATTTATGCTATGATAGTGGAAAATACTAAATGTAAACTTTTGATCATGTTCCAATATTCTAGACAACTAGCTAATTTAAAACTTGTTACGAAGGTTAGCTATTGTAAAAATCAATGTACTGAGGTTTATATGTATTTTATTTTGACATTTCAGAAATGGGAGACAACAGAAGAATTGCGCAGGTCCGCACGGCTCGTTCTGTCATCTGCAGAGTCCTTCTCCTTGATGGAAAACTATTCGAAATAGATGTTGATGTAAGTATAGTAAAATATAAATAAATATGTAAGGGTATTACTGTGTAGTAAAGTATAAAATATGTACTAAAGTTGCAAGGAGCAAAGTAAACAAAATATATTAGAAGCTTGTCATGTGAATTAAATTCTTAAATGCCATGGAACATTTTTCATTGTTGTCAGTTGCAGTTGTGCTTTAAACCTACACGGCACCCCTACCTTTCCTTGCTGCACCCAGAGGCAGTTGAGTTTAATAAACTAAGGAGGAAATACTTCTGTAAAATGATTAATATTACCATTGCTTAACTGTTATTGTTTTCCTCTTTTGTGTTTGGATGGGAAAAACTCAAAGTAAATTGTCTTTATTCCACAGAAACGTGCAGTCGGTCAGATTCTTTTCGACAAAGTATGTGAACACTTGGATCTTGTGGAGAAGGACTATTTCGGACTTTCCTTCACCGGACTTCACACCGGACTCAGGGTAAGTTACCATGGTTACCAAACAGGTGCCCTTTCCCCACCCACCCCCTGAGGAAGTAAAAATGATAGAGGTCTACAGGCTGTGACAGTCAGATTTTATACATACCACTCAACATATACTACCTGACATAATATATCCCAAAGTTGTTAAATATAAAATTGATGAAAAACTCTGAATTTTTTAAAATTGACAAAATCAGTAGACTCACTTATTTCATGGATTTTATGGCCCTCAGTGCCATGTTGCTGTTTATTAATCAGAGAACAAGAAGATACATCCTGGTTGTTTTGATAAAGAACAAAGTATAGCCCTAAGGTGTGCAAGGATGAGGCATTAGGAATCTGAGAAAGCACACAGATCAGGCATGAAAGAAGGAAAGTCGATAGATGAATATGGTAGCATTGTTGTTAATATGATGGCCATCATGCATTCAGAGATTTTTAATATAATTCCATCTTCCAGAACTAAGGAAAAAGGGTGAAAAGAAGTCATGTCATTGAACCTGTATATATTTAGCATAGTTGCAAATATTGCCACATTTATTTTCCACATTTAAGTAATGTACAAAAAAAATTTTGGATAATTAATAGCTAATTAGTGTTCAATGTGCAGCTTACTAAGGGCTCGTGTTAGGTGTGACCGGTTAACAAGGGATGCTTACTCCTCCGAGGCACCTGATCAAATTTCATCAGGGGTCCGAGTTTTATACTTTTTTCACAGATTTGTATTGTTTACAGATTTTTTGAGATCAATCGCTGTTCATTTTCTGCAAACTTTTTCAATGAGATAAAATTCTGACATTCTTCAGTTGTCCCCTATTATTGTCTTAGAATTGTAATAAATTTTGACAGATGTGTTTGTATAAGAAATGAAAAGAATTATATCCAGTCTATTTGAATAAAGAATAATTTATAGCAGTAAATGAAGACATGAATTGAAGAAACTCTGTGTCTCATTTGACCTACAAACATGAAGGTCATTGACACTTAAGTTATATGTAATGCGTGCTACATGTATACACAGAAAGCATCGTTTCCAGAGCATTTGATATTATTAATTGTTAGTCGATCTCGTATTTTTTGTAATCTCAGCTTTGCTTAAGACTTTCAGCAATTAATAAAAATGTAAATATGATGTTTTTAAATGAATTTTAGTCATTGTTCTTTGATGAACTACACAACTCTTTGTAAACAACTTCTTAAAAGTAATTTGGTAATAATAATATGTACATGTATTATTGTTTTTTGTAAGGTTTTAGTGATGATTTGATGAACTGTTAAGTATTAATTTCAAAGCACACATGATTTGATATAGAATAATTTGTTGGTTTAATGTCAAGGGAAAAAATGAAATAAAATCCTAATTCTTTTGAATAGTTTTACAATTTATCATGTTGATTTAATGACAAGACAAGATATGAAATAAAATACTAATTTTTAAAAATAGTTTTATAATTTATCAAAAATTGAGGAAAAGAAAAGATATCTATTTTGGTGACTTTATCAGACTATTCATGTCTTCTGTATCGCCTTGTAGGTAACAATTGTTTACAGATTTTTTGAGATCAATCACTGTTCATTTTCTTCCAGCTTTTTTCAATGAGATAAAATTCTGACATTCTTTACTTGTCACCCTATTATTGTCTTATATTTGTAATAAATTTTGACAGATGTGTTTGTAAAAGATGAAAAATTATTAGTCTATTGGAAAAAAAATAATATTATAGCATTAAATGAAGTCATGAATTGAAGAAACTTGTGTCTCATTTGACCTACAAACGTGAAGGTCATTGACACCCCATGTTCAATGTGACTTGATTATTCCCACTTACTGACAGTTAAATAAGTATCCTAGTATTGGGAATATATACTTATAATTTGATTGTGTTTAGCATTTCCATATTTCTCATGTCATACAAACAGGGTGGGCATTTAAATTGATTGAACTGTAAGTTTTCACAATAAATTTCCCACGATTTTGTGATGAAATTTGTTCGTACACCTTGCATCATAAACATTAACGTGAGAATTCCTAAGATGTGAATTGTGTATTGCCTGTATATATACTCAGGTGTTTATTTAATATACATATACAGATTTTAATGAAATTTGATGGACTGTTAAGTACCTGCAACATTTGAGAGAACAGACTAAGAAATAGGGGTGGAGAGGAAAGAGAGATGGAAAAACATACTGAGTTTATTTTAATTCGTTGAATAGGCAGTTATCATCATGCATTATTTCATTTGATTTAAGGAAGAAAAAAATTGACATGTCTAGGTAGATTGTATATATGCATAGATATATGTGCAACACACTATATTTATTTTGTGATAAAAAAATTTGTGAACAAAAATAGATAAAAGGATCTAGCTAGCAAAAGTACTGTGGCGATAACGAAAAAGAAAACTGCTGTATTTATTTGAATTGAGAAAAAGAAAAGATATCTATTTTTTGTAACCTTATCATGTCTTTATGTCTTCTGTCTTCCTTGTCCAGGTAACGATTATTGATTTGGGTGACATACCTGTACATTTACTTGTGTCAGATGTACCTTTAAATCTTGACTGATTGGGGTCTAGGTATGCACGTATTGCAAGCATCGATCACACTATTGATTTTTTTGTAAAAATGAGTAAAATTAGCCTTGGAAAAAAGTGCTGGAAGAAAAATTGTATGTCATGTACAGTGTAAACAAATCAAAAATGAAATATGTACACAAACCTCATTAAGTACTGGTAAACATTATTATTTGAGCATTTTGGATTTTTGTTCTTTTTCCTATTTATGGTTTATTGTTATGCTTTACTGGTAAAAACTGGAGCATTCTTTTTTTGAATAGTTACTTATAATTTGTTTGTGTGCATCATTTCCATATTTTGTGTGTGTTACAAGCATGTATTCATTTTTCTGAGCAATTGCATTATGAGTATAATGATTATGATGGGAAGAAAAACTAATTTATCATTTATGAGGAATTTCTTTTTGATTTAGAATAACAATGCATCTTTTCAAACATGTTGCAGGGTTTATTAGTATTATGATTTCCCAGTGGGGATAATGATATTTATTATAAGTGTTGACATATCTACCAAGATTTGATATGAAGACATGTTATCACAAAGTTGTTCCCCATGAGTAAACAATTTTCCGAGACCCAGGAATAGACATAATCAGTGTCCCCCCTTGTCTTGGGGAGGCTCGAATCGTTCCTGATGATAAGCCTCTTACCTGTGTTTTTACCTGTGTAAAGGTGTCAGCTAACTGACAGACACTCAGGTAGTAGCATATTTATACGGCTCCGGACTCACAGGTAAATACTACCCTCTCAAAACACTGATTAATATATAGACAGGTGTATATGTATTAAGGTAGACAGGCATGTATAAGTAGAATATATGTGTATTGGCAATTTTTTCTAGACAAACAATAATTCATTTCCACTGGCCTGCCTTTATGAATGAGTAAGAACATGTAAGACAATGTCATTACATATATATTTGTACTTTTACATTTGGAACAATTGTAGTAAGATGATATTTAAAATGTTACAGTAATATATATCTTTGCCATCAATAAGTGCACACAATCCTCATATTCCTAGTAACTGCCTTTTTATCTTGTATATAAGTTAGAATTATTTCCTTTGACATTTGTTTCTAATCCTTTTATGTATTGTACATCTACTTGATCATGTTGATGAATTGTATGCAGATCAGAACTTAAAAGCGAGGTCATCGGTATTTTCTTGCCGTGTAAATTCTGCTCTTGTGAAAAAATCGATAGTGAAAAAATAATAACATTGAAAATCCAATCAATTTTTAAAGCAGTATGCTTGAAATATTTACATTATTGTATTTTCCTCCTCTATAATCAAATTTAATTATTATCCCAATGTTTTGTAGGAATGGTTAAATGTAGAAAAGAAGATATCCAAGCAAATGAAAGGTAAATGTCATCAAGAGTTATTCCCCTTTAGTTCTTCAGCTTGCATTGGATTTTATAATATATTGATTCATATATGAAAAGAAGTGCATGTCAACACCAAGAAAAAAATACATTTTACAGGCATGCATCTTTTATTCTTGTTTAATTAGAAAATAATAGTTGAGCATCTTCAAGGTATGAGGCTTGAAAGTGTTAAAAATAGTCATGGCTTTCATTGCACTAGTATTTATTCCAGAAAAGCTACATTTCATATATTTATACATGTTATACATATGTATATATATTTCAGGCTTGGCATGGGAGTTTAAGTTTGAGGTTAAGTTTTACCCCCCAGACCCTCAGACTCTGCATGAAGACTTAACTAGGTGGGTGTTTGAGGTTTCTATCAGTAAGGACATTGGAAATTAGTTGTTTATGTTGGGGCTTGCTGAAATCTTATACATTTCTTACAGTTTCAAGTTACTAATAACAGTTCTCTTTTTTTTTTTTTTTTTTTTTTTTTGTAGATACCAACTATGTCTGCAGATAAGAAATGATATTGTCAATGAAAAGTAAGTAAAAGAACACGGTTCACTTTTGCCTTATTTGGCCCTGTGAATTTCTGAAAAACTGAAACTGCATAGTTTTAGTTAATAATGCATTAAATATCACTTAGATCTTTGGTGACTGCGTATCTATCAAAATGACGTCATTTTCTGGCCAGTCAATGCATTATGACGTCACGAAATGCCTCGATTTCCTCATATTCTGAAAAAGTCTACAAAAACGGCCAATTTTTAAAGCTATTTTTAGCTCACCTCAACGAAGTTGGGGGAGCTTATGTAATACCCTCGGCGTCGGTGTCGGCTTCGGTGTCGGTGTCGGCGTCGGCGTCGGCGTCCCGGGTTAAGGTTTAGTTTTTTGGAGCAGTTTTCTTTTTAAGTACTTCTATGTCCTATATTGATTAGACATGCATGGAAGATGGTTCTAGTGTGTTTCATTGTACCAGTCAAAGTTTCAGATGCTGCAATTTTAGCACTATGACCAGGTTAATGTTTTTGGAGCAGGTTAACATTTTTGGTGCAGTTTTTGGTGTAGGTTTCATTTCCAAGTAACTATAAGCCCTATGTTAACCAAACTTGCATGGATGATACATCTAAGGATGCATAACCGGGCTTGCTTCGGATGCTGAATCTGACCTACTTTTTCCGGTTGAGTGAACAGGTTAAAGTTTTTTGGTGTAGGTTTCATTTCCAAGTATCTGTAAGTTCTATGTTGACCAAACTTGCATGGATGATACATCTAAGGATGGATACAACCAGGCTTGCTTCGGATGCTGAATCTGACCTACATTTTCCATTTGAGTGAACAGGTTAAAGTTTTTGGTGCAGGTTTCATTTCTAAGTATCTGTAAGTCCTATGTTGACCAAACTTGCATGGATGATACATCTAAGGATGGATACTACCAGGCTTGCTTCGGATGCTGAATCTGACCTACATTTTCCGGTTGAGTGAACAGGTTAAAGTTTTTGGTGCAGGTTTCATTTCCAAGTAACTATAAGCCCTATGTTGACCAAACTTGCGTGGATGATACATCTAAGGATGGATACTGCCGGGCTTGCTTCGGATGCTGAATCTGACCTACATTTTCCAGTTGAGTGAACAAATAAAAGTTTTTGGTGCAGGTTTCATTTCCAAGTAACTATGAGTTCTTTAATGACCAATCTTGCATGGATGATACATCTTAGGATGCATACTACCAGGCTTGCTTCGGATGCTGAATCTGACCTACATTTTGTGGATGAGTGAAAATGTTAGTTTTTGATGTATGTTTCATTTCCAATTAACTATGAGCCTTATAATGTGCAAACTTGCATGGACGATACATCTTAGGATGCACACTAATGGACTTGCTTCGGATGCTGAATTCGACATATATATTTTTCAGATAATAGACCAGGTTAAAGTTATGGTTGCAGGTCTATTACCAAAAAACTTTAAGGCTTTTATAACATTGTATAAACCAAACTTGCACAAATGTTGCATCAAGAGATGAAAACTCAAATTTGCTTTAGATGCTGAATTACATTTTCATGAAGAAGAACTACTTTAATTTTTTTATGTTGGTCTACTTCAAAGTATCAGATCAAAATTGCTTAGATATTTTCATTTTTTGGAATGTACATTTTTTGTTGGTTAATTGTGTGACTTTGCCTTATTTAAAGACAACATTTGTTGAGGTGAGCTCTGTAATCTCTGATTACCTATGTTTTGATATTTGATATAGAGCGCAACCTCTGATCTAAAATATACAACTAGTAAATGATAGAGCTGTTTCTGAGGATTAATGGACATGTTTTATTTTTAAGATCAGAGAGTGCGCTCATATTATTTTTCTTTACTGAAAGTACTCAATTAACCTGTTTGCCTAAAAATTCAAGAACATAGCAGTTTCATAAAGCCAGTTCTCCTAGACCTGGACTTTTAGAAGATTTTTTTTAATAGGATATGAAAGCACCAAGTCTCTACTTTATTTTAATGCTTCAAAATAATAGAAAATCAAGTGTTGATCAATTTATTGGTATATCTACAGGGCCATTTTATGAATAAAGTGAACCGACTTCTTTTTAAAATATACTGCTATTTAGTAATTATTTGAAGTTTGTTTCATTTCTAACTTTGGAAGTAACAGGAAAGTGACTGCCCTCTCTGTTACAAAATCTATAGAGCATTCTCTGACTGAATTCCAAGGGTGAAATCTGGAGTAAAATATACACATGATATTCGTTTTCAGATTGCCTTGCTCAGCTGTAACCTATGCTCTTCTGGGATCCTACACAGTCCAATCGGAGCTGGGAGATTTCGACATCGATGAATTCGGTCCGGGAACAGAATATATCAGGAAGATGAGATTTGCTCCACATCAAGATAGAGAACTGCTGAAAAAAATAGCAGAGCTTCATAAAACTCACAGGTACTAGGATTTTTAGAGTTACACAAAACTCACAGGTAATAGGACTGTAAGAAATACAATGGGACAAAAAAAGGTGACATTAAGGTTCACTGACCCTCTGATAAGAGAGATAACTCTTACTAAGCTAGATGTAAATAAATATTTAAAAAAGAATTCTGTCATCTTTCACCCAGAGAGGTATTCTGAACTTTGGGGCATATTTAAATCAATGTTAGTGTAAAAGCAAATTTTTTAAGAGTAAACAGAGAAGTCAGTAAGCTGGTTCATGTTCTCTATTTTATCATTCTTTACTTGCAGGGGACAAACCCCAGAGGAAGCAGAACTGCATTTCCTGGAAAATGCCAAGAAACTGGCAATGTATGGAGTTGATCTCAGTAATGCAAAGGTACTACAGGAGTTGTTTTGAAAAATGATGATTTGTTGAATGTTGATACAGTCAATTACAGTGTTGTGTAAAAGGAAATAGTCAGGAGAGTCCCCTTTAGTGGGATATACCCTATATTATTATTTTTGGATGTTGCTATTTTTGGCTATTACTATTTTTGCAGGAAGATGAGGGGGTGGACCTTCAACTAGGAGTGTTCCCCCTTAGTGGGGTATACCCTATATTACTATATTTGGCTGTTACTATTTTTGTAGGATGGTGAGGGAGTAGACATTCAGTTAGGGGTGTGTTGGAGTGGTATTCTTGTCTTCAGAGAAAAACTACAGATCAACAAATTTGTGTGGCCAAAGATTCTCAAAATGTCCTACAGAAGAAAAAAGTTCTACATCAAGCTAAGAACAGGGGAGGTAAGATTTCTGTCTTTCTCTGAGAAATTTTGTACATCCCAAACCTTTGGCAAACTTTACGGTAATTCAGATAAATTCAGTAAATTCAGAATTTTTTTCGTCTGAGGATTATCATTCAACTTCTTCACTCAGTATCTTTAAATAAAGTTGGACTTATCTTTTGTAGTTTGAAGAGTTCCAGAGTTTGATAGGTTTCAAATTTTTATCAAGTAAACATTCCAAACGTATGTGGAAGATCTGTGTAGAAAACCATGCCTTCTTCAGGTAAGTCATTTAACCACATATCCCCCTTCCTCACCCTTATCCTCCCAAAAAGGTACAGCTGAACTTTGGGATGTTGAACACAATATCTCAATTACCATGGATATGTTGAAGTGATTTTTGAAGTCCCAACTATATATTCTTTAAGTATTTTCCTTTCATATCAAAGCCTTGGATTTCTTGAAGTTTAATCTTGGTCTGGTCAAGTTTGAGATAATGAAATTTGACATGTAATTATATTGTGACTGTAATCAGTACACTAGTGTGTGACACATGTTTCACCAAAATGACAAAGTGGACTCTGAAGTCACAATGTCCTTGTTATAATTTTACAGAAACAGAGAGCCTGACTCTCCAGGAACACAGAGAGGATTCCTAAAACTGGGATCCAAGTTCCGTTACTCCGGGAGAACTCACTTCCAGACCAAGCAGGCTATGCTGGGGGTAGACCGCCCCTCTCCATTCTTTGATCGTGTCCACAGCAAACGGGCCACGTATCATGGCAGGACCAAAAACAAGGATCTAGCAGATGGTAATTCACCACGATCCGTATTGTCATCTTTGTCTTTTTTTTTTTGTTTCATACATTTCCGTCTTTTTTTTTTGTTTTAAGATGACCTAATTTCATGGTTGAGATTTCATATGACAAGTCATGGGTTATATTGTAGACATACAAACCTTTAAAATGATAAATTCACATAACTTGGTTGTTTCTTTCTCTGTAATTAAATAATTTGATCAAGAACTTTATTGTCTCTTAAGTTGTGTTAAGAACTGTAATGTCTGTTCATATTTTCTCTTCTCTAGAAATGTACAAACCTCGACCGGAGCCTAGGCACATCCCGGAGTATAACCGAGAAGAGAAGATGATGAGGAAGGTTCCAGAGCCTGAGATCAATGACAAAGAAGACAGGGAAGATGTGTTTGAAGATGAGGAGGAGGAGGAAGAGGAGCCAGACAACAGGAAGAGTCGGATGGAGAAGATGCACGCCGTCCCGACCCCGCTGGCGCAGGTCATGATGAAGAAGGAACAAGTGGAAAACAACAACCAGGAAAATAACCGCCGGAGAAGGTCATTCGAGGAGGAAATGTCCGACAGACCTCTGGATGATAGCATGGTACGTACAGACAGACTTAATAATCATAACCTAGTATATAGACATGCTTCTACTAATTCAGGGAAATACTTGGACACTAATCAGAATCACACAAACGTTTCACTTAGTCCGGTTTTATCATTAACCAAGACAACTATGAAAAGACAGAGAGGGCGCCAGCGAACAGGAAGTGAGAGTTTTAAGAAAGTTTCTTTCGATGAGGAGAGCCTCAGAAGTGCTAGCTCTCAGTTCAGTAGGAGTGATAGTGAACTGTTTCCTCAGAAGTTATCTCTGCCCCCTAAAACGAGGTACCAGAAAAAGAGAACAGGCAGCCAATCCAGTGTTGAGAGTCCCCTAGCCATCAGGTCAACCATGACAGCATCTCCCAGTGTGGAAAGTCCATTAGAGTTCAGGTCAACCGTGACAGCGTCTCCCAGTGTGGATTGTCCAGTGGCTGTCAGGTCAACTGTGACAACATTTCACAGGAATCTTCACCCAAGGAAACTGGATTTCAAACGACATTCAGTGGATAAAGATTTGAATTCTAGTATTGATGAAGGATATTCTGACACTTTTGAAAGAAAAATTTCAGAGAGAAGTTATGGAAAAAATACTAGCTATACAAATTCTTCTAAATCTGATTCTTTTGATGGTTCCAGACATATAAATGAAACAAAAGAAACAAACAGAGCTCATAGAAATAAGTCTCATCTGATAGACACTACACTAGGTGGGAGTCTGTACAGATACAGCTCATCAGACTCTGAGGACTTCAGTAGTCCAGTGAAAGTGGAGGAGGAAAAAGTGACATCTAAGTCAAAAGATGTAAGGCAAGTAGGTAGGAGAGGAAGGCAAAAAGAACAGCCTGTCATGAACAAGGAGCCAGTGCCTGTTAGAAGGGAGAGTTCTGATTTTGTTATCAAAAACTTAGAATCAGAACCAGGAGGTGGGTTTAGAAGGAGAGAATCTGGTCCAGGAAATCTCAGCAAGAACTACAGGATAGCTCCCTCAGAGAAGTCCATAGAAAGAAGGGATTTCTCCAAACAGGATGGCTCAAATGTCACAGACACATACAACTACATAAACAATGAAGCCATTTTGTTAGAAAAGTACATTATAAGAAAGCCAGAGTCTGAATCTTCCAGCAGTCCTAGAGAACAGAACCTGCTGGATGATAGCATCCTTGTCTCCAACCTGAGAGGCACCCCAGAGGAGGTCGCTCTACAAGGCAGTATTGAGTACTGTGGGTTTGCAGCAGGACCAAGGTCTACCTCCTCAGTGGATGATATCCTGGACAAAGGAGAACAAAATGATGAACAACACACTTCTCACATCAATCATCAAATATCAAAGGAGGAAATCTCAGAATTAGAGCCTTCTAAAGCAGTTCTAGCTGAAGATGAAATAGAAAATGATGAGAGGCATGAAACTAACGGTAGAAACATGAATGATGCTTTAACAAACAGCACAGCATCTATCTTGTCTTTATCATCAGAAGAAGGAAGTGTTACTGTGAATGATTTTATCCAAAGTTATGACCATGAACCCTGTGTTCGAAGGGCAAGGTCAATGACTCTAGGTCAGGAGGAAAGAGAACCTGTTGACACCCCATCCTTTGAGAACAAGAAAGTGAGATTTTGCAGTGAGGATAACCTTGTGTATGAAGTGAGATATGGATTTTCTGATGAGGAAAAGCCTCCTGAATCACCAGAGAAACTCAACTTAAACTTCATTGATGACAGTCTGTCTGATGATCAGCTCTCAGATTCCGAGTCTTCACCAAACACTCCCTCCCTGTCTCGATATTTCAATGACTCCTCAGGGTCGTCTAGCTCCTGTACTCCTGATACCTCTCCAAGGTTGGAAACCACATCTGCAGTGGCAGGCACTTCTCATAGGACACTCCTACAGAAGAGTCTTCAGAAACCAGCAAACAGAAAGATCATGACAGATGGAGGAACCTTGGAAAATGATGAGAGAGCTGAGGAGATGGAGTTACTGAAGAAAAATGATCTTTTTGAGGATGCTAATGTAATGAAAGAGTTTTCGAATGAGAGTATTGAAATGGAAGAAGACTTTAATTCCAAGAATCAAACAATACCTCAATCATTATTAAACAATGAATTAATGACAAGTGAACAGCAGTTATTTTCTCTGAGTGAAAATGACATGGAAAATGTAAAGATTAGTGAGATGGAAAGCAAGACAGATTTTGATGAGGAACAAAAGATACACCATGATGAACTTGATGCATTTACTCCACTTCAGTCTGGGAAGAAGAGTGATATAAAGGCAGCAGGGAATATTTGCAGAAATTTATTCAAGGACGATGGAAAACTGAAAGAAGTGTCCAATGCATCAGATGCTACTGCAGCAGATCTTTTATCCAGCAAAGAGATACCTCAAAATAGTTTAGATGAAACAATTCAACAGAAGAATATTGAATTTAAAATGCAGTCTTTGTCCATGAACAGTGATGAAGACATACGAGGCAAGAATTTCAAAGTGAAACATCCCAAGGAAGACTTTGAAGTCAGAGAAGGAGTTGTCTCTGGACATGAAGAGCTTCTTCCTGTCATGTCATCACTTTCTGCTTGTGGTCAGATACCAGCTGTAGATGAACACTTTAATTCAGTCACCTATCCTGCCCCATTACCCTCATCCACTTTTGTTGTTAGTTCTACTTCTGACAAGCATACCTATACTGTGTCAAAGGAGGCACCTTGTGGAACCACATCTATTGTTCCTAGTCAAAGTCAGTCAGGGATTTCAGATCAGTCTAACTATTTACATGTGTGCAATACAACAAAAGACATCCCTTTTGAATCTGTTGCCTCTCCTGTCATTTCTACTAATGATCAGAGTGAGACGGCACATAAAAATTCATCAGCACAGAATTCATCCATCAAAGAACCAGACAGTACAGCTAAAGAAACTTGCAGAAATACTGCCTTTATTGCTTTCCAAAGTACACCTGTTGATAAGCCTTTTGCTGTCACCAATACGTCTGTTAGTGATAATACACAATCTAGAGCAATTTCAACCCAGGGTAAAACAATTATTACAACTAGTACCTCAGAGCTTGGAGCTCCCATCAGCACTACTTCACACACTCCTCATAAATCCGAAGTCTCAGCAAGTTTCATCAAGCCTTCCTCAGTTCCTACCGCTTTTTCACAGAGTGCTTTTTCTGATTGGAACAGAACACCAACACCTATTAGACCTTTGGTTTTCATTCCTCCTAAAAAGACCATGATGTCTGCCTTACAAAAAAGTTCAGAAGATGTTTCTACTGTTCAACAACAGAATCCTCCTAAAAAATCAAAGAGTGGACCTGATTCTCAAATGGAGAGACTTGATGGGCAACAGAAATCCCCCAGGGACAGTTACAGCAGCACTGCAGAGTGGGTCTTATCCCACTCAAATAGGTTTGTCAACACCAGCTCTGATAAAGTCGACAAGGGACCCAATGTGAATCAAGTCACTGCCAAGAAGCCCAAAACTAAGGAGGATGAGGGGGTTGATTTCAGCATAACTAGACAGTTAAAAGACAGAGGAGATATCAGTACAGGTATCAAAATGGAGAGAGAAGTAAAAGTTAAGGAAAGTGAACAGATGAAGTCTTCTTCTCCCATTGGTGGAAATAACACAAAGAAGTCTATATGGAATCAGCTAGAAAGGGAAGGTGGGGGAAAAGAAAATGCAAATGATTGGGAAGTAAAACAGACACAGTTTGAAAGTTTGACAGATGCTGATAGCAAGAACATCAACTTAAAAGCTATTGATAGAAAAGAGAATACAGTGTGTGTTAACAGAGAACATTTTCAAAAATCTGGGCTCCATGGAGACAAACAATTTAAATCAATCCAGTTAAATGTAGATGGAAGCACTATTTCACCATCAAGAAATTCCTCTGAATGTCAGGAGCTGAAGAAAGAAATAGAGGTTTCAGGCAGAATGAATGTTAAAGGCATTCCAAATAGCTCAAATGAACCATTTCTTGGAAATCCAAGGGAAAATTATGAAGATTACAGAGATTTTAAAAGGCCATTAAATACTTACACAAGTGAATCCATGTTTTCTCCTATCTCAGCAAGACAGAAGAAGAAGGTGTACATTGATGGCTCCCTTCAGAGAAGAAGAGTGTTGGAAACACAGAAAGAGAAAGGTGAGGCAGGGAAAGACGCTGTGGATAATGTGATTGCTGGACAAGATGAAGACGGGGGATTGAAAGATGATGGTGTGAAAACAGAATCCAAAGACAGCAATATGGAAAGAGAGATTTTAGCACAGAGGGTTGAAGCAATAGAAAACATTGAAGAGTATGAACTTGCAGAAGAGGTAGTTAAAGATTCTCAAAGAGGAAGTGTTGCTGATTTAGAAGAGATGAGTTGTCAAAGATCCCACAATAATTTAGCAGACAGTAATGGAGAACGGAATGGACATAGAAATAGAAAGAAGGAAGGACTTGGAGGGGGAAATTGTCCTTCTCAGTTACACAACATGGGATCACAGGAGAGACCAGGCAAAGATGGAGAAGATTTGGAAAGACGTGATGAACTGCCTCTTCTCTGTGACTCTGAAAACTCTGAACTGGAGGAAGATTTTAAAATGGCTGAAGAGGAACCTGACAGCCTGCCAGAGAATTCAGCTGTTATGATGAGGGTGAAGCCTCAAGTGAAAAAAGATGAGGGTCCACCATTACCCCAGGCAGGCGGAGTAGACGTTCCTACAATGTTGCCTAGGAGACTAAGTGCTAAGAGGTTAAGTTCGATGATGGTTCGCCCCGAGAGTCCGGAAGCCGTGTACATCCTGTCTGAGGTCTTCTTAGCAATACTGATATTCCTCATCTCAATGCTTTTCTTATTCTTCTGAGTCAGAATAGAAGCTTATTTAAAGTTTGTGAAATTGTTTTAGAGGCCTATCCTATAAACATTTATTAAAAGTTGCAATATCATATATTTTAATCATTGTTTGAACCCCATCTAGCACAGAATCTAAACTATAAAAGACAATGTCATATAAAACATATAATGGGAACTTTTTTTTTGAATAACATTTTCTGTAAGTTTTTTTTCTTTCTTTTTTTTTTATAGCTAAAATGGCTGTAATATTTTTCATATCAATTTTTTTAAAGGTAATAATATCTTCTTTTATTTTTGTCTTCATTTCAAATTCCTCGTTCTTTACAGAGGAATGAACATATTTAGTATATGTATGGTATACAAATATTGATTTTTTTTCTTTTGATTATTATATTCTGATGACTGTGATACAGTTTGGCTTGTACTTATGTTATATTTAATCCTGCTCTAGTCCCAGACTGTCCATATTATTAAGCCATGTTTTACATAGTTCTACATTTAAAAGATTTAGTCGTTATTCTTATGTTGAAGCTTTGATGCTACTTTATAGTTTAATCCATTCTTCTGGAAGTGCCATGCAATAGTTTAGAAATGAAATCCAAGTGAAGAGTTCATATACATTTGTTACCGTATAAGTACATTTTCAAATAGAATATATAACTTTAAAAAATCTTTGTAAAATTGATGTTTGAATGTAAAATTGTTAAATATAGTGCTGTATTTTTGTAATGGTTTGCTTTATTGAGGAATATGTTTTACAAACACATTTTTGTTTAATTTTGTTTATGTGTCTCAGGTTTTCATATAAATTTACATTATTATATTTACACTGTTGTTCTTGCATATTGTTGTTTTCATATACAAGAGGTATTGTAAAAGAAAGGAATGAAGAAAATGCTGAAAAGCAATTTGGGAATGCTATTTGTAAAAAAAAATCTTGTTTCCTTGGTTTCATCTATTAATTGTTTTCTTGTTAGTATAATTAAAACTGAAGGGAAAATGTGTACTTTTCAGTCATTTTTAATTTTACAGAAATTCAAGAGTTTGAGATGTACCTGAATAGCTCAGTTTTCTGAAGCAAGTGTGGTTGTTTTGTTGCCAATTTTTTTTTTTCATCATCTCTCCCTCAAAATTCATTGTACTGTTGATCAATTCAGGAAAATGCTGGCCATTCACTTCTGAATTATTCATGTACTCTATATATTTTTGCAGATTAATATTTTATGTTCATTATCTTTTTTCAACAATTGTAGATATGAAATTCCAACCTAACATTCTGTCTCGAATGAATTATTTTATTTAAAAAATTGAATTATCTTCCATTTTGGGTATAGAACCATTTCTCGCATTGCTATGGATACATCCCTGTATTTCAAACAATTTTAATATGATAATGCACAAGACAGCAAGATTTGGATTGTTAAGCTAACATGTACATTATAGGACACATGACATTCACTTTGAGTTTTGAAACAGATAATCAAATTTTCAATCTTTTGCTTTCCTTTGGCTTTTGTACTTAGTAAGTGCTAAATTAATAATTTTCTTTGCTTTGTACACATGATTATTATTATGTACTTAAAGAAGTCACTTATACACTTGTTTTCTGTTTGTATAGGTAAAATCTTGTGTTCATTTGAATTATTTATTTTGCTAAAAATGTTGAATTGTTAACTTTGCTGAAATACTGGAGCGAAATAAAAGATGCTATAAAACGGATGTTGTTCTTCATATGAAAATGTTTACATGTGATTGAGTAACATTCTGTATATATGGTTTTTTCCACAAGGTACTTATTTTGCATTGTGTATTTGATCACAAATTTTCAACAGGATTCCACACCGCATATTGAAAATGCAGTTAAGACGTGAAATGTCAAACCATTAACTACCTGCAGTTTCAGCAGAAATTGTTATTAAACAGCATTTTAATGTCACAGTGGAAAAAAGTATGTTTACAGTATTTCATATGAATAGGATTACTCATTTCCAAACGAGTTGCACCATTAGCCTTTCTCCTGTCTTGTTGTGAAAAATGTCGCCACCGATGATCGAAATACTTATCTTGTAATGCATGCACAGCTAAATATGTGTAGTATATGTCTAAATATAGTAACTAACCTTTTGTCTATGTCGTACAATTGTACAGATTTTATAACAAGGTATTTATATAGCCCAGTGATGGATATTTGGGGCACCTGCTTGCGGGTTTGGAGGAGACATATAACTGATCTTTCCTTCAGAGAAATACTAACAACTAATATTAATCAAGTAAAATAAAAGTATACCATTTGCTAACATATTCTAATAACTGCTTACTATATTTGTTTATCATACATGATATTGGATTAACAGGGAAAAATATTTCTTGCTTATTCCCAATTTTACCAACATTTTAAAATTCTTGCAAACTTGAAAAAAAGTAATAACTTTTTTTAATCAGAATGAATGGCATACTTCTTCATGACATGACAGGAGAATTAACAATTATTGGTATGAACTATGAATTTGAACATAAATGCAACTTTCTAATCAGAATAAACAATCTTTTTCTTCTTAAAAATGTTCAGTGGTCCCATTTTCCCCTGCAGAGTAATTGCTAATATTAATAATGAAAATCTGGGCTTTGCTTTGTAGGAAAGGTCAGTTGATGTCCCTCCAAACGAGCAAGAACCCCCGAGTGTACATAACCTCCCCTCCCCACCACTCGACCCCCCAGCACTCCTTAGCAAAGAGGAGCGAAAGAAACGAGAGAAAGAGGAAAAGGAGCGTAAGAAGAGAGAGAAGGAGGAACAAAAACGGAAGAAGAAAGAGGAGGAGAAAGAAAAAAAGAGGCTGGCCAAGGAGAAGAAGAAGAAGCCGCCGGTGGAGGAGAAGTGGCAGGAGGCTGTGGCAGTGTCGGCTACCACAGAAACCGTGGTGGTGTCTGATCGGGCACCGCGGAGAATGAGCAGCTTTGAGGAGCAGAAAGAGGATAAGGTGAGTCCTAGCTTTCTTAATAAATATAGGTTTATATGCATGGATATTGAATTTGCTGCATGATGGATTGTCAGTTTGAATTGTTCATTTATAATTTTTCCAAAATTTTGTTGAAAGACAAATGAGAGAAAAAAGTTCTTAACCAAATTTGTTATAGTCAAGCTTATTTAATCATTGCATTTGTCTTGAAATATGTAGATAAATATCTTTGTTTGAAACTTTGGGGGTTTGATTGTGTTGGTTTCATTTCGTACTGCATTGCATTGAATATTTCATTTACTTATCAATTAATATTTGTATTAATCCAAGGTAAGTAAGAAAGAACAACTCTAACCCTTTAACAAGAGAAAAGAAATACCATATGTAATCAGGAATAATGCATGCTCTTTTCCTGTAATTAGCCTGAACATCGCGAGGCCGATGAACGAGAGGTAAAGAGTGCGGAGGCAGAAGGGGATTCTGAGAGTGATCGAGCCGATCAGGGCTCGGAGCAGGAGGGGTCAGAGAAAGAGGACGACCCCAAAGACGAGAAAGCGACCAAAGAGGTTACATATCACACGGTGTGACTCTCAACACACTAATCAAAGCTTCAGTCCTCTTACTAACTTATACTGTAGGCTATGTCTCTAGCGCCACTTTGTGTGTGAGTTTGGGGTTTTAGCTGTGGCCAGTTATCTAGAATTGCTGATGACCAGAGGAAATCCAGACCTTTGATATAACATGCTTTGCTTCTGCTAATATTTGAGAAGATTTTTTTGCAGTACCAGGGTACTCAAGTATTTGTTTTCACAGGATGTACAGAGCATAGCCAATTTAAACCTTGGACTTGTATTATGTGAACAAAAACAAATAATTATTTTGAGTCTAAATTTATATCTTTAAATTGATTAATACAAACAGTAGAGGTACTTGAATCAGAAATTACCTTTTAATTAGTTTTCTAATTTTCTTCATGAAGGATGTTATAAGAATCTTAATTGTACTGTTAAAATGTGAAATTGGCAAGATTTGATTATATATATTACACCCCAACAAAACATACGTGTATCTGTAGAGTAAATAGATCAAATGGTACTGTAAATCACTTTTTATTCACGAGAACCTTATTTTCGCGTAATTACGCGAGACAGTGTGCTTATGAAAATTTAATTCTCGCGTATAATAGCATTCCTTAAAATTATACAGAGGAATAATGACAATTCATGAAAATTTTGATTCACCAATCAAGAACCAATGACTCGCAAAAGTAAGGTATCGCAAAAATTTAGTGATTTTCAGTATTTTAAGTATAATTAACTATTCTTTTAATAAAGCATGGACAAAAGTATATAGACTAAAAATCCTATAAACTATAGCTAGTGAACTGTTGATAGGCATTAAAGCATCACCTTTTATGCAGCCATCTTCTTGGTAAACAACATGCTATAAAACATGGCCAGGCTTCTTAACTGGCCTGGATTTGATTTTGTCTTCAAAATTAGCTGAACTCTTAATTCATAGTGTTTACAATGCAACAAATAATAAGAACAATTTTAATGTAAAATAAAAAGAGAAAACATGAATATATGTGGCAATATGGTATCCCTCCCAGCATTACTGACTTAACATTGTGTGGGGGGGGGGGTATTAGATGGCATACCTAATGGTGATTCTTTAATAGCTCTATCCATATTTAGCCATGTTTGAATGTTGAATTTTGTTGTGGTGTGGTCATAGTTGGATCCATAATTTCTATAACCATTCTTTGAAGGGGATTTATGATAATTTATTAAAGAGTAAAACTGTTTTGGGAATTTATATTAATTAATAAATAACATTTAAAAACAGAAAGAGAAGGATAATATAACTTATTATAATTGAGATGGTCATGCATGCCCCCGTTAACTTGGGATTAATGAGAATTAATGTTTCTGATTTCAGTCCTACGAAAATAAGGCTTTTAGCGTAAGACATGACTCACTTACTAGTAACCTTGGTACATACCTAGGCCTTGTACTGCTAGTCATCAGTTGTTTGTCATTGCTGAAAATGTCGTTGTGCTGGAAAAGCTCAGATCATAATTCAATTTGGTCATTATTTGTTCTGCATGAATATATGCATGAATTTCAAAACTTGAGAAAAAAATCTTTTCAAAAAGTTAAAATAAGGAGAAACAATTTTTTTTAGATCTCTATTGTACAATTTAGATTTTGTTGGATGTGTGTGTACGTGCAGTTAGAATAATAAAAGCTTCAATGTCTTTTTTTATATAAATATATATATACGTACGTATGCTATGTATCCTCAGTTTTAACAAAGGACTTAAGCCAGAATGTACAAAAATCCGCCCTGTCACCAAAACGGATGAAACTTTTTCAAACAATGCTCTTAGATTAGTATATTATATAACATTTTATTTTTTAACAATATATATATGAATTTGGTATTGTTCTCACTGATAATTCTACGACGTCATGACGTTGCCGTTACTTATTCTAACGTCATGACGTTGCCTTTACTTACTTTAATGTCATGACGTCAATCGTATATACTTTAACGTCATGATAAGAAATTAATAAGTAGTAAACATGTAATATATATATATTCTAAGGAGGAAAAAATTCAATTATTTTTATATAAATCTCAATTTATCAATTTTTCTTCAAAGAAATTCTGAGGCATTGAAAAGAGTTTAGTGTTACTTGCTTTTCTTATAGTCTGTACTTCTCTAAAGAAAATATATACTCGTACTTCATAAGCAGTTACGCTGTTTATTTACTATTTTATAAATGTAACAGTGTCAATTTAAAATAATAATAACAAAATTATCAGTTTTGTAAACATTTGTATTTCTTGCTCCAATAGAATTCATAATACACAAAATATTGAAGTAACCTTCACTTAAACATATTCTTAAAGTAAAACATAAAAATACATACATCAGAAATAATGTATAATGTATATGCAAAGTCAAGTTATGCCTTTTTACTGATTATTGCTACAATATCACACCTGACTTAAAACTCACACATGAGATTATAAACAGTTAAATTAAATAAATAAGACTCTACATGCGGAGCGGCCAAATTTCCGCTTCCGACTTAAAACTCACACATGAGATTATAAACAGGTAAATTAGAAAAATAAGACTCTACATGCGGAGCGGCCAAATTTCCGCCTCCGACTTAAAACTCACACATGAGATTATAAACAGGTAAATTAGAAAAATAAGACTCTACATGCGGAGCGGCCAAATTTCCGCCTCCGACTTAAAACTCACACATGAGATTATAAACAGGTAAATTGAAAAAATAAGACTCTACATGCGGAGCGGCCAAATTTCCGCTTCCGACTTAAAACTCACACATGAGATTATAAACAGGTAAATTAGAAAAATAAGACTCTACATGCGGAGCGGCCAAATTTCCGCCTCCGACTTAAAACTCACACATGAGATTATAAACAGGTAAATTAGAAAAATAAGACTCTACATGCGGAGCGGCCAAATTTCCGCCTCCGACTTAAAACTCACACATGAGATTATAAACAGGTAAATTAGAAAAATAAGACTCTACATGCGGAGCGGCCAAATTTCCGCCTCCGACTTAAAACTCACACATGAGATTATAAACAGGTAAATTGAAAAAAATAACAATTTTTTTTAAAAACATATATACAACATATATATAAAATAACAATATATAAAATACAATGAAGATTAACTAACTGTTCACTCCTCGGGAACACTTCCACAACTACTGTCATCACTGTCAGACTCGTCCAAAGCAGGTGGGATGTCAGCTGCATCAAGGACATGCTCACTCCAGTCACGCACACCATATGTCCATTGTTCATGCCTTCCTTTTGCCAGGTACCAAATGATGGCTGCTATGTGAGAGCACATGCCTACAACTCTGGCACCCGCTCTGCAGGTACAATACCATGCTACTACAGAGTCATCAGAATACTCAATCCAAACTAAATACTGTTTTGATGATGTGTGCCGACTCTGAATTTTTACCTTTAGGAGCCTATCATTTTCTTTATGGAAGGAAATATCACAACCTCCCTCAATGTGTTCTTGAATATAGCTACGAGAGAGCTTCAATTGATAGGTGCCACAAGTCAAATTCCGCAACTTATCCTCATCCAACATGGGGAAATTCTGAATTTCACATTCAAGAACTGTTTGCCATTGAGTAGATCTTCTGTTAAGTCCATTCTCCTGAACCATTTGTTTGAGATTATTCACCTATTAAGAAAGGCAGTAATGCAATGCATATATGAACTGAATCATGTGCATGTAATTATAACTTATATACTGATGTATTCAAGAGAGATGAGCAAGATAGAATTAAAAAATTAAATGTCTTCTTAAATGCAGATTTTTGCAGCTGCTCAATTACATTACGATATTATACAAAAAAATCAATTTGTACAACTTAAATACCTGTTTGGACAGATAGAGCATTTTTGCTGCCTCTGCATCATCAGCCTCAGTGCTGTTACTTTTACTAAGGGGTGGAGAGAATCTGTTTGAGAGAGCGCAGACTATCCTCACATAGTCACCGATGAAGGGAATTTGATTAGTGGGTAGAGTCTTCTCTAAATATCTCCACCTTTTGATACGTGCGTTTGAAGATTCCACTACCCATCTGACCTGAAAAATATGTTTTCAAAACTTATTCATAGTAAATATATCTTCACAAGAAATTGTAAATAAATTTATTGAAAGAATTTACATGTTATTTACCTTTGTCACAAGTCTGCTCATATCTGCATCATCAGTAGTCATTTGGTTTTGTCCCTTGAGCAGAAATCGGGGCATTTCTGCCTGGATTCCAAGGTCTTCAAGAAGAGGCAAAGCATCCCTGAACCCGCGGTCAACAATAAAGATGTCGTCTTCACTTAGCCAGTTCCGAATATCTTAAGCATTTGTTTTAATGATATGTTGCAGGATTGAAGCATCATTGTTTTTATTATCAGCTAGATATGGTCCTAAGATTGAAACATAGTAACCAGTAGTAGTCACGATAACCATAGGTTTGATTAGTGGTCTCCCCTTGTGGATGCTGTAAGAACGTCTATGGAAGTGGAAATTATTGCTCTTGGCTGTGTATATGTAAGTACATGTACCATCCAGTACCAATATGGCCTGTTTCTTCTCGATGTTACCGAACAGTGTCTGTGCTAGCTGCCGTGTATGGTCATCGATGACTTCCTCTCTTCTTATGTGTTCAAACCCAAGATGGTGCGGCACAAAGCTGATCATCAATGCTGTTCTTACAGCACTAATAGCTCTCCTTAAGCTGGATTTGGAAGTTTGGAAAAGTGTTGACAGTATTTGATTGGACAAACCAGTTTTTAATTTGCACAGGAATATTGCAACGGATTTTCTTAGACTTCTAGATGGTGTTGGTTTCACTTCATCTCTCACAGAGTCACATATTGTATGGAAATCTTCCTTGTTGAGTCCCAGCAAAGATAAATAGTCTGTATCGGTCAGAGTCATGGTGCCATCAAAGTCCAAAAAAGACTTGTCATATTTATGACATAAAACACGCATCTCTTGAAGTAAACTTAGGATGGTAGTTCTGTTAACAAAGGCATGGTCTGTTGTTGGTAATTGCTGAATTGCAGCAGTTGTGAAACGTCCATTTTCCACATGACCAGGACAACATCTATTTCCGGATGGAATTAAGACATCGTGTTCGATAAAAACAGATGTGCGGCATTCTGGTGACACTACTATCAATTTTGGCCCTGGTTTCTTACAAACGATACAACAGGCATGAGTCTTCGCAGTGGATTTAAGGTGCAAGGATACAGATGGTGGAATGGAGAGATGTTTTCTGTTGTCATTTGTTTCGGACGCTGGACATTTCCTGTGAATTGCGGTAGAGCAGGGTGTTGCAGATGGTTTACGGCATGAAACATCTCTGTAATAATTGCTTCTACATTTGCTGCATATGACAGAATTATCCCTTCCTTCTACCATAAACCTTTTTCTTAAATATTTTCTTATGCCTTTGTCAAAATGCCTCCTTTCATTGGGTTTTGTTCTTTTAGAGCACAATACACAGTTGAAGTATTCAGTTTTGTGTCCTGGCATTATCTGAAATTAAATATAAGAATGTTTACATTTTATGCATTATTATCCAGGCATACTAAGAATTCATATACCTTTCCAACTGAATAAAATGACATTTTTTATTTCATTTTACTGCTATAATTTATTTTAAACTACAGCCAAAAAGGCTTATTAAAATTGTGATCTTTTGAAAATATCTTCTCAATCTCATCCAGATTAGAATAACAATAAAATAATTTTCCCATGGTCTAAGCTATCTACATGTATGCTCAGATTCATGGACTTAAATATTGATAAAACTTTGCCCGAGGAAGAACATGAATTTTTACATCATTGTACAAAAATTGTCTTCTACTTACTCTAGGAATACTTCAAAGATATTCGAGTTTAACCACCTAAAATATTGCTGCTTTATTTTTGTTTTAAAAATCTTTAAAACTCTTCACTGTGATATTTATTTTATGGACTTTTTTCTCCTTTCTATTTAAATATGCACACGCGTTAGGATCCACCCCCCAATTTCAGCAATTTATATTTAATAACCTGGGAAAGAACAACAAAAATAAAGTAGCAGAATTATAATATTAAAATTAATTTTGGCAGTTTATTACTTTAAAACATTTAAAACTACTAATTATGTTTAATGAATTTGCTTTAACATGCTTTAATTTGCATTGTTGAATATATTGTTTTAAGAAAAAATCATTTTTAATGAAAAATCATTAAAAATATATTTAAAAGGAACATGAATTTTTTAAAGAGAGGTAACTCGTGACAACAAAAACAAAAAAAACACCTGATATAACAATATGTTGAATATCTGTGTTAATTTGTCTATTTTTCGGTAAATTATGACTATTAGAAATGTAAACTAATATTTTTACATTGATATATGGTCTTATAAATACGTACTTTTATTTTATTTCAAAAATAGAGGGGATTCAGATTGACATGTTCCAATGTTATCATTGCTGAAATTTGAACTAGATACTCATAGGTCTAACATTATATACAGATTTTAATAAAACTTAATTTAGACCAATGCCGATCTTTTTTGCATCTCAATCACATATGGGTCAAGCGAGCGGTCCATGTATTATCAGCTCAGAATCATCATATTATATTGATGCATGTGTATGTTAAAGCTTACTTTACTTATATGTTTAGAAGAATAAAGATACTCACCACAACAAAGTCATGTAAACGTCTCTATCTTCAGTCGATTTAACTATGCATTGTATATTGGTTCCATTGCATTCCGGATAGTCAGTTATATTTTATCACATCGGGATCGGAAATATTCACCTTTTTACAGATGCTAGTTTTGCCGAGTGGATTTTATATCCTTTAAAATTCATTTACGGGCACAATAAATTATTCAAAAATAAATCATTTAATGTGACTATTTAAGTCTAACCTTTATTTCTACTAAGCCCTACTGAGAGGGGGAAAAATCCGGAAATTATCGTTTACACAAGTCAGGCATCAAAGTACTGAGAAGTATGATTTAAGTAGGGCGCCACACGTGAACCACCAAAAACCAAATGAATTATGGATTAACATATATCAAGTTAACTGTGTTTAAATTTTCATCATGGTTTAAGGTTGGCGCCTTTAAAAAAATCGCTGTAAAAAGGTCTAAATTTCTTTGAAACTTGGTATTTTAGCATTACCGCATCCGGTTTTGATGTTTATAATACGGCACGTGCTGTTTCCTTCCCAAAAATCAAGACGGAGACCAAAGGTTTAACATCTAGTAAAAAGTTGGCCTACGTTTCGCTGCTTAATAATGAAGTTTGATTTTCAGGAATTGACAGGGCCAAATCATGCAGATTTTGGCTTAAGTTCTTTATATTGAAATATATATATTTAGATCTAATTAATGAAAATTACATTTCTGGGAGGAATTTTTGGCAATGCTCATCATTTTACTTCTCTTTGGGGCTAGAAACAAGTCTTAATGATTTTCATTGGGCATGCATGTTTTCAGAATCAATTAAAAGCATTTTGCTTGTTTAAAAAAAAAAAAAAAACATGATCATACATTATGAATGCAGGAATATCTGGTCCATTATTTTTTTTTTAAGTATTTGCCTGAAAGTTAGTATTTGTCTTTGAATTTTGTTCTAGCCCTGTATTTTCAGTGTGTATTCAATTCTCCCATGCATATATTTGTTTAGATTTATCAATTCCATGTAAACAATTAATAGCTAGTGTAGACTATCTATAATGTGATAATCAGTTTTGTGATTTTTCTTTACCTTGCAATTATTTATAGTTTATGCCATGGATTTAATTTGTACTATCTTTTTTTTCTTCATTTACCAATCCTTTTCCCAAAATATTTCCCCTTCTTATATACACTATACTCTTTTCCTGTTCCCTGTTTTGGTTGGATATTTTGGAATGATAAAATTATGAAGATTGATAAACATATAATTATAAATAAAACCCTCAAAATAGCCATGCAGACTTTACAATATTTATAAAATCTAAATTTATCTTTTCCTGTTTGTAGGCCAAGGATGAGAATCTAAACCGCAGCACAGACCGAGTAGGAGAGGAGTTTGATTTATAGATTTGAACAAGTAACCCTATAGCCCCAGGCCGCTTGGACAAAACTGTGATTGAAGCAATAAGACTAGAGAAGGGGAAGAGTGTAGTAGAAGTGTTCAGCTTCATGTGCTAATCACTAGTGAATTCAATCACTTGGAAGCATAGCTTCAATGTAACAAGAACTCTGATTGGTTGACAGAGGCATTACCATGGAAATCATTACGTCCTTTTATACATAATCACCCAATCAAAATTGATTTTATATTACTGTAACAGTATACTTGTAATCACTTTTATTCATTTCAAGGACATTTTATACATATCAGCCTTGGCCCAAATAATCATGACCCACCCCAAATTCTGTATATATAATGTATACATTCCCATAAAATCTACAATATTGCATATAACCATTCCGTATTTCAGTAGTGGTTGTCCTGTGGTTATCTTTAGAGAGGTGATGTTATTTTTTATCTAGTGATTTTTATTGATTGTATAATTATTTATTTAAATGGTTGTATGTGCCATTATTCTGCCTTGTCCTATTGGAATTTTATCTTTGGTGTCAGAATGAAAATTTCTTGCAAAACAGAAAAAAAAATTTTTTATACATAACATACTTTTTACAAATTTTTACTAATTAATTGTTTGCCAAATCATTTTATGAAAATTTCTAATGAAATATTATTGTAGATTTGTAGTTATATTTTTAATATGCTTGTTCTGGTCTTCAATACTGTGATTGTTGAATATTTAAACCATTTTTTAAGGCTTCCTCATGACAGACTTTAATATGTAGAATTAAAAAAAAGAAACGAAAATTTTCCTGAAAATATATTCATTATCAAGTTTCAAACTTGTGTAAAGATACTAGTAGATGCTAATTAAATCAGACACAAATGTAGTTAGGTGAAATGAAGGCACCATCAGATAACATTTTATGCAGTCTTCACATAATCCTCAGAGTGTATCATGGATCTACGTTTGTACATGGAAGATATGACTACTGATGTTATAAAAAGTAAAATCGTTAATTTCTATTTTACATAGGACAATTTGAATAATCAAATAAAATCTATAAATAAAGACTCTCTCATGTTGTTCTGTTGGAGTGGGATGTTTTATTTATCATCCCCTCTGGGTATTCATACAAGATTGTGCTTCAATAAATTTGATATTGCAGAAGAAATTTATTTTCAAAATTTTATTCAAGTGATAAGAATTTTAGAATACCTTGCAATGTTGATTTTGTAAATTTAAGTAAAATTCAAAATAGGAGTTGTCTCTCTTTTATAAATGGTCAATGAACCTTAAAAAAAATTGTTGAATGGGACATCCATCACATCCATTAGCAGTGATATATCATTGTAAATTGTGTGATACTCTTCATGACACCCATGCAGCAGTATTGTCAGTCTTCTTTTTACCAACTGATCATTATCGCTAGAACCCTTGGGTTTTTTTCTCTTTTCTGACGATGTTTGATCCTTGTTTCTAAAGTTACCCCCCCCCTCCCCCCAAAAAAATCCAGAATAATTTTTTTTTGGTTGGGGGGGGGGGGATCAAAATATACTTGAAAATCTAAACATATTCATGATTTTGAATAGACATTCCGTAATTTTATGCCCCATCTCAATTTTAAAGAGGGACACAGTGAGTTTGCAAATTAACAATCTCTGGGTGGGGGTGGGGGTTCTTATGAAATACATGTACCTTTTTCTGAAATCGTGGCCATTTTCAGAGGCGGGGCATAATTGTTTTTGTTTAATGTTAATGTCAGTCCTGTTTGTTTGTTTTTGGCAGCACAATTTCTCCTAAACCGCTTCACAGAATTCTGTCAACCATGACAGATATTTAGTACACAGTGTGTAGATGTGCATATACCCATTTCGGTTATTTTTGTGACATTCGTTACTTTTTGAATTGTCAAGTTTTTCTTTTCCGATCCTCATAGGTTCTGAAAATCAGGCATTGAGTAATAGAAAATGCTCACGAAGATGTCTCTATATTTCCAAAGTAATGTGTAATTATCCACGGTGATTCTTTAAACTTGATCTTCAAAGTTAATCATTTTATGTAGGAAAATTTAGTAAATCTCAAAGTAAAGGATCACTTCATTATAAATAGGGATTTGACCTATAGGACCGGGCTTGGTTTTTTCTCTACAAAAACCTTGTCGGTTTCCATTCTGATTAATGGCATTAGGCTGAATACATATAACAATTTGTTTTTCCTATATCTTTTTTGAAAAAGGTATGATGAACCCTTTCATTGATTTATATATGTAATAATTGATATTTGTCATAACTTCTCAATAAGCATAATGGTGATGTTTACTGCCTCTGAAATTCTATTCTTTATGTTTAGGCAATTTTATCCGTGAATGTAGGAAAACATTCCATTAATGTATGCAAATTATATAGGCCTAAATCAAATCCGAGGAGGACAGTTACTGGTATGTATGTAGCCAAAATCAATGTTATTAAATCCTAAGGAATATATACAATTGACATTCATCGCAGCTCAATGCTGCCAAATGTACCTGTATTAAGTAACACAGAGTGAGTTATTCTTGTCCTCGGAGAAAGTGTGCTTATACTGATTGAAAACAACTGTTCATTGGATTTTCACGATTTGATATCTCTTTCGTGTTTCTTATATCAAGAATGGGCATGCATAAAGGATATATAATTGAAGGAAAATACACAAGGCTATAAAAAATATATAATTGGCTTTGAAAAGGCAAAAATTTAAAAATTCAAAAGTGTGTAAAAATACGTAACCCCGACTTTAAAATGTTAGTGTGCACACTACAATAGTCAGCGTATATATCAACTGATACTTTATCATTGGTATAAATGAAGCAGATTATCAAAATCAGGTTTCCTTATTTTTTGCTGGTTTTTTGTGAATTTCACCCCTAAAAAAATCCCATCTTTAATTAATCCTTACATCCAAACCTATCCAAATATCACAATTTCATTTAGGGGCAGGCCTGCCCTGAAGGACTTCTAGGCCAAAATTCATGCAAAAATCAAACTTTATATACTTTGGAGGTGTATTATAAAGAAATAAATAATAAATTAAGGTATAAAATACAAATTTGAACATATATACGGTAGAAAACAACAAATAATGATTAATTATTCAATGTCACTTTTTCCGGGAAATTGTTCTCTCCTATAGGTCAATTCTTTTGTCAAAGCGAATACATCCTTTGCAGAACATGCATATGCAAATGAAACTACCTAATGCAAATTTTCTTATTGAAAAATTGATGAATTATATATTTTAGGAAAAAAGTGTCATGTATGGGTTGCATGGAAAAAAATTTTGATACTGGAATTCAAACCTAGCCCCCCCCCCCCCCCCCCTCTCGCATTTGGGAAAATAGGCATTTCCTTTTTTTTTTCGCTGCTAATGTCATTTTTTTGGAGGTACAAAAAAATTTTTTGCTACACTTACCCCCCCCATTTCAATTTGCTTCCGACGCCAATGTAGTAACTTCAAAGGGCATTGAATCACACCGAGAGACATAAAATGAAAATTGTTGCATAAAAAGATTTTAATTACAAGCTTTATTTTTAGACTTTTTGAATTAAGTTATAAAATAAAGAGTTATCATTCCTGGCTGAGGATCGGATATCCTTAACCGATGAGAATATATTTGACAGACGCTAATTACGTAGCACCGAGAATGCTACCTTTACTGAAAGTCCAAGGATTTCAGAGAAATGTACTAATTTTAACGCACAGTATATTTTTGTCGACGAAAACATTCAAATCCCTTTTATTGTGACAAGATTTTTCCTTGAATAAAAAACAGTATTTCTACTTTACAAACATGGAAACGTTTACATAATCTTTATTAGATTTATGACAGCGTTACATTACAAAACTACAATTCATCCAAATAAGCAATGCCAAAATGTTATGAAATTATCTTAAACGTTACATCACTACAAATTAGAATTGTTCTATTTATTTGTACACTATCTACAACATAACTTTGTGGGCATATAGTATGTACTTAATGCCCAATTTCTAGCTATTTTACCATGATATGCCGGTATATACAGGTAAGTAAGATCAGGGACCTATATACTAATAGTACTTAGTATATAGGTCCCTGGTAAGATTACCTCTTCGCATCCCCCAGATCATAAATATACTAGTGTAGGTAATTGCAAAATGTAAACAAGAGGCCCAGGGGCCACAGCGCTCACCTGAGCACATCGGGCTTGAATTTACCCCCCCCCCCCCTTTCCAGGCCTTCATCATTTGAACAAACTAGAATCCACACTACCTGAGGATGATTCCATATAAATATCACTAATCATAGCTTTGAAGTACTTGAAAAGAAGATTTTAAAAGGTTTCCCTATATATCCCTATGTAAAACTTGGGACAGCCATTTTGGCCCCACTCTAGCCCCGGGGGTCATGATTTGAACAAACTTGAATCTACACTACCTGAGGATGATTCCACATGAGTTTCATCTTTCCTGGCCCAGTGGTTCTTGAGAAGAAGATTTTTTAAAGATTTTCCCTATATATTCCTATGTAAAACTTGGCTCGGCCATTTTGGCCCCACCCTTTCCCCGGGGGTCATGATTTGAACAAACTTGAATCTACACTACCTGAGGATGATTCCACATGAGTTTCATCTTTCCTGGCCCAGTGGTTCTTGAGAAGAAGAATTTTTAAAGATTTTTCCTATATATTTCTATGTAAAACTTGGGTCGGCCATTTTGGCCCCACCCTCGCCCCAGGGGTCATGATTTGAAGAAACTTGAATCTATACTACCTGAGGATGATTCCACTTGAGTTTCACCTTTCCTGTCCTAGTGGTTCTTAAGAAGATTTTTAAAGATTTTTCCTATATATATTCCTATGTTAAACTAGGGTCGGCCATTTTGGCCCCACTCTTGCCCTGGGGGTCATGATTTGAACAAACTTGAATCTACACTACCTGAGGATGATTCCACATTAGTTTCATCTTTCCTGGCCCAGTAGTTCTGGAGAAGATTTTTAAAGATTTTCCCTATATATTCCTATGTAAAACTTGGGTCGGCCATTTTGGCCCCACCCTTGCCCCTGGGGTCATGATTTGAACAAACTTGAATCTACACTACCTGAGGATGCTTCCACATGAGTTTCATCTTTCCTGGCCCAGCGGTTCTGGAGAAGAAGATTTTTTAAAAATGCCATTAATTTTTAACAAATTCATGATTATCTCCCCTTGGAAAAGGGCGTGGCCCTTCATTTGAACAAACTTGAATCCCCTTTACCCAAGGATACTTTGTGTCAAGTTTTGGTTGAAATCGGCCCAGTGGTTCTTGAGAAGAAGATGAAAATGTGAAAAGTTTACGACGACGACGACAACGACGACAACAACGACGACGACGACAGACAACGGACAGATTGTGATCAGAAAAGCTCACTTGAGCCTTTGGCTCAGGTGAGCTAAAAACTGATTTGCGGCGATGAACTTCGTACAAAAATTCTGCTTTTCGAAAGGACTACTTAGTATATCTTCAATTTTCGAAAAGTAAGCAGTAAACATTCATCATTAATATACTAGTACTATGATCGTTTTACATAAGTCTCTTCAGACATTGCCCTGGGAAGAGATAAATCATTGCTGTATTCGTTTTCATCTTCGTCATCATCCTCTTGCATGGAGAATGGCCTCACCACCCCAACAGGCCTGATAGAGTCGGGTTCAGATTGGATAAATGACCGGTAACTGTCCTTGAAGCTGTCTGAAGGTCGCAGACAACCGAGGGCTAACTGCGTGACGTCAGACACGGGGGTGAAGGACGCTTTAGAATTTAGGTCATCGCTCAGCTTTCCTTCCTCGGGAAAACTTGTCAAGCTGATCTCTTGGGGCAATGGCTGTTGCGTTGTTTTTCTCATTGAAGTTGTCTCATACGAAGAAATGTTTGACGAAGAAAAAAGAGAGTTTCTTGATGATTCGCTGTCTCTTTCTCTTGAAAAAGCAGATTCGTGGGAGTTAATAGAGAAATTTACTCCTCCAGATGGAAATGAGCTGATTGGTTGAGGCTGTGGATGGACATGACCCTCTTGATTAAATTGACAACTTCCGGATGATGAAGATGTCCCGTTCCTTTTATTTGCTGATCTCGACGAATGATTTGAACTTAAGTCGTAAGTCATGTTCCACGATATATTATTTGCGTTTATAGGTATAGGACTGGGTAAGCTATCTGATGGCTCCTGTAAATGATCTTTATTTGAATATGAAGATTTTGTAGACATGGTTTCGCTATTATGACGAAATGATGACGAAGTGACACTATGGTTTGACAAATTTGATTCATGAACTGATGACGAATGTTGATCACGTGACTGTGGCGTACTACTCGAGTATTGAGAGGACAAATTTCCAAAGCTCCTACACTGTACTTCAGTGGCCACTGGCAAGTCGTGTGGCACTTTTCTATTAATTGAAACGTTTATTTCAGGTTTATTTGATTCATGACTATCTGTAGTACTTGTATTTGCGGTCACTTTTGCATTTTTTTCATTCACCATTGTGTCATTTTGTTTGTTTTTCGGAGTTGATTGCACCTGAACACCCTTGATGTTTTGTGAGGCATATGCTGGAGAATCTTGTGTTGTATTTATCGTAGATGAATATTTTGGAGAGTATTCAGACCAATTTGGACGCCGATGTTTCGATGATTCGGTTACGGAGTATTCCAGGGAGGAAAAGTTGAGGTCAGGTGCCCCTTTCATGCTAATTGGGGACGAGGAACTGTCAGATTTGTTTGATACAGACCGACTATAGTTAACATTACACTCCCTTGCAGAATGTCCGCTTGTTTTTCGCGGCTTGATCTCCTCACCAACATTTGGTATAGAATGTTCCACCGGGGAACGAGATGGATTTCTGCGCGATTCAGAATGATTTAAACCGTTTGACGGGCTCGATTTGAAATCCCCATTGCTTTCGTTACTGGCGTATGCCGAGTCTGGTGCACTTCCATGATGTGTAGTTCCATGATGTGTAGAGCCATTTTTCCTGGCATTTGAGAATTGAAAATTGTTGTGTGGTTGACCTGAATAATCAAAATAATCGTTATATTCAGTATATTTCGAATCTGGAGTTTTCTGCGCAGACGAGCCAGACCTCCAAAACGAAGAATCTCTATTTCCATTTTTTGAAGGCAGTTTACTTATAATGTTTTCGTACAACCATTTGATATTATCCTTCAAATTTTCCTTCTCAATCCGCAGTCTTTTTTTGACCACCGGCTGGAGAATGTTAATGACTGAATCTTGGCACAGAATGTCGTCTTTGCTGAAAAACTCTATAGATCTTAAGCACTTAATTCCCATGGGGATTCTGTATTTCGCTTTCTTCGGGTTGTGCACTAGAATCGGAACAATGGTGACATTTTTATTGTACATAGCTTCTTGGAAGAAGGGTTGTCCAGCCAGAACAGGCCATTCGTCAGCACAAAACTCTGGTGTCACTAACAGAAACCCCATTGCTGCCGAAACAATTTTTTGCTTTCTTGTTCTGAACTTCAATAAACCATTAGACTCGTTTATGGGTGTCCACAAGTCTCGTTGATAAATTTCAATTTTGGGTTCATATCGGGACAATACTCTCTTCAAATATTGCAGAACTTCTACTACTATTGTGTGGTTTTGAGTATGCGCAAACAATATACAGTCACAGGCGACATTTGAAGAATAGTGATAAATAGATTTTTTCCAAACAGATTCTTTGACTGCTGCAAATAAATCAACCTTGCGGGTTGATTCTGGATTTAACCACCTTTCCATAGCAGACTTGTCAATGCCATTTTCAAGGAGCTTTTCGTGTATAAAATAATCTGAAAAAAGATTATGGATGCATGATCACTGATCAGATATATGAACAACCTTTTGGTCAGTCGGTCTTTTGGTGGTTATTCTTTTATCTTTTTTACCTTTTCCTCAATCTCAAACAATTTTCAAGCAAAAAAATTAGTATTACACAAATAACAAATTTATTCATCGGGGAGAGATTCAAGGGGGGAAACATTGTGAGATTTTGAGCCTTGCTATATAGCTACATCTTTTCATCTTAATTGTTTTTAATCCGCCAAATTTTGTCTATATATATCTATGTTTATTTCTGGGTTCATGCAGGGCGTTGGATGCAAATTCAAGGGGTGGGTGGGTACAGCCATACATTTTCAGTTTAAGGCAATTTAGTAAATAAAAAAGTTTCTTGACCAAAAAAGGGGGTCATCAGAGGTACTATATAGTATTATTAAGGGGCACGAGTGGGTGTATGCTAGCTATGTTTTCTTTAGTGTTCTGTATATCGGCCATGAAGTTGTACATAAGGAAAAATCTGCAAATCTACCTTTTCTATTTATAGTAAAAGTTACTTTGTTTATCATTAGATGGATCGTGAGGTCACCACTGTGTATATGCCTGATACTGACAAAGAGGTTAAAAAAAAGACGAGATCGAAACACACAAACTAATGATTGCAAGCTCACTAGATTTCGATGTACATGTTTGACTCTCTTAGCATATTTCTTGCAATCAAAATCTTGTGAGTGGTAGCAAACCCACTAAAACAATTTTAACATGGCGACAATGCAGGTGGTGTTTTTGGATTTCTCTCGAAAGACCTGGGACAAATTGAAGAACTAAAATTGAAATAAAATGATATTTTATTACTTAGTAAATATATGTTTTCATTTAGAGGGGTTAACTTTTTGCAACGAGTGTAAAATATAAGGGTTGTGTAGCAAGACTTAAATAGGCCTTATTATTTTTTTTTTTTTAAATATTTTATTTTTGCTTTTGATTCATATATAAAGCTGAATTTCATAAACATTTAGGTTAAAATCTCAGAAGTTAAGGCGATTGGAAATCAATTTCCATAGAAATTGAAATTGTTCTTAAATAAAATTATTGTTTGTTTTAAAGCGGGGAAAACATCTACAATAAACTCTTCAAGAATTTAAACACGAAAAAAATGCAATATCGATAGTAAACCAAAATAGAAATTCTTTTGATTTCAGTGAGGTGTATAATATGACAATCTGAGATTTGATTTTATTTTTTTTAAGTCAATAAATTAAAAATAAGTCCATATTTTCTTTTTTTTTTTTTTTTTTTTTTTTGAAAATGATGTGGTTAACGCCTGGTAAAAACCACTTGATATAAAGATTTTAGAACAAAAAAAAAACATTTGGATTTCCTCAAAAGCCCTGGAAAATTTGACTGGAATTTAAATAAAATGATATATTCACATAAATATATATGGTCTGTTGCTAATTTATTTATGTGAAAAATTAGAGTAAATTTATGTTCTGAAAAGAGAAAAAACTTTCATTTAACCGAATGTGTCTGACAAAATCTTTATACTATTTTTTAGTTACGGGTAAAAACCATTGATATAAAGATTTTTAAAAAACATTTCCCTCCTAGAAGAAAATTTACTGGAACCCATTGTCACATTCATATGGTCTGATGTTTAAATAGATTATATTAATTATTATCTTATAATTTAAAATATATATAAATTGGAAATATTAGATTTTAAACTCGAATTAAAATACTGGTATACTACTAACAAAGCAAAAGTTACTATTGAATAATAAATAGTAATAGAATAAACACAACATTATATACCATTATCAATGAAGATCCCGTCCATCTTAATTTATATAAGGCATCAGAAATACCCTCGATCGTCAAAGCGAAAGTATATTTACGAACGGTTTTGTTAGATAAAATGACATTATTTGGATGGACACTATCAGAAAAAGTTTTTTGGGTTAAAATAAAAGACTGAAATGCTTAAAATAATATTAAAATTGTAGATTTTTTTTCTCAGTAAATGCGTTTGATTTTTGGTTGGTGTAAAAGTAGGTCCATTGTACGCAAATTTAACAGTCGCAAGGAAAAAACTACAGGAAAGAGAGATAGATATTAAATTCTTTGTGCTGTTGTCACTGATCTTCTAGAACTATATGGTGTATGCTGTGAGAATTTAAGTTTTAGGCCTCTTTATCCTTTTGTCGCCCGCGTGACACGATGGTCAGAGCGTCTGCTCTGGGTTAGAATCCCACCATATAAACAGAGGTCCTGTATCGCAGTAGGTCTTGGCATGAAAAAGACACCTCGCTGCTCAATGGTCGAAAGTGCCAAGCATAGGACAGAACTTTGAGCTCTCTACCGGCAAGTGGTGGCTTAAATTCTCCATTTGCGTGAAAATTCTTGAGAACGACTTTAAACAATACAATCAATCAGTCAATCAATCTGTGCCCTTTTGGAAACCAGGCATGGCCTAGCTTTGAAGGTTTTCTGTCAATCTCTATCCAGAGTTGTCGTTCGCTTCGCTACAACAACTCTGTCAACGTCTAAATGCCAAGATTCTTGGCAAAACTTACTTTCCAGTGGCGGATTTAAGGGGGAAGCGCACCCGGCGCGCGCCCCCCCCCCCCCTAAAATTGTCAAAGTTAACGTTAATCACAGTTTCGTCTAGAAAATGTAAACATGTCTACTCGATAGACCTCATTTTTACCCTATAAAATCTCTAGAATCCATGAACTTTGAGGGCTCTCTAGGCGGCCCCCCGGCCTACTTTTGGCGCCTCTCTTACTTCAATTCCTGGTTCCGCGCCTGCTTTCACATATTGCATCATAAATTATGAATGTAAAACTTCTATATATTCTTCTTTAACATGTTAAATAAAAGTTTATTTATGAGAATTAGAATCAGATATCGCTTTTTCGCCATGTCCTATAAGGGATTACAGGATATTAAACGTGGAAAATTTAAAACACATATCAACATGATTTAGTTTTTATAGTCATTTATACATATATAGAAATGTAAATGTGTTAATCTTCTTGTGGACAAATTTAAACAACATTTGAAAAAAAAAATCACATCCCTCCGCTTCCGTACTACTTTTTGTTGACAAGGTTTTAACTCGTAGAGATCGGTTTTCTGTATTGTTGAATTTCAAACGACCTCTTGTCTCGATCGTACGAAAAAGCGTGCATGTCAGACAGGCAAGGCTAGTTTTTCACTGATGGAGATTCGCAACATAATAATTTTTTTTCTCGGTGGATTCTTAATATTTTGTAGTTTTCAAAAAGTGCCTCTTTTATTGCATATGTGCACCAGCTGTTAATGCACCCATTTATTTTGTTAGAATAATCTAACTGTGTCTCGGGACAAGCCCTCACCACAGTTACACTAATACCTCCCATATACTCGCAATGTAGCAAATAATTGCAAATCGCTCCGAAATTATTTTGAAAAATACAAAAGGATATGCACTGAAAATAACTTCCAAATTAATTGTAACAAACCTTTTTGAGATTGAATATGCCTTTTGTTTATCCCCAAAAATAATCCATAAGAAGACGAAAATTCAACTATTTTTGTCAACGTTTTTCTCACTTCAAATTTACTTGCCATGTTTATATTCGGAACTCTCTGGATTGTTCATAGTAAATGCACTGAGTACGAGTTATCGCGCGTGTTTATTTTGCTACAATTATACCGAAATATACCTATATATTGATACCTATATTGATACCTATATCAATTATACCGAAATGTTTATTAAATAAAAAAAATACGTAATGTGTTATTATTATAGGTATTACGTATCTTTTTTATTTCCCGAAAATTTAGGCAAAATTAATAGGTTCGCGAACTCCTGTGGTCATTTTAACGATAGAACAATCTATCCGCCATTTATTTGTTTCTGCCAGGTGCCTAATGTCTTGTGAATGTTTTGGTTACTACATGTTTTAATTAAAATAATTTCAGAGTGCCTTATACATATTGCTGTTCAAGTTAATTTCTAAATTCAGATCTATCCCCCTTCTGGTATATTATCCCCCCCCCCCCCCCCCCCCAAATGCAAGAGAAAGGATGCATGGACAGTTAATCATTATGTTTTATATTAGAAGTAAAATGAGAATCATTGAAAATCTTTAATCAGTGTTACATTTCTAATGTCACCTGCACAGCGTGTTGAATGTTAATCCCTATACATTTATCTGCCTATATGTCAACCCATGCAAAACATTTTATTTTGGTTGTATATAACTAACATCAGGCCGTAGATTTTCACTGTCAAAAACATGTTGAACTCTATATCTGAATTTGATCAAGGTCACCTAGCTTCAATTTAGTCACCCTTCGCCCCAAATTCGTATGCTAACACTATAACCTGCTCTAGCCTGTTCCCCTAAAATTTTTATAACCGGTGGTGACCAGGATATTAGTTATTAAAAATGACTTGGAGTCGGATAGGTCATTTAGAATTGGAAGCCAAAACTTCAGATTCGCAGACAACTGTTGACATATACTACTTCTTACATAAACATGTATGGTTTCTTAAAGCTAATTTTTTTAATTATAACCGGATATGGGTTACCCCATATCCAAAGATATTCGACTGTTAGATTTAATATGTTTAACAGTGTTTATAAGACGTTAATAAAAAAAAACTTGGCACTGGATATGGAACTCATTGTAAATTTGTGATTCCAAAACTTCAGAGTCTCCTAACAAACAGTACACATGCCAACATAAACCAATTTTAGCCTTTCTACACACGTGCAAACTGTACGCGCATCCAGCGAGCTCGGAGAAACATAAGTTACGGTGTGACAAAACTTTTCTTTTCCTAATAAGATCATATAAAAATTCTGATTAATAAAAATTATACAATCCCTGTTGAACTATATATAGCTTTTTCTAACATTTTCATCTGCAACAACTTGTGTTTAAAATGGCCGGGTTGGGAAAATCAGGGGGTCGGAAAATTCTAAACTGAAAACATGGAAAACCTTTTTTGTTTTGAAAATAACTGAAATATACTAATGTATTTGTCGCAGAAATTAGTACATTATACAAGTTCTATATAATGGTATATGCTAACTTCAACACGAACCCGAATCTCCAACCCAGTTCTCGTATATTGCCACACATACCCTACAGTTTACAAAGTGTACACACGAGCAGGCCAGGGATTGAAAATTCCGTCATTTAACAATACACATACACAGAAAAAAATTTTTTCAAGAGAAATTGTATGATAATTAATCTATAAACATGTTTTATACAATTGTTAAAATTAGAATCATTGAAAATCTTTAATCAGTGCTACATTCTCTGTTATCAAACATGTAAAAAAAAAAAAGGCTGAGGAGGGACGAGCGTAGGAATATTGATATTTTTTATTTGCATTTCGGGGGGAAATACATGATATTTTCGTTATTTTTGATTTCTATATGTCAACACCATGCAAAACATTTTATTTTTGTTGTATATAACTAACATGTGTCAGGCTGTAGTTATATATTTCACTGTCAAAATACATGAAAATCCTACAGTAAACGTTTGTATCTTGTTCTATTTAATGTTTCTATCATCAAAGGTCATTTTTTAGCTTCGAAAATTTATGTCAGTTTTTGCCCTGTCCGTCCGTCTGTCCCTTTATTTTTTTTTGTCCGCAAAAACTTGAACCTTGCCAATAACTTTTGAAAGGTTAGGGGCTATGGCTTTCACATTTCTAAGATGTATCCTTGTGACAAGACCTTTCTTTTCAGACAAATTTGACCTCTTGACCTTGAAGTTTGACCCACTTTTAAAAAGAAAAAAAATACCATACTTTAACATTGGATATAACTTTTGAACAGTTGTTGCTAGGACTTTCGTACATCGTGATAAGACCTATCGATTAGTATAAATATTTTTTTTACTTTTTGACCTTGACCTTAGAAATTGACCCACTTTGCAAAAACTTTAAATTTGGCCCTATCTTTTAAATAGTTGATATTAGGGTTTTCATATTTCACAGGCGTATTCCTTGTGAAAAAATCTTCCTCGTGGTACCAACAATTATGGCCTTTTTGACCTTGATCTTGGAGTTTGACCTGCAGTATAAAATGAAAAACTTCAACCTCCGCCACAAGCTGCCATACTGGGTATCAGCGTCTCATAAACACGTACATCTTGTTGAAATACATGAATAGCATTATGATTTAATATTTATTCCTCTATGTAATGTTATAGGAGATTTTTCCGTTGTTAGTGGCAAAACGACTAGGCCTAGTTATAGGCAACGGTGGCGGATAGACTTTGGTGTCTACAATTACCCAACTCTACTTGCTTCACTTCCGGTTTTGACGGTAAGGAATTTTCCACAAACGAAAAATAGAAATGAAACCAAAGTTATGAGGTATATGCTGATTGGTGTCCGAATAACTAGATGAATCACCATTAGAACTTCCGTTCTAGAATAAATGGTCATCTGAGATGGTAGCCATCGTCCTAAAGGTGAGCTCTTGTCAATGTCTTCCGCTTAGTTCATGACAAGATGGTCACGATGATTAGTTTATCAACTGAACTGTTTTAAGCATGTCACGCGAATTCTTTGTGGAGTTTGAAATGTCGTCAACACTGCTTTAATTAACAATATCAGCGTAATTTCCCACAAAATTTGGAATCAATTTTTGGACATTCTCAATCAGTTTATACTGTATTAAGGACATCGAAGCAGATGTCTTAGTAAAACATAAAAAGTAAAATGAAAAACAAACAAAAGGATCGACAAATATCGAATTATTACAGTACCGTTTAACACTTGACCTATTTTGTTGAGACTTCCCTTTTAAAACGTGGTGTCCAAAAAGAATACTCCCAACCAGTATTTTACTAGATCTCTATTCACAAATCTTCTTCAGTAGTTCTAAGAGTTGTTAGACATCTTTAATTGATTGGAATTAAATATTGACATGTTAGGAATTTATTGAAAATTACCAAGAAATTAGCCAATAATTGTATTGAAAATTACTATTTAACAACTTCTTTGGCCTTGTAACAATATACTGTTGCTTAGATGTAGTAAATGTCTGTTCTGTTTTAGGAAGGAAAAAGAATTTAAGATGAAAGATATTAAAGTTTATGGAGGAAATGTAAAACTTGAAAGATTTGCTCTTAATCCTCCAGGGGTTTCAATGTACAGATGTTTGCCAAACATAAAGATAATTTCATTTTTTCTCTATTTATTTCATTCAAAACAACATTTTGTAAAATTACTGGTATGACAACAATTAATTCTCGATAGATTTTGCCACAAACATCTAAATAATTCAAGAAATTTTGCAGTGGATAAAAGCAAGTTCTGTTTTCATCTGATCAACATTGATATTTTAAAAATATTGTAATATAAATTTATGCAATATGAAAATTTAAGTCACATACTCACAATGAATTATATAGTCAACATTGATCTTGAATTTTAGAACTGATGTTAATTGATCAATTATCTTTTACTAAAAACTATATATGTAATGATCTTTTTAAAAAAGTTAACTACACATAGTGTGGTTTAAGTAATGAAATTAATAATGAAATTAGATAAAAATTGACCATTTGCCAGTGATATCATATTACAAAATGTTATTTTCAATGAAATTTATAGAAAAAATGGAATTATCTTCTAATCACTTTTAGCACAGATCTGTATGTTGATCCATAAAACTTTAGACTTGTTTTATCTAATTTATATGCCCGTATTAGGACAAATAATGGCATGGCATTCATGTCCATCTGTCTGTCTGTCCGTTGGCTATTGTCCAATACTTTAAGCAGTTAAGGCCTGTAGAACATGTAGAATGATCAAACATTGTCAGCTGATATATCTTGGGTAGGGAGTGTGTTGCTTCAGGGACTTGTATACTAACAGGATAAGGAACTCTCTCAAGTCTCGCGAAATCTCACAAGTTGCAAGACTTGGTAAGTCAGTTTAACAAGAGGCCCAGGGGCCACAGCGCTCACCTGAGCACATCGGGCCAATGTTATAATCAGGCGTTTATCATTTGAACAAACTGATTAAAAATGCTTACTATAACATACCCCGGGTATCACTAAATAGCTTTGAAGTACTTGAAAAGAAGATTTTAAAAGGTTTGTATATATCCCTATGTAAAACTTCTTGACATTTTACCCTATCCCCAGGGCCGGGGGTATTGTTTAAAAATTGTTTTGAGGATATATTTCATTTTCCTGGCCCAGTGGTAATTGGAAGGATAAAGATATTTCCTATATATTCCTATGTAAAATTTTAATTTTGCTTTTTGCAGGGCATGATTTTTTATCTACACTACCTGAGGATGATTCCACATGAGTTTCATCTTTCCTGGCCCAGTGGTTCTGGAGAAGAAGATTTTTAAAGATTTTTCCTATATATTCCTATGTAAAAAGTGTCGGCCATTTTGGCCCCACCCTTGCCCCTGGGGTCATGATTTGAACAAACTTGCTACATCTGAGGATGATTCCACAATCTTTCCTAGCCCAGTGGTTCTGGAGAAGAAGATTTTTAAAGATTTTTCCTATATATTCCTATGTAAAAAACTTGCCCCTGGGGTCATGATTTGAACAAACTTGAATCTACACTCTGAGGATGATTCCACAATTTTTTCCTAGCCCAATGGAGAAGAAGATTTTTAAAGATTTTTCCTATATATTCCTATGTAAAACTTGAACGGCAAATGTTGGCCCCAGTTACCGGGGGTATGTTAACAAACTTGAATCTACACTATGTGTCCACATGAGTTTCATCTTTCCTGGCCCAGCGGCATGAGAAGAAGATTTTTTAAAAATGCCATTAATTTTTAACTTCCCATAGCATTCCTTGGAAAAGGGCGTGGCCCTTAATGCAAACCTAATCCCCTTAATGTGCCACATTAAAGTGGTTTTGAGAAGAAGATGAAAATGTGAAAAGTTCAAAATAAACTAATTCAAATTAAATTGATCAGAAAAGCTCACTCGCAGCCTGGATGAGCTAAAAAAAAGGTAACGAATGCCCAGCCAATGTTATAATCAGCTGACATTGCACCTGATTTAAAGTTACTCTGAACATTTTTGAAAAAGTACTAGTAAGTATCTAGGAAAACAATAGAAATATTTTCTATGAATGTTAAATTTTTAAAGGTGTATTAATGGAATAAGATAAGTTTTTGTTTAGAATTGTTTTGATATATTTAATCTTTAGCATGTAGGTAAGGCCTATGAGCCTCAGATTTATGAATTTAATTTTACTATTTGCAGGGCATTCATTTTTTATGTAAATAGAAAAGAACCACCATGAGTTCTCGAAGTCGACTCGATTCCCAAGTGTCTGTGGACGCCCAGCCCAGCTTCATGCCATCTAGTCCAATGGTAGATCTAGGTAAGATTGATTTAAACTTAATCAAAAAAAATTTCTGAAGAAAAGTCTTGAAAAGAGGGGATGGGATGGGGAGGTGTTCCAACATAATTTTTTCTGTTACTTCACCTAGAAATTAAAAAAAAAAAACTATATGATCCTTGGGGAGAATCTAAATTCTTCCCCTATTATTCCTCAGATCCATGCATGGTGAGAAGGGGGGCATTTGTGCTACATATCTATTATAATTTAATGCCCTGTTCACAGAGAGAGTTTAATTCAAATTAAATGTAAAGTTACTGCGAATTAGCTTCGCTTAAATAGCGTTCACACGGGGAATTTAATATGAATTAGTTTAATTCGAATTAGTTTACTGAGTTACTGAGTTTACTGCGTTCACACGGGGAATTTAATATGAATTAGTTTAATTCGAATTAGTTTACTGCGCATTAAATTACTTCGCATTAGCTCCATGTGAACACTAAGCGAAGCTAATTCGAATTACATTTTGAGGCATGCGCAATAGCAAAATTAGGTCAAATGCCACATGTCTGTGGTCAGCTTGAAGTATTTGTGCTATTTTTGAGTGAAAAACTTAGGAAAATTGTGTTAATCACTAAAATGTGTGTACAGACACTGTAACGTTATGTCAAATGCATCTGCTCCTGCATAATGTGACATGATTTGCAAATGACGTCATAATAGCCTTTATGACGCCTGACGGTAGAAGTAGAATTTTAATTCGCATTAGTTTACTCCGCATTAGCTGTCATGTGAACGCAATTTAATTTGCATTATTTTGATTTGCATTAGTTTACTTTGCATTAATTTACTGCGAATTAAACTGTACGTGTGAACAGGGCATTAAATAAATAAATACAAAATACAATATGATGTAGCTTACATATATTTAATGTCATTTACATTGTATGAAATAATGTTTGTTACCATGTTAGGTAGATTTGGGTAACAGGGTAGGGACTACAATCTTAAGCATATTCTTTAAACAAGAGCAGGACAGACTTAGATTTTTCTCATACTAGCAGAATAAATAATTTATGGTGGAATGGAGTTATAAGAAACCTCCAATAGAAAATCATTTACTGTAAATTCACATTTTTTCATGGGGAAAATTTTTTCCAGGTTTGAGAAAAATATATTGATTTGTGAAGATTTGATTTTATGATTGGAGGAGTGTTGAGTAGTAATGCATATTAAATTTGACATTTGATTTCATGGTGGTCATGAATACATGGATCTCTCTATACCTTGAAAAAACAAATATTAACCCCCCTCCCCTGAAAATTAGTGATTTCACAGTAAAATTTAGTATTAAACATTAACATGACGACCCCCATCCCCCAAACACTCGGCCAACTGAGTTATGAGCATTTGGTCATGATAACTTTATGAATATCTGTAATATTTTTATGCCCCTGTAATAGTGAAAGATTCAGGGTATATAGTTTTTGCCCTGTCCATCCGTCTGTCTATAGACAGCCAGTAACAACCTGACAAGTAATACAGTAAAACTCGTTTAGTACGAACATGGATATTGTGAATTTTTGGATATAACGAATTCATCTTGGATACCCAGTTATATCAATTTAATGAATTTCTTATACGGTTCTAACAAAATACGGATATAGCGAAGTAATTTCATAGGTCCCAGCGACTTTGTTATAACCGAGTTTTCCTGTAATAGAAAGATTGATTGATTGTATGCTGTGTAACGTCCCTCTCCAGAATATTTCACTTATATGGAGACGTCACCATTGCCGGTGAAGGGCTGCAAATTTAGGCCTATGCTCGGCACTTACGGCCTTTGAGCAAAATCTTTATCGTGCCACACCTGCTGTGACACGGGACCTCGGTTTATGTGGTGCACCAAACTAGTCGCCTTTTACGACAAGCAAACACTATGTTAACCCGGATCCCCACAGGGCTAATAGAAATAATATTTAAAATATGAAACTTTATTATGGATTTATATCCATCAAAATTTGTTCATCCCTCACTCTTATAACCACTATCGAATGGTGATACATTTGATTCCTGCCTTCTTAACTTTATCACTGCAACTGAGGATTAGGGACTTCATGCTTGTTCTGTTTCACAGATTGCCTATCAGTGTGTTCACACCTTGAACCTTGACTACATTTATTAAATGTAAATATAAAAATTTCATATTTGGTCAAAATCATTGCTTTGCAAAAGGTAATGTATTAAACATTTACTGCTTGTGAAAAATAAAAAAAGCCAAAATTTAGGCCGGAATTAAAAATATCTTTGTTTCCCCTAACCCGACCCTATATTCTCAAGGTGGGTCGGTAGGTAGGTAAACAATTTTATTTTCTGATAGCAGCTTTGGAAATACATTCTAAAATTTAATAAAAAATTAAATTTATAAATAAGAAAAGTTCAAAAGAAATTGATTTGTGAACAAAATGCTAAGTATCAGACATATGCCGTTTAAGAGCAAAATTCATGAATAATTAATTCACAACTGTAATTTAGATGAACTTTTGAAATATCTCACGCTAGAGTACATTTATATAAATCAAATAAAAAAAGACAAGATTCTCAAATACGCAAAGACTGGACATTCGAAGTATATATTTTTTTCAAACCTTCAATCATCCTCCAGTGCTTATAGACAGAGGGCCATGAGATTTGCAGTGGTTCCAGAACAATATGCTTTGGAGTTTAGACGTAACTGGCTAATTTTAAGTCGCAGGTTCAAATACCAATGAGGAACTTTGAAAACGGTCCTTCAAAAGGGACCATAAAAACTTATGTCCAGTGTCGTAGAAGATGCTGACTCAAAAAAGATCCCCTACTGCTTAGTGGCAAAAATGTGTGTAGTACGTCTAAATTTGGAGCAATGGGGAAACGAATCTACAAATGATAAAAATGCTATATAAAACAATGTCATAGTCACGAAGTTTAACCCGTAAATTAAGGCATGAAAAAGTACAACTGAATAATATTTATCAGGATGAATATGCAGACATATTTACAACAAATCCAATGATTTCCATAATGGCATATAATAAACATAGGAACATAAATGAATTGTTTATTAGATCAAAACTCAAATTGAATAAAATGCAGTGAAAATGAATGATGTGTTCACTAGGTGGGCCCCTCATCTGCTCATGAGGCTAGCTTTTCCATGTATTACGTACCCGAAATTCAGATTTGTTTGTTCGTTGTTTACAGTCCCTTTTGAAAATTTATTCACTCATATGGAGACGTCAAAACACCTCCGAAACACTCTTAATTAGTCATGGTGAATTTTATTATCAAATTGTTTCAAGAGTGAAGAAATCTAGTTAGCTAAAGGCATAAGATTGAGACATCGCCTTTGTTTATAAAGAACTACTTCTCTGTAATCGTGCACATCTAGGCACTATTTTGTTTCCATCAAATGCTTGAAAATCACAGTAGAACAAAGTCGGCCGTTCTGACAAAAACTGATTTTGATGAAATTGTATTTGGTTGATAATAAAAAAAAATTATGAATCATCTTATTTAAAAAATCTTTCCAGTCGGCGCGATTTAACTGGGTCGGTCGCGTTAGGGGAAACAAAGGTATTTTTTATTTTGGCCTTAGAAACATATATTTTTTTTAATTTCAGAATTGTCTGGATTAGGACTGGCCAGTTCTAGGAGTGATGTGCCGCCGAGTGACATGCAAGCGTTTATTGATCAGTACCGGGATAGAATGACGTCGGAGGAAAAGATAGGGTACTACGATGTAATGATTCTGTATGCAGAGGACGATCGAGAGTTAGCAGAAAGTTACAAAGAGCACCTGCAGAATGATATAGTGTTAGAGGGAGGGCGGAGAGTGACCGCGGTGCTATACGATGATCAGGAACTGGTGTCTCTAGCAGGGTCAAAGATAAAGAGTCTGGATTTCTGCTTTCAGAGATGTACTTTTGCCTTTATTTATCTCACCAAGAAATTTTGTCAGTGTGAATGGTCCACTTTATCAAGTGAGGAGTGCTTAATGGAATCTATTTATAACCCCAAAAAGAAATGGTGTGTGGTGCCTGTATATACAGTGTCTAGAGCCAAAGCAGACTTCAAAATCCCCATGGGGCTGAACGCTCTGAAGGGAGTTAACTTTTATAACAATGATGATTTTTATCGCAGAGGTTTAAGACGTTTAATCGGTGACAAAGTCAGTGTAAGACTAAATCATAACTCAGAACATTTCCACAAGCAATACATGGCAGCATGCCGAATAAGAAATGAGGACATTGTAAGAAAGAAAACAGAGGAGGCTCTGAAGCGACATGAGGAATTAAGATATGAACGTCTGCAACAGGAATTGGAGTTTAAAAAACTTAAAGAAAATATGCCTCCTCATTCAAAACTGGCTCCCTCTGAGACTGAAGAGAGGATGACAGACTCCATTGTGATAGAGAAACAGAGAATTAAACTGCAGGAGTGTAATGATTCTAGACATTATAAAAAATCACCTATGGAGTCCGGGACTGATAGCTTCGGATCAGAAGTTGGCATGGACTCCAAACCATCAGAATTGACATCTCTCTATTCTATGAAAAGTTCTGGGAAAATTCCAAGCATGCATGATGAGAAACCTGGAAAAACTCCAAGCATGCATGATGAGAAACAAAGAAAAACTCAAAGCATGCATGATGAAACAGTAACACAACATGGAGATCAAAGTATATTACAAATGGACTATGCCAGTGAGGTTATTGCAGCAAAAACTTCAGAGGATATAGTGAAAGAATACCGACAAGGTATAGAGGTTCATCATTACCACCACTATCCAGAGGGCCCTGGGCATGTCACACATAACTATAACATAGCTAATGCTGAGAATGTTGCCATTGGGAAAAAGGCCACCATCGTTTCGACTCGGGAAAATGATAAAGTTATCGACGAGGAGGAAAATAGGAGGAACAGCTTACGGTAAATCTCACCCAACCTCTAAATTAATGACACCTTTGTTTAATACTGTATCTATACTGTGCAGCTTATTTTTATTGCAGTTTAATATACATGTATATTCTAATTGTACATGCATTTAGCAAATAAAATTGTATGGTACATGTATATCCACTTGACAAGAGATTTTGCATAACCATGCTTTATGTTTTGTTGTTTAAGTTAATACTTTTGCTTTGTCTTTAAGGTCTAGTGGTTCATTTCAAAGTGTGGATGGTGGTTTGAGTACACCAAGTAACTCACTAGTAAGGGGACGTCACTCTGACGGAGACACTCAGGCCCCGGAATCAGTACCAATGACTTCACAAAATTATCTACCAAACACACCGCCCATCAGAGAAGAAAGCTTGAAAAACGATGAAAATGTTAGTGAAGTAAAGACTGTGATACGGGCAAATCCTAGCGAAGAGAAAAAGAATATCTCCGGTGATGAAAATTTCCCATCAAACCATTCTAGTGCAGTAAAACCAGATAAAAACCCTTCACCAAATCATCCTAGGGTTGGCCCCAGTAGACCAATGAAACCACTCCCTAGTGGGCCTAGGCAGAACTCAAAACCAGTGGTAGTCCCTGTTAAACCGATGGTGTCCATGCCTGATAAACCCAGCAGTGAGGATTCTGATACTTTGTTAAAGACACCATATGGAGGAACCGATTCCCAGTGCACAGACGTTAAAAGGACTCAAACAACTGGTGCAAGCAGCCCAGTGAGTGATGACGAAAATACAGACTTAAAAAGAATCATCACCCCAAATATAACTAGTAACGGTCCTCAGGAGGAGACCAAAGTGAAGCAAATTCTGCCAGTGAATCAGACAATACCATTAGTGGTCATGGAAAAGATGCAGGGCAGCTGTAAACCCAACGTTGTGGCTCGAGGTTGTCCCCCCTTAGGGGCCCCAGAGCACCCAGTGATGCCCTCAATCAGTGATTCATCCGACATTGTGGAGGACTGTCCGGGGTCGGAGACAGGTACAGACAGGGACAGTGCGGAGTATGTAACCGTGCATAAAGAGGACGTAGAATCGTACTCAGAGAGCCTAGGAACAGATGTTGACAGTGGCTTTAGTGAGTATAAAATTTCTTCATTTATATTATACCCAAGATTTTCAAAGTTCAGTACAAGAAAATATTTTTTTCTCACTGAAAATCTACAGGCATTGTCTCAAGTGTAATTGATTTCCTTTTAAGAGATCTCAAAATTGTAAAAGAAAACTTTTGAAGATTTTACTCGATATTCTAACTCTTAAACAGTAAAAATTAATTTACTTTTCTTTGGTATGTGAGAATAAATAAAACTGATTTATAAATAGAAATAAAATTTCTTTCAGTGCTGACAGACGTAGAAAAAGAGTTGGATTGTGTAAAGAAGGCTATGGAAATGGGATACTTAAAAAGTTGCATCAAACAAGCTTTGAATAAATTGAGTGCTAGAGGTAACATGACTTTTGTTTTCAACTTAACCTTACTTTTCTTAAACTTTAATACTTGATTCATTTTCAAAGACACAACTATACAAGATATTTTATCCACCCTTATATGCTAATACGTATTTGTGAGAGCTAAGCCTGAGTTTGAGAGCTACCTTATGATACATATGGTGCTACAATCCTGTGATGCATCATGGTACAGCTTTCGGCAATTAAATCGGCTGATATCGGCCTAATTTTGGGTCCTTTGGACATTATTTTTCCCCCAAGATTTACTAAATTTAATATTGTAACTTTCACAGGTAAAACAGTGGACATTAACAGCTTGCTTGATGAAATGCATAGAATAAACATTGAATCAACTTCACCAGAGTCAAGTAAGAAATGAAAAAGAATATTAATATTGAATGGTTCTCTTTAATACCGGTATGGAGTCAAGGATAGACAAATCTCGATTTCAATCCCAATAAGTTTCATGTCACAAATGTCTTCTCAAACTTTTACCTCCTGGTTTTGGACATTATTTTTAACCCCCCTATATACGAAGTTTGTATATAGGAATCACCTTGTCCCTCTGTCCGTATGTCTTTGCAAACGTTTCACAGGTCCATAACCATTACAGAGGGACATTAAAGCTACTACTCCACACAAAAATTGCCCATGACCTAAGGGTGTGTCATAACCTTGACCCAAGGTCATTTGGGGAAGTTCAAGGTCACTGGAAGAAAAATTTCATAATTCGTGTCCGGTCCATATCTTTCTTATGGATAAACTTGGTAGGTTCTCATTTCACACAAAGATTGCCCATGACCCAAGGGTTTGTCATGACCTTGACCCAAGGTCATTTTGGGATGTTCAAGGTCAATGGAAGAAAAATTCTTTCTTATGGAAAAACTTACTTCTGAAAAACCCAATTTGTCCCTTTTGGACAGTTTTTTTCTTTAGAGAAGTCTGTATATATAAATTTTAAAGTTCTATGAATACAGATTATCTTTGCCATTCCATGTCATATTTTCAAAACTCTGTCTTATGCATTTTTTTCCAGCAGATGTAAACCCAGATTGCAAGATCTCAAAACAAGCGCAGAAAACCTCCAGCAAATTCAGTGATAAAAAATCACATGACAGCAAATCAAATGACACAAACAGCAGACAAAAATCTGGAATATTGCAGAAATTTTTCAGTAACTTTACGAAAGGTGGAAATTGAAAGGAGAACAGAGAGATTCATGGGAAAAAAATTTACAAAGTTTGACAGCTTTAATTCCGAGTGAGGAGACTGCTTTCCCCCTTCTGCGATCCCCATAGTAAATGGTGGCCAAATTTTGTCTGTGATAGTACGGAAGCTAAAAATAGCTCTGTTGTAGAGTGATGGATATGTTGGTTCATGTGAACTAAACATATAACCGTAAACAAAATGTGTGTGCTATTATGGAAAAAAAGGTGATTTCATACACATTTCTATAAGGAATCACCGGGAATTAAATAAAAAAAATCATTTCTGGGAACTTTGCAAGAAAAAAATATATTGTCCATTATAGTAAGGCAGTTGATAAAAAAATCATAAAAATATCATTGAAATCATTAAGTTCCTCTAAAGGCTTCCTAGAAATACTCAGTCCAAGTCATGGCTGAGATTTGTTATATTTGAATCTTGTTTTTCTCAGAGGCTAGTGCATGGCACTATTTAGTATATGGCACTGTTTTAAAGTTGCCTTCTCAATTCAATTGCAATTCATTTTATTTTTTAAGTAATTGGGCATAGACTGAATTAATGGATAATAATATGCTCAAGCAAAGGCATTTTATTTCAAAATCTTGTTCATCTGACATAAAAGTGCTATGGCCCTGGGCCTCTGAGAATTGATTTTGTCCTTTATGTTTATACCACCTGGTGGTAACATTATACATTATGAATGTATTATCAAGTATTCATGAATAAAAATGTATAAAGTTTAAAATTGAAAACCATAAGGCCATTATAAAGAAAGGCATAATATGGATTTTCTGCAATTAGTTTTTTCTAAAGGTTATATTGAAAACATTATTGGAGATCATAACCATCTTTCAAAAACCTACCTACCTATTCGCAAAAAACACACAAGCCAAAACATAAAACACAGGCTTAAAAGTCATAAAAATGACGCCCTTTAAATGATTTGATCTAACTTAACTGCTTTAATAGAAGAAATATCTATGGCACGCCAAATTCACATAAATGAGCTAAACACAGTTTCACAGTCGATAAATGGTAGTTTACACACTAGTTAACAACGTTAATCTATATTTTACATCCGTAAACCATAGTTAACGCGATAATCTATGTTTCACAACTGTAAACTATACTTAACACTGAAAACAATAATTTGCGATTGCAAAACATAGATTATTTGATAAGTACAGTTTTACGATTTGTAAACTGTAGTACAAACCGTTAACTATAGTTGCATAGTTTCACGATTTGTGAAACAATGATTAACAACTCTTAACTATAGTTTACGATTGTAAATAGTTTACAAACGTGAATCTATGTTTATCAACAAAATCTATTGTTAACGTTGCAAATTACATATTAAATATATGGAAAACTATACTTAACGAATCGTTAACTATAGTTTACGGTTTGTAAACTATAGTTCACAATCGATAAACCCAGTTTATCAAATGTGAAACTATGTTTATCTCATTTTTGTGAATTTGGCGTGCCATAAATATCTATTCTTAAGGAAAAACGAGGGATTAAATGCTTAAAATACACCCAATCTACCTTACTGTACAGAATTATTTGGAGAAATTGACAAAATTCAAAAATTCCGACTAAATTATTAATCAATTTCAGGACTCCTGATGTTGTGTGGTTTTTATTATATGGGGTGTCAAAAATCATGGCGCACTCGGATGCTAAACATAGAAAAAAACTTGGAATGGCCTTGCATAGTAAATGGAATTTCTCATCTTCATATTTTCTTTGTAGATAATTTTAACAGGTTTTTATCACCTTTGTAGTCAGGCTTTGCTATCCAAGCTGTTGAATAACTGTGGATTTAAATAATCTGTATGTGGGTTAATATACACGTAGCACTCCATTCCCTGAAAGCAATGGGCCTCAGCCCCGTGGCTCTATTACTCGTAAGGAATGGAGCTCTATTCTTACATTAACTCTACGAAATTTGGGCCCCGCAAGAACTTGCATATGCCCTTTAGAAATCACCAACCTGTCCCTCTGTCTGTCATTTCTCCCTATTTCCAAATTTTCTTTTTTTATGGAAAGAATCTGGGGGGATAAGGCGAGTCATATGCCCACACGAATTTTGTCGCTCTGTGAGCATTTCGGAATTTTCACAGATGTACGATTTACTTAAACATTTAAAAACTTTGTACGGCGCTATCCAAATGACAATATCTATTTTTTAAACCTTGCGGTTATCGTTACAGTATTTTTTACCTTGATGCTTTTCATATTGCATGTTATATAATTGGGAGATAGTACGCTTAAAAATACCTTTCCTTTTAACTGTTTTTGCATGCAGAACAGTCATATCGCGCTGGTCTACCAATGACTGTTTACGTTTCAATCGCATAATGTAGTCTTGAACTGAATGCATACAAAATATTATATAAAGATGTAGCTTGAAAACTTGTTTATTAAAGGAAATATATTAATTGACCGTAAATAAATTCATCATCTTATCTATTCATTCTGTTTTTAGTGAAAAAAAAATTACCAACCTGAACATCGAACACTCGCGACAAATTCAACACCGGTTGAGCCACGAAGTCGCACATACATTGCCCTTTAAATATCAAATAGTTCTATATGTATGGCAAACGCACAATTGGACTTGGAGTTTTTAACGAAAGTTAAGTAGGAAAACTAACTTTTTTATATTTCTTGTACCATTTTTTGAAAACCAAGACCATACCCTTTCAATATTTGGGACCCACTCTATATAAAAGACACAGTTTTAACATTCAATTTCTATCATTTTTACGGTTACTAAAGAGTACCATTTTGTTGGGTTAATTACAAACACTTTGTAAGTAATTTGATTCAGGTTTTATCTTTACTGTATGCACATGGTTATAAATAACTCCCAAATTGAACAAAAAGTGGAATTTGTAATAATTTTTTTAATCGATATTTTACCTGCCCGTGCGTAGGCATATGACTCGCCTAATCCACCCAGATTCTTTAATCGAATATTTGGAGTTATATAGTATATATTTGCCTATCTCTGTCTGTTTAGAATTTTATCAGTTTGTCCAAACTTCTTTATAATTGATTGGTTGGAGCTATTGGTTTCTTATTTCACACGTTTCTTGTAACAAGACCTTTCTTTGGGTACCAACATACCTCTTGACCACAGGAGTTTGGTCCACCTTTGTTAAAAAATACCACATATCAACTTTGGCAGTAATATTTGAACAGTTAGTACATGAACTAAAAGTGTAATGGTTTGGGCCATTAATACCGGCTTGGATAGCTCACTGGGTAGAGCACCTGACTGGAGATGCAGGTGAAAGCCCTGCCAGGGGGTAACAAGAACTTGGGTTGTGTCTTCGAGGGCAAAGATCATTTAAGGAGGGAGGAATGTACTGATCTGGGGCTGTGGATATCAGCCTTGATAGCTCAGTAGTTAGAGCACCTGACTGGAGATGCAGGGGTCCTGGGTTCAATTCTCAGTCCAGCCATACATTTACTCCCTTCCTGTTACAAAAGCTTTCATTCTTCACATGTGTATTCAATGCAAAACCTATCTCAAGGTGTCAAGATTTTTACCTATTGACCTTGCATGACCTTAGAATTTGACCAACTTTAAAAACTTAAACCTTGGCTATACCTTTAAAACAGTTATGGTTTTGGGGCTTTCATATTTCAAAGGCTTGTTCCTTGTGAGAAAAATGCAATTTGATCTTTTGACCTTGGAGTTTGATTTACTTGTGAAAAACTTCAATCTTGGCCATAATATAAATGCCGATGGAAGCATGAGTACTGTGGAAGCATTTTTTTTTTTTGTGTGTGTGTGATCAATGTTTGCTGATTTCAAGGCTAAGGTAATAAGCGTTAACAATAGATTTTGTTGATAAACAAGCCTTACTATAGTTTACCTATAATTAAGAGTTGTTTAATAGTTTCACAAATCCCTATGTTTTGCAATTGAAAGTTTAATATTTTGCTAACATACTAGTATTGATTTGTTGAACTACTGTATTAACAAGTAACCAACAAAATTATGACCACACAAACAAGTAAAATTTAACTTGCCCACACACAATGACCTCACAAATAATTAAAATAATTCCTCAGTATGCCAAGCCTTATCTGTGGATGTGTTTCAGCCTCCAAACCAAAATGTGAAAGTTTAATATTTTGCTAAAATAAAGTAATAAGAACTTATTTATATTTATTTGCCCACACACAATGACCCTCACAAATTAAAATAATTTCTCAATATGCAAAGCCTTATCTGTGGATGTGTTTCAGTCTCTAAACCAAAATGTGAATGAAAAAAAGAATTCTAATACAGTGTATTTATTTCTAAAGTAAAAAATTTTCTTAAAAAATGTTTCATGTTTCAGTCTTCATCACAAAACATAATAACCAATAGATGCACATCTAATTCCATAATTCTGTAAAGTTCATGTGTCTTTTTCTCTCTTCAATTTCTCTTCAAAACCTCCACTTATACCAACTCTGCAGCTCTGATATTTACATCACAGCTGTAACTGACGGTCATTGAACAGCACTAATCAGGACCGGCCATGACTTGGCAGTATTGATAGTTACTAAGCAACAGTGATGGTTTCATGGCAACAGCGATGGTAACTTGGCAACAGCTATCATTACTTGGCAACAGTGATTGTTACTTAGCAGCAGTCAATGTTACTTAGCGGCGTCCATGAGCTGTAGGGGCACGAGAATTCTCCCTCGACAAGTCTCAGCGATGTTACCGTTTATTATCATTTCATCAATGATCATGTAGACACGGTCCATGTTAAATAATATCTACACTGTGTCAAGGAATATTCTCACTTTACACGTGTTGCATTTAGTATGCAATAAAAATCTTAACTTGTATCAATTACAAAATTGTTCTTTAAAATTTTGTATGCAAAGGTGTGGCATTTGGAATACTTTCCTGTAAAAAATTTTGATGATTAAGATTATCAAATAATCTGTTTAATATCAAGGTTAATGAATTGGTAACACAATCAAATGGTATAAAAAATCTTCATGCATCTTTATGAGTGAGCATAAACACATATCAAATACTTCTTTTAAAAAGGATACATCCACTTCAGTCTGAAAAACAGAAAATAATTTTTGGATTATTTTTAATTTTGAATGTTCTTTAATGCATTAATGATGTGCCTACTGTCCTCTGTCTTGGCACTCAGAAACAACAGAGACTGCAAATCTGAGTCTTTTCTTTATAAACATTTATACATTTGTATTCTCTAGGATAAAATATCAAAGATAAACACTGGAGACGGAATTTACTCATTCATGGAAACAGAGTCCTTTATAATTTTATCAACCAAATAAAATCTTGCAAAGACGAATGAGGAATGAGATATGGTTAGCCATAGTAAGTTAAACAATCTCTCAGTGTTTAACCCAGAAGAGGAGAGTGATAATAGTCAATCAAAGGTTTGATCTTATTAAGCCTGTTCAACAGAATGAGCGCTTGCAAACAATTTGTTCAAGAGATAAGGAATTTTTTCAAGCACTCTCAAACATTCATTCTCTGAAAAGGCCTCAGATATCCTCAGTATTAGTAATGAGGAATTTTAATATTTACCACTTTTCCAAAGTATTCATTCATTGTCTCTACCAAATTCTGGAATAGTTCCAAGATGGCCAGCTCATTCTACAAAAGCGTGGATTTTACAAATATTTAATTTCATAATTTTTTAATACTTAAGATTGATGCAAATATATGCAATACTATTAATGACTGAAATTTAAAGTTTGCTAAAAATATTTCAAAAAATGGAAGTCCTTTTAATCAGAAATTCAAAATGTTAATCATAAGGAAGTGTGACTGTGCCGTGCAATGAATTCTGGGTAGTGTGTATAAAACTAACTTGGGTTACAGTGTACCTCGTCCTGGGAGACTCCTGCTATGAACCAGAGGTTGACGTACAGTTTGTAGACAAGAACTAGATCTTCATAGTTCACAAATCCCTCCTGAAAAAATGAAAAATTCTCAATTTAAGTGTCATCCTTGTAATCTTTTTATCCATAAAAATCATTTATCTGTGCCAATCGTGCACTTTATACATGTAGCAAGTGAGAATGATTTACACCCCCTCCCCTCTTTTCACTAGAAGTCCTGGTACTTGGGCAGACCAGCATTAGAATGATTCCTTCTCCTTTCAACCAGGAGTAATGGTTTTAATGCAAACCTAGGAGAAATCCCCCCTATAAACGAATTACACGGAGCTGATTGATACCTGTTTTCCGTCCCTCAGACAGAGCCTAGTGACGGCGTTCTGCATGGTGATCTGGTTGGCCTGGCGCGTGAAAAATCGACTGATGCGGGGTTTACCCTGCTTACTGACCACCATCAGGAAATGGATCATGACGTAAAGTCGGAGATTACAGGCTGGTTCAAAGTTTTGTCCAAAGGACTGTCAAGATAATAGAATAATATTTAAATTTTAATCCTTTTTTCTGTACATAGCTATCTGGATTTTGAAGGCTGTACAGACACAGGCAAGCAACATTTATTGACCATCATATATAAATTTTATAACGCTAAACATTTGCATACAAGTTTTCCCCCCCCAAACCCTTGCTACATTAAGTACGTACATTTCAAATGTTATGCGATGTTTAACCTATCATAATGGTAGCATAATATTTTGGCCACCACTTGTCATTTGTTTATGCTGATTTGTCAGATGTTTGTCACGGTGTCAATTTATCAGATATCTGGGGTAGCATTGTAATAAAATTGATTTCAGACAAGTGATTATATAAGTTTCATGATTAGAAATTTTCTTAATATTAAAATGTGCACATGCAATTGACATTTACTTATCATCAGATCTCAATACAAGTCAACACAATTTTCTGACAAGTCAACAAAATTATCCAACGACGTCCAAGCAATTATCTAACAAGTCAACATAATTGTCTCAAGTAGACTTGTCAAATGTAATCAACTTAATTGTCAGATAACTTTGACATTTGTCATTTCATGAGAACATATGTCAACTTCTCATATGATTCTGTTCACATTGTTACTGACATTTACTCGTCATCAGATTTTACAAGTCAATATAATTATCTGAGGGGTCAACATAATTATCAAACAAGTCACTGCCATCTTATTGTCATCAGATTTAAGTTGAGTCAATTAATATATAATTTTCTGAGAAGTCAACTTAATTATTCAACAAGTCAATGCAATATTAAATTTGTAATAAAAAATGTAGCATCTGTAAAATTGCTTAAATATCATCAAGAATATTCATATAATATCATGAATATGTTATGACTTGTCAGATAAATCATAATTTTGACAATTTATTGGATAGTTATTTCAACTTGTCATATAATTATGTCCATGCACTTGTCAGATCTTTTATGTCAGTTTAACTTTTCAAATTTCAGATGACAATTTAAGTGACCCGAAGTTTACTTAAACATTTTACAAGTGATGGCAGAAATATGTCACCATATCATATATAATCATGACGGTGGAATAGTGTCAACATGGTGATTGTGTTCCTGCAGTAGATATAAGTGAGTGCATGGTCATTTGCATGACTGCTTCTGTTGTCACTGTCAACAGTTACACACATGTGTAGTCTAACTAGTCTTATTCTTAATACATGTAACAATGTAAACCAAAACTAATACAAGTTTCAAAATCAATACTGAATAGGCTTATTGTTTTTTCTAAAAGTTACATCAGATAGAAAAGTACCCACTTGCACCACTATGTTGTTTACCCGGCGCCGTGGACCGTGACTGAGCTAAAGGGTGGTTCTTGCTATTCGGGACGCAGCTGCATTTCCGTTCAAAAATGATAATCAGTCAAAAAGAAGTCCGAAAACAAAATATGACGTCAGCTGGCAGCGCCATCTATGCTAAAAATACTGTAATGGCTTCCAAACTTAGAAAATGAATGACGGAGAGGGCCCTGGATCTCAGCACGCGGGACAGCTAGGCCCAGTGTCAGGGGCAATGGGGATGATGACAAAACAACAGGCAGACGATGTGGGCCAACGCCCGCAATATTCGATGCCAGGGATATTGCATTTTCTACAAACGGAATGGGCTCGTTTTGAGATGGAACGATCACAATGGGAAGTGGAGCGTGCAGAGCTTCAAGTAAATAGTTTATATTGTCACATGAACTTGCAAATCTTTATTTAATACTTTATGAAGATCATTATATGTTAATTGGGTGAGCAATACAATTTTAAGTCATGAAAGTATGAGATAAACAATGGTGTATCGTTTAACGTCCGCCATTTTTAATTTCAATATGGCGGTTTCATTTTTGACATTTTTTCAAACAAACAATGTAGAATGAGGTCAGTGTGAACACCTGTGTAGAGGAAAACATTTATCTTGATATAAGTGTCAATTCTTCGACATTTTGATTAAAGAAAGGTGACATGGGGTGACAAGGAGGGGGGTGTCGATGACTCACCTGTGGCTCTGAGCTCTCAGCCTCTGTACCACATGTGGGTTTATCAGTCTTATCTTTCATCCATATCTACCTAATACAAAGAGTAACACACCAGGAAGTGGAACAATGATAAGAAATTTAAGACGCAGAGCATCAACATGATTAAATGTGAAAATAAATTGTACCTGTATACTATTTAAATAAATTAGACCATGTATACATGCATGTGATAAATAAGAAACATCTTTTCCCCAAAAAAAGACAAAAAAAGAAATTTTAACTTACCTTATGCAGAATAAATAGTATGACACCTGTAGCATGATGTCGTGATTGTAAAGATGGCGAATTTAACTTGAATTTTTTACATTCCCCTTTTCTGTCATAAGTTTGTATATAACAATAATTTTTTCCATGTATTAACCTTTAAATATGTGTTGAATATTTTAGATTTTGAAAAATAATTAATACTTGATATGGCAGTTACTTAAATCTTAAATATTTTATGGTGGAGGAAGCAATTAGCAAATTGAAATTAAAATTAGATACACTGTTGAATATATATTAATTTCATCATGATTTTTTATGGAAAAAGAAAAAAATATCTTTACAAATAATCATTGATGGATGCTAACCAACTGTCTTTCTGTTACTTTCACTGAATTCGACAAAAATTAGTGTGAGAAGGTAGTCCTTTTGTGTTAAGTTTTTGTGTGGCTCTTTCTGCTTAGCCGATTCTTCTAACTAAATTCAACCATATCTTTCTGATAGTCATTACTCTTGAAAGTAAGATTACTCTATTCTGAATTAGATGTCCTACAACCTGTGTGCAATTCTTGTCAACGCAATAAATTGTACTTTAGGCATACTTATCATTTGAATCATTGATTGTCACAAGTGTAAACATCATGTCCCTGAAATCTTGTGAGATTTAGAGTTTCCCTTACTTTCCCACATATAAGAACACCTTAAAGAAAGAAAAACCCTAAATAATTGTGATGCTAAGTAATAGTAGAGTCTTTGTTTCCTCTTATTATGGATGTGGAAAAGATAATGAACATTGACAGCAAAAAGGTTTCTCTTGATTCAAGACTTTTTTGTTTGTTTATAATTTATAGAGTAGCTACACAATATGCTGCACAGAAAACAAGGTAATATTGTTAAATCTAAGATGAAAATTTCATGCATTTTGTATTTTTATTTAACAGGCAAGAATAGCCTTTCTTCAAGGAGAGAGGAAAGGACAGGAGAACCTGAAACAGGATCTGGTCAGGAGAATCAAGATGCTGGAGTTTGCTCTCAAGAGAGGTTAATCCTTAAAAAAAGAGAGGTAAGGGTTTTCAGGAGGGAGGGAGGGAATTTATTTTTTTTTTTTACCTTTTATTATTTGTTGTGTACTTTGTTTTATTTGAAACATAAATTATACACCGTCAAGTATCAAATGATTTGTTATCTATTAAAAGTCAAATTTAAAAACTTTATTTTTAAAACTAAAACAATTTCTTTACAAATCTTTTTAAAACAGTTTCATTAGTGTAATAATAAATAAAAAAATCTTAGAACCACAAAAAAAAATGCATTCAATTTTGTTAATAACATTAGCTATAGGTTTCAAAGACTTGTCATAAAAATAACTTGGGAAAAAGATGCCAAGTAATTTTTTAAATTTTTTTTGTACTACAGTTCAAAAGGCAATCCAAATATCACAAATTTTTTTTATTCACTTTTTATTTTTATGAAGATGCGTAAATGTTCGGAACAGAAATCCAATCCAACTTGGTCTGACAGGCTTTCATTTTGTCAAATCGCCACCTATATTCCCTATATCATAAATACTATGAAGAAAGCGTTTTATTGACAGGTGTTGTTTAATTTATGTGAGCTCAAACCCGACTTTAAAAAGCTATTTCCAAGAACGAACTAACTTGTAAAAAGCGATATCGGACATAAGACGGTAAAAAAAATATTTCCAATATTTTGCATTTTATTCCAAACAAACTATAAAGGATTTGCCAACATTTTTTACTGAAATATATTCTGTAATTTTTCATTAAGAACTTACAAAACAGCATGAACTAATTTTGCATTCAATTTTGTAAATGTTGGGTAATAAAAATTACCAATTTTATTTCAAAATGTACATGGCTCTAAAACAATTCACATTTGAAATTCATGAAATATTGACTTCAGAATATACAAGGCTTTAAATTAATTAACATTGACAATTTGTTAAATATTAACTTCTGCATTATATATTTGTATAATATTTTTGGATTTCTTTTTGATGTTGATTGGTTGCTGTTGTAGAGGATGGTGTAGATGGGGAAGTGCTACCGTCCGCAGGGAACGTGTCGTGGCGCCAAGGCCGACACCTCCTTAGACAGTGAGTGTGTCACCTGAAATAATCATATAAACCACGTGGTAGATTGCGTCAAGACAATTATAAAACATCATGATTCATGAATTGATGTTAACTTATATTTATTTTCATCCTAAAATGTGGTAGAGACAGCCCGTATATATCGTAACTAATATCTTTCTTTCTAGATATTTACAAGAGATTGGATACACAGATACAATTATTGATGTGAGATCAGCCAGAGTTCGCTCCCTTTTGGGACTTCAGGCTCATGCCGCGGAGAGTGAAGCTGAGGGGGCTCAGCCTGCTATTGTACAGATGAACGGAGACGTGTCCAATAAACGGGTCAATGATCAAGGAAAAGCAAGGTAAGCAAAAATAAAATAAAATTGTAAATTTAAATCCTGTTTTACTTCTAAAATCTTCACTGTCAGCTGTGTATGATACTTTAATCAGTAAATCTTATTAGCATGCGAGTCTTGCATCAAATTAATTATTTCTACATTTTACTAAAGAGTCTGCTACACTACGTTAAACTGACTTAATATTAATCAGCTGACTTTCTTCATTGCAAAATGTGTATTTAATGATGAAAGCTTTACATCTGTTTCGATGTTGATGAAAATTAATAGTCAACAATAGTCTCTATCATGTACGACAACTGTCCTGATTTTCTGATATAATCGTTCCTGAAGCTGTCTTTTGTGCATGACTGACTTTCTCTGTCAGGGGGAAGAAGGTGCCGGCTTCTCTGGTCGACTCTGCCCTCCTTGACAGCGAGGCTTCCGTCTTGGCCACACTCGACTTTCTGGGCCAAGATGGTGTGGAAGATGAAGATAATCTAAGGTACCTAGCACTACAGAGCTCAGAATAATCGGCATGTTTATATCTGGCTTAATCTCCTTCTACAACTGGACATTGTAAACTTTATTTATTACTTAGATGAGAGGGTGTTATTTCATTGATTTGCTTACTTTTACAGTGATGAAGATGATGGCTTGGCAGGAGATGATGAAGGAGAAGTCAAACACATAAAGAAACGACCAAAGGTATAAACACATAGTAATTATATAGATAACTACAGGTGTATAAAACACATAAAGAAAAGACTGAAGATAAAAACATAGTAATTACTACAGGTAGTTAAATAACTTTAAAACACATAAAAATGTAATGATCAGTTAGACAACTTTATTAAAAGGAAGGCAAAGTGAATGTTGAAAATTGTGCAAGACTGCCTTGATGACATTTACAAAATGTTATGACAGATGCATGATATCTTTATGTTACTAATAAATGGCTTGCAATGTGGAAAATTTACACATGATGTCAGTAAAGAATCAGTATATTTTTAATGAACATGATAAATGACCTGTATTGTTTACACCTTACATGTGATGTTGATAGATGCAGAACGTGGACAACATCGCAATGATTGACGATGACACGGAGACAGAGGAAGCCCTGGCTGAGTTTGACTTCCTGGTGGAGGAGGCGGAGAACGGAGCGGGAGAGGCTCAGAGTCATGGGGACGGACCGGAGTGGGGTAACGTGACATTTGTTTGGTGTTGAGTTAGCGTTAACACTCTCTCTCCCTCTGTCACGCTGCCGGAAATCTCGGCAGTGTGACACCTGTGTTACATTGTGTAGTATTTAGTTGAGTGATGTCATTGTGTATTTTCTAGATCTTTCCCTAATTTTTTTTTTTTTCGTATTGTTTCTACAGTCAAAGTAATCACTTCATTTTTGTTAATTTTAAAAATGTTTGATATTTTATGAGATAGTGTTTTACAAAGTGACTTGAGTTTGGAAGTTTGAGGACAGATTTGAACAGATTACTTTGTCGGGTTGTGTTCGTGACTAGTCACTGTTTTTGTTAATATTCACCCTTTTTTTGAATTTTCTTACTGATCACATGACCTTCTCCTGTCATAGAGAGGCTAAAAATAGAGTGGGGGATCTACAGGGATGTGGATATAGGCATGGATAGAGGTTCACTTGTATAGATATGATTAGGCACAGGTTGATAGAAAAATTAGTTAAATATCTGTATTTAACAGAAAACATTAGACAAAGTTATTTACAATATTCTCTTATCTTAGGTGCATGAAAAATTGGTAGGACACACAGTTTTGTGAATACTGTTAAATGATATATAAACACGTGTACATGTGTATTTCACATTTTTACACAATTGTGTAGGTTAGATTGAAGAGTTACAGTATATATACACTGTCAGTGTGTTTCGTAATTGTATAGTCTTGTTTCTCACTGTCATTAAGCATGTTAATTATAGTAATGATCACCATATACATACATGATAACCTTGAGGCTTTTCCTTTTAAAAATATTCAACCCACTGCTTTTAGGTAATTTTTCTACTATCATCAAATAATATGCTTAGTTATAACCAAAAACCTTTGATAAAATAATACTTATTTCATAAATCATGTAAATGGCACGATGATTTTTCTAAGCTAAATCCCATATCATTACATTTACCTTGCTTATACAATCTATGTCTTTACAACACTTGAATTTTGCTTGGATTTAAATACTGTTTCTAACAAATTGTCAGATTGCTGCAGAAAAAAAGTAGCCAAACAAAGCAAAAACAAAGGTGTACACTAGTCTGACATACATGTATGAAAGGATAAATAAAACATGAGAGGAATGGTGAGGGGGATTCAATACTTTCAAATATTTACACTACAAGCAGTAAAGGATAAACAATAAAAGCAAATACATGTAGAACATATAAGAAAGGATCCGAAATGAACAAAAAACCTTTTAAGTCAGAGGTTAACATGTATGTATATAGCACAGTATAAGATTCCAAACTCAAGTGACACAGTGATAGAGTAAATGATTGACATGGGTGTATGCTTTACACAGTGCAAAATGATAAGGACGAATGGGATGTGGACCAGCGACTTATAGATAGACTTAAAGACCAGTATAAGAAGGAGAGAAAGGGAGTTAAGTCAAGTAAGTCAACTCAAGTCTTATCAAGTTACAAGTCAAGTAAGTCAAGTCTTATTAAGTTCCGAGTTAAGCAAGTCAATTCAAGTCTTCAGTTCCCAGTTAAGTAAGTCAAGTCTTATTAAGTCAGGTAATCTCAAGGCTTATTAAGTTCTGATTTAAGTCAAGCAAGTCAAGTCAAATCTTATTACGTTCCCCTAAATTCTCTAAGCCAAATTTAAGACCATAGTTAGTAACAAGTCTGTCCAAAAAAAAATGCCAGGAAATTACCACTGATTGGTATACATCTGTTAAAAAAAATGAAATTCAGAACAGGAAATTACACTCTACATAATTAGTGTAATGAAGGAAATATGTTTTAAAATCTGTCCCATATTGTCCTTTTGATTTTTGAGTTAGTATGAAAACCTCTTTTTCCATTATGAACATACATGATATATTATGCTAGTAATCTAGGGGAGAATTTATAAGGGGAATTTAACATGCTTAATTTCAACATCTTGAAAAATTAAGCTATTCCAGAAACTAGTAGCACAAAAGGATTTTATATCGATGGATGTGAATGATTATGCATGCTACTGATCCTAGCTAAATGTTGTGCACCAAATTTACAGCAATACACTGAATTAGATTAATAATAAATGTTTTAATATTCATCAATTCCTTTCCTGCATGATGATATACCTGTTGTGTTTTAATCCAGAACATCAGATTAAAATGTACCAGTCCAGCATGATCAAATATCAATGTTGTACAAGCAGAAATAGATAAATGATAATCCCCCCTCCCCCTTCCCCCCACTGGAAGAAGCCCTTAGCCCGTGTCAGACAATCTATTCTTCATTCTGTTTTATTTGGTTTTAGGGTTTATGTAGAATAAGTATTTCAAAGTAGTATTTACAGTATTGGTAACCAGAAAAAAATTGCACAATATGGAATTGTTCAATTAAATCTTTTTTTAACCATAATTAACATAGTTTATTTCTTCGGCATCAATTGTACATCTTTATTAAATAAACTGGCTGTAAGAAAATTATAAGGAAATGCGAAGATGCCAAAAATTAATTGAAATTTGAAAGAAATAAGGTTACAAGGGGAGATAACTGCGATTATAAAAAAAGTACTATGTGCTGTAGGACCCAAGCGATCAGCATTGCAGCAAATGTTGGCCAATCTGGGATCGGACGAAGACGCTTTCTCCTCCCAGTCCTCCTCATATCAGAGTGGCGCCGCCTCGAGTCCCGAGAGGGGAAGTAACTCCCCGGGGTCACCAGGATCGAGTGGCACGGACGCGGATGAGATGGGTAGGCACATGACAGGAGAGGTGAAGGAGGGGCTAATTTCTCCTTCCCCCCGGAAAACACCCCCTAATTTACTAACTTTTCACTGCATTCTGATTCAGTGTTTTCAAATTTAGACTTCTTTTTTCTGCATTTGAAAATTTTTTGTAATTTTGAAATATTACATTGCATCCTTTTCTAAGCTTTTGATGTTGTTTAAATATTGACCAAGTATAAGACTGCTGTTTAAGTTTTGTTTGTTGCTACAAAATATTGTGTTTACCTAACATGTATTTGCTTTATATGAAAAGCATCTTTGTTGTTAAAAAACATGCAGTATCAATATTTGTGATGAAAATGATTAAGTTTGTTTATGGAAGAGAAATTCAGGCAGAGCTTATTTGTGGCTTACAATGTGAAGATTAACTTATACAGACACAGTTATTGATGAGGGTTAGTGAAGTTTTTTACGTGATTTCTATAACAGGTATCCAGGGAGGAACGTCCATCGCGTTTCCCTCAGAATCGCGAAAACAGATGATTGGTTCGGATCCGGACGATGAAAGTTTGGAGGATCTCGGAGAGTTAGCGGACCTAACGGTGAATAACGAGGCCGATCAAAACAATTACGATGTAAGTAAATCTTAATGTAATCATTGTGTAATAACGGTGAATAACGAGGCCGATCAAAACAAATAGGATGTAATTAAATCAATGTAATCATATTACGATGTAAGTAAATCGTAATATAAGGTTAGTATTTTGATATTTGGGATGATGCTAGGAGACAGAGTTAATGTGATTCTGTATTTATTTTTGGAATGTAAGGTAGGAGGAGAGTTTCATTTGTCTGTTGATTAGCATGTTCCACATTACAGTATTTGGTCAGCCCTGGTAACTGATACATTACATGAAAAGAATTTAATCTAAAAATATATTTCCATTTGGATGTATGATGACACATATAACAAATACATACAGTAGAAAACTAATTTCCCAACCGATCAGAATTATACATGTATATATGGTATCTGTTTCTTAGCTGTTTGGGGTAAGTGTCAAAAGCATGAAATCTGGATGACAGTTCTGCCTTTCTCTGTCATATCATGCATGGATCAGTTCAAAAAATTAAAATATGTCTTAAAAAAATATTCATGCATTAAAAATGAAACCAAGTGCATCACACAATGTCATCTGATCCTGAACTGTAGGTTAGGAGAGCTTTGAGAGGAAACTGCAACCTTTATTTTGAAAGATGATCAATGTTAAGAAATTGACACCATTACTTAAAAGTTTACATGACATTGCAAAATATACAGAGAAATAGTGATTATAAAGAGTTTGTAAAGCTTGTATAGATGTCAGTATCAGATAAAAATAGAATGTCACTTACTACCCGTATCAATGTCACTTAAAAAAAAGGTCAAGGAAGACCTTTAAACCATATTTTGTATTCAGCCTCTAAATATAACCATTTTCAATATTTAAAATGTAGTAAATACCAGAAGTGTTGGCATATGTTCAAGTTTTAAAACTGGTGTTCTGTTTTAAATTCTGCACTTGTAAATTGAACCTCACAGTGCATTTAAGAGCTGAATGAAAAAATTCATTTATGATGTCTGGAGACAGTTTTCGTAGCCCCTTGTGGAGCATTTAGTCATGATATTTTTAGCCCGCATACAATGAAACATTTTCAGTTGTTGTTATCAGGAATTTTGTCTTGGAACAGACTATTTTTTTTTATTTTTAAATCTCATTCTGATAAGAAGACCCCCCTCCCTATTTGACAATGAGCATTTTTACTTTCTACAACATGAGCAACCCTTCATTATATTTTGCTGTGGTGTACCCATCCTTTTCAGCATGAAATCAAGTTTCATAAAAAAAAAACTATGAGGACAGACCTTTTCTCTGTGTGAAAATTATTGGAAGGTCCATGTATGCAACAACCATGCATTATATGAATGCAGATTTCTTATAATATTTACTGTGGCATATACTTTAGTGCTATCAAAATAATGTTCAAAATATTATAGCTGACTATTACATATACTGTATCTAATCTTATACATAATAAATTCAGCAGAGAGGTACAATAAATGTTACACTCTGTGATATATACTGAAATATGAACTTGGATTAGATGCAGAAAAAAGCTGTGTATATCATGTACATATCAATCTTTCTGGGTGTACATGTTCTTAATTTCTACATCCCTGTTTCAGATATCATCTCCTAAGGAGGTTTATAGGAAAACCTGGAATGCCAAGTATACACTACGCAGGTACGTCAGCTTTGATGTTTGATGGTTTATGTTTTTGAAGCAGTTTGATTGGTGAATTCAGCTATTAATTGCATTCCTGGTGTTTCAGTCACTTTGATGGGGTGCGGGCATTAGCATTCCACCCTGTGGACCCCGTACTTATCACGGCGTCAGAAGACCACACCCTTAAATTATGGAACCTCCAAAAAACAGTCCCTGCCAAAAAGTAAGTCCTGATTGTGACAAAATCACACATTTATCCGAAAATCATATCAGTCGTGTGATAACTCTTAGTCTATGATTTTTGTTATTCTGTTGATTTTGATGTTTCAGAGCCACTTCATTAGATGTAGAACCAGTTTACACATTTCGTGCACACATTGGTCCGGTGTTATGTCTAGCGGTCAGTTCCTCGGGAGAGCAGTGCTTCAGTGGTGGTCAAGATTCTACAATCAGATGCTGGAATATACCCAGCTCTAACATAGACCCATACGATTCTTTTGGTTAGTAATTCTCCACTTCAGTTGCAAGTTCTAGGCTACATGTATAATTATTACATTGTATGACTGTGGTAATAATCTTATTTTCAAATTGCAGATCCAAGTGTTTTAAATTGTACGTTAGAAGGCCATACAAATGCAGTGTGGGGGTTGTCTGTACACAGTTCTAAGATGCAGCTACTGTCGTGTTCAGCAGACGGCACGGTACGACTCTGGAGTCCAGGGCAGAAACCACCTCTCCTACAGAGTTATACTGCAGATGAGGGTAGGTTAAAGTGTAGATTGTCAAATCAATCACCCCTCCTACAGAGTTATACAGCAGACGAGGGTAGGTTAATGTACAATTATGGACTGTTTAGAAGGGAGACATCACCAACTATCAGGTGCCCAAGGGTGACAACCCTACTCAGACCTGATAATTGGTGATGTCTCCCTTCTAAACAGTCCATGATAGTTTTATCATCCTGAAGAATCTAAAATAAATAAGAGTTATCTTGCTTAAGCCACTGTCATTTCATTCAAAGGGAGATAACACACTTGTAACCCTGCATGCTCACTTAAGCTATTTCATTGTAATCTGAAGGGTGACAAAAATTGTTACCCTGTGTGTGAGGGAGACATCATGAATTGTCTTAACTTTCTTACCTCACGTGACATGCTCTAAACCAATCAGATTGACTGTATAATTCTGAAGGACAATTATGTACATTGTCAAATCCATTAGGAAACTCCGCCATTGAAATAACTGGTGCTAAATCAAATTCTTTGATGTTTACAGCTGATGGTGTGCCAACTTCAGTAGATTTTGTTAGATGTGATCCAAGCCAAATGGTGGCTTCCTACTCCTCATCAAATACTTATATTTACGATATAGAGACAGCCAAGCAGGTGCTCTGTATCGACACCAAATCAGCCTCAGGTATGTTAAATGTATAGTTATACAATACTTACACAATACGATATAGAGACACCAAATCAGCCTTAGGTACAATATATACATACTCCTCATCCAATATTTAATACAGTTTACGTTACATAGAGAGATAATAATACACATCTAGATAATATTTCTGGGAAGGAAAAATTGTGTATACTGTAAATTTTGACAATTCTTGCAATTTACTTTGATTTGTGATGTTTTCAGAAGATGGGGGTACTAACCAGATAAACTGTGTGGTGAACCACCCCACCCTCCCTGTCACGATAACGGCCCACGAGGACCGCAACATCAGGTTCTTTGACAACACCACAGGTTAGTATCTATAATGATGGATTAACTCAAGATATACTCATACTGTTAGATTACAGTGTCTAAAATGACAGCTTAGCTCTAGATATAGTCACAGACCTGTTAGATTGCAGTATCTAAAAAGATTAATTTTACATCTAGTCCCAAACCCACATGTAATAGATTTACAGGTTTCCATCTAATGATAAAATAACTCTCTATTGATTTTTTTTCTCAGGAAAATTGATACACTCCATGGTGGCACATTTAAATGCTGTGTCGAGTTTAGCTGTAGATCCCAATGGTTTATACTTATTATCTGGAAGTAAGTATTGATTTCTTATTTTAAAATGTAAGGATGGTATTCTGTTGCAATGCAGTGCTATGTTATACAGCACTTGATGTTCACTAACTGTAAAACACAGTGCTTATGTGCCCAGTGAAAGCTTTTATTGTATTCTTTCAAGAAAATTTATTTGACATGATATGGTTGACTCGTGTATTTAAATTATTATAATTATCACTTTTTCCATTTTAGGTCATGATTGTTCAATAAGACTGTGGAACCTAGATAGTAAAACCTGTGTACAAGAAATCACCGCCCATAGGAAGAAATTCGAAGAGTCGATACATGACGTGGCATTTCACCCGTCAAAGCCGTACATAGCTAGCGCTGGTGCTGATGCCCTCGCTAAAGTATTCGTCTGACAGAGGAGGCGGACTAGAGACATGAAATTATACGGGAACTAGTTCATCATCCTTCATCTTCAGAGTCGTGGCCACGGGGGCTCCTCTGATGGAAGTAATCAAATATATCCAGCTATCGACACATCAGAGGGCGATGAATCATCTCAGCCATCGTGATCCTTCGTTAACTCTACACAAATCAGTTCTGCCAAACTATTGAAGGTGTGAGGATTTATAAAGGGGTGATATTTTGTTGCTTTATACGGCTGACGACGTCATGAGCCGGTGTGGCAGCCAGCTTGTGTGATAAAACTGTGAAAGCTTGTAAATGGAATTTGTACCAGCATGAATCGTATACGAGAGATTAAATGGAGCCTATCTGTCATGATATCTCTGAGAATCTCCAATATTTAAAGAGTTCTTGTGTATTTTTCTTATTGGATTTATTTTTCATGCTATAGACAATATTTTTTTTGTTTATTATCAAGTTCTGTAACTCAAGTACAAATGCAAAAAGAGCATTGTTGCATTGAAGGATTTTTCTCGGGGAAAGTTTTTGTACTTTACTCTCATTTATATGTATAAGGCTTGCAGATCTTCATGTCCACTGTTTACCATGCAGTTTCTTTGTGATATTTTTCTTCTGCAGAGATGAAATTTTTATATCAACTATCTTACATGTAAATTTAACAGTGTATTTATTATGAAATTATTTATAAACAAGAACAATAATTATGTAATATAAAAAATGAATTTTATTTGACAGAAGAGTGTGTATATGTATGAGTGAGAATTATTCAGTTCATATCATTGTAAATTAAGGCATCTGTCTACCTTATGAGGGCGTTGGTGATTTGCCCTTGGCAGATCATCTGCTTGGCAAAGCCATTGCCAGGGTGTTTGCGAAGTGTGAGATGGGTGTTTATTGTCTTGTTATGTTAATTTCCATCATCATTCAGATTGTAGAAAGGAGGTGCATGTAATCATTAATGACAGTGTTTACTTTAACATTAATTATGGTCAATCGTTACAAATACTGATAGAAAAGAAGATTGTATTATATAATTATATAAAGATTAATATATGTCTACCCATTTAAATTTATAGCTACATGAACATTTCTTAAGGAGGAATTATAGGCAGAAATAGAACAGTGAAGTTTATTTTATTTCCCCCACACATTACAAATTGTACAAAACACACGTTGCCAAAAACGTCAAGTAATAAATGCAGGTTTTATAGAGCAATACAGATTGTTTGTAAATTAGTGCTATTTAATTTCTTTAATCCATTTACTGGCATAGTTTTAGGCTGTACAGAATTTTGTATCAACAAAACACACAACATTATGATATAGAGATTTTTATGAGCTAACATTCAATGTTGGACTTCCATATTCCGAGTTTAAGTGGATATAATTTTTCCACACTGCAATAACTAGCCTGCCTCCTGCACGACTGGAAACTGAACAAACCGTGACATTGTTTGCAGACTGAGAGTAGGTGTGGTGCTGACATTGTGTACATAGTCCCTCCCCCATTGTATGCCAGTCCTGTAGTTTTGATCAGGTTGTATGATATGTTTTAATGTGTGTGTGTGTATATTGTCAATCAGAATTATACCACTATGTAATGTGCTTGAGGACATTTAAGGGATTATACATAGTCTAGTGTAGTCATTAACAAATCTAAACTCTCCCTCCCTCTCTCTCTCTTTTCTTTCTCATCTCTTTTGTTGTCTTAAGATTAAAAATAAAAACTTGTGAATGAATTATTGATTAATGGGGGGTTTCACATTATGATTCTTTTGTGTCATGCATTTTTTTCTTGCTTCTGATGAATTCTGTGTTCAGGAAAACTGTTGCGGACACTTTATGGTACAGCCATCCTCTGTATACATAGGCTAATAATAAACACATTTCTACAAGTATTAACCATGTTTTGTTTTATTTGTTAAATTAACAAAAAATACTATTAAAGTTGCTGATATATTATTGAGATATCACAAAAGTGAGGGCCATGAGACAAATTCTGTCCACTCGGTACCTTGAAGACTTAGTGTATGTTGTTTTACAGCAGGATTGTTTCAGTCTTCTCAATATCAGCACAAGGATTGATTGATTGCATATTGATTAATTCCCTCTAGAGAATTTTTCACTCATATGAAAACTTGCCGGTGAACAAATTTTAATTTTACTCGGCACTCAGGGCCATTGAAAAGTTAGTGATATTTTTGTGTTATATGAAAAAAATGACACGGAGAAAAAGTTTTAAAGCAAACGGAGCAACTTTCACTTCAAAGTGCGGAGTGCATGGCAAAGGAACAGTTGCTACCCATTTTTTGTCGAGAGGTCATGCCACAAGGATCATGATTGAGTAATGACCCTTCAAGTTCAAATAGTCATGACTTAAAGCTGAACATGTACCATGAACGGTTCAGCACAAGGAAGGGGCACATTTGTTTCCAAAACATATCTGCTTGAAAACTTGTGAACAAATTTACTTTGTACTTTCTCAAAGAAAAAAATGAGTTTCATTTTTGCTTTATATGAAAAAAATGCACTCAAAAGGGATGAAATTATCAAATTTGGAACTATGCAAAACAGGACAAAAACATCTTATTTTTGGTCAATACATTATTTACCAGAAAATGCCACAAAAAACATGTGATTGACCCTTCAAGTTGAAATAGTCGTGACTTAATTAGAACAATGCACAATATGGCGATGCTTCAGTATCAATATAACCATTAGGCCTTGCAATTCAGGAGATGTTTTAACCTGCATACATGTATTATTGCTGATCACCACGTTTTCTGGACATGGAATTGGCATTTATAAGCAGACAATGGGGGTTTATGTTATGTTGTAGTATACATCATCTTTACAAATCTTTCGTCAGACCCAGTATGGATTTCCATGTCACACTCTGGATATGGATGACTCCGTATTAGGTCCAAATCTAACTGTACAGGTTTAATTTCAAGTTACTGTAATTTTTCATCTTAAAAAAAACAAACAAACATTAAGATTCAAAACAAGAAATCCGGATTTAGATATTTTTTATTAATATGCTGTATCATGTAACAAAATTGGACGTCATATACAATGAAATTTAAAGACGGATGGTTGTCATCTCGCACACAAATTGTGTAGATCACAGTCATCTCTAAAACTCGTCTGACGAGAGATAAAATAATGATTGCTCAGGGTACACACTGTGCTGCCTATCGGGGGTCAGGCAAGCTAAAACAGGTGTGCTGCCTGTAAATGTTTCTGGTGAGCTGTGTAGCACTGAGCACTGCCCGACATACTCAAAATTCAAGGGGTGTGAGTAGCACTGTTGTCATTCATTGATCACTATAAAGTTTTTTTGGATGTTGTAACAACACACAACATTTTTTTTATGTTGTTGTGACACGTGACATTTGTTGATATCTCTGAGAAACACATCACAGATTTTTAGATGTTAACTGAACATGTATCACATGTGTAGAGTTACAGACACACTTCACATTAATATGTTCCTCACACATATCACCGACACACACGCCACAGCTAAAACTCCTTTTACACTAATAGTAAGGTCTTTGGGAATGCCCTTTGGCATCAACTGATTTAATTGGAAAGCACAAATGTCTGGATGATGAGATTCCAAGTTCCTACCACAGATAAAACAAACTGCTCACATCCTGGTAAAATGAAAGACTTCAGAATAAAACACTGTCTTCTGTTTCCAAATTGTCCTTTGTGTCCCTTCTGAATGACCTTGACAACTGACAAGAGCACTATATAAAGTTAGGGGACGACAGTCACGTTCTGGTCTGTCTTCCAGTTTGATTTGCATTGACTTTGATTGTAGTATTACTAATCTTCCATCAATGGTATTGTTCAATCACTATGCTCCATCAAATGTATTGATGGATCTGTATCTTCCATTGATGGTATTGTTTGATCATTAACTCTGACCACAGGTAATTGCTCAATCACTATCTTCCTCTACTGGTATGGCTTTTTTCCTTTTCTTTGGTCTTGGTTTAATTTCTTCATCCTGAATAAGAAATGCAATCAATCATTTCAGCACATATGTTCTGACATTACATTTTTTTTAGAAATGTAAACATGTTAAAAGAAAGTAAACTAAGACACTAGGAAATCTATCAAAGATTAAATCTTAACACAAAGGAAACACACCACACAATCATATACCGCTGTACATGTAAATGGTTTGCACTGTGAAATATTGGCCAGTAAAATGTGTCATATTTCTCACACAAGAATAAATTTTAATTTACGTTATTGAAATACATTGTATTAACAGGACTGCAATACAGGATACCGATCCGTTTCTTACCTCACTACTATCACCCGATCCACTACTGTCGTGGACGACCTTTTTGCTGATTTTCCGTGAGTTCCGATTGTCGAGCCCCATAGCTGCGCTGGCATTGGCTGCCTTTCTAGCTGGTACCCCACGCAACACACGTACAGATTTAAAGTCTGTCTCAATGTCGTCTGCTAATGCAAGCAGGTCACTGAATCTGAAGGAATATAAGAGGATGGTGTATGAAGTTCTCTCCAGCATATAGCCTTTATTAATACATCTTATTATATTATTTATTAACAAGTACATGTATGTAGAGAAATCAATCTTACTTTGTTTTCAAGGTTTCGTTGGACATTTGGTGAACTTGTTGCAGTGCATGCTGGATACTCTCATTGTTCAAAACTGTCAAAACAAACATAAAAGATTAAGGAACAGTGCGTTATGAACTAACGTCTTACAAGAGATTTATCTGTTAGGAACCAATGACTTACAAGAAATGTTTTTGCAAACTTGTCTCATGTGATCCAGATGTGACAAAATTTGTTCAATGCTGACGCCATCTTTCTTGGACCCTGCACTTCCAACCCTAAAATAGATCCAACAGAAGAATAAATGACTCAAGTAACAAAATATTCTGCAAAACGACCATGATCAATTCATGCTAACTTAGCACTCTAACCAAAAAAATTTACAAGGTAAACAAAATCAATAAAATTTGGTCTTTACCTTTGACGTTTCTTTGGAGTGCCATTCATTTTGGAGACCTGAGCCAGAATTATCTCTGCCAATTTGTCCTCATATTCCTGAGCCCAGTATTTCAGGATAGAAACCGTGAAGAAATCTGTCTTCTTAAAGTCTCGACATAGAATGGGTCGGATGAGATCAGATGAGGGCCTGAAATGTCCAGTAAAATAATATTAAAAAACAGTTGGAGCAAAGGGTAGAAACCGTTTAACTAGAAGATGTTATGTAATATGCATTTTTCACATAAACTTATTGTAACTACTCAGTCTGCATTACATGTATATATGTGGTAGACTTACCCTTCTTGTTTTAGTAGCACTAGTATACTGGACAATGCTTCTGCATGAGCTAGAAAACAAAAGACCAAGAACAGTAATATAACTTGCATTCAACTACATGAATGATGTTTTTTGAAATTCTTTCAAGATTACAGGTTCATGTCCATGTAAATTCAATTATAAGTAAAAAAAAGTTCATTTTGTTCAAACAATACATGTACATGTGTAGATACAAGATACTGGTGAGGAGATATATACCTGTATAGTCCAGTTTGGGGAGGACCGGCATGATGTAATCCACAGGGATGTTGTGGGCGGAGATTAACTGCCACAGGAAGTATTGTTCTAAGGTCTCCCACTCTAGGCTTCCATCTAAACAATAAATCAGAGCTGTTAGTCAGTGACATACTGTCTTCAATGGGTGCATGCAACTAAGCAAACACTGAGTTACTTTTGTAAATAAACATCGACTTGTATGTTAACAAACATGGACTTGCTTGTAAATTAATGAGCATGAACTAACTTGTAAGTTAATAAACATGGTCTTACTTGTAATTTAACAAACATGGACTTACATATACATATAAGTTAAAGTTAACAAACATGGACTTTTTGTAATTTTACAAACACTTACAAGGACTTACATACACATGTAAGTTGACAAATTGCCTTTTCTTGTAATGAACATAAACTTACTTAATATGGAAAGAAAGGAGTCCTTTCTAAACATTACAAGATGACCTTGTAAAATCTGGCAGATCAGTTCTTGTAGCTGTGAAAGAAAAGCATTAAATTACATGTTTATCTATTTTCTTCTTTCTCATAAATTACATTGACAGAGTATAAACTTTTAAAGTATTGACTGACCTGTGTGCCATCAATGGCTGATACGATCATGTGAAGGAGTTCTACATTTCCTATTGCTATGTTGGGAAACTGAAAACAAGAAACACAACATAAATACATCTTTTGATACACAAACTGAACAAATGGAAAAAAAACATCAACCCTCAATTATTCCGCTAGACAAAGCTCATTTGTTACAATAAATACTGTTGAAAACTTGAGATATTGATTATGTATATCTTTTTATTGTATAGATATCTTTAATGTATATTTTAAATTCTTACTAAAGTAAAGATATCTTAAATGTATATATATTAGGTTTTTACCATAGTAGAGATATTTATACTGTATATATATTGAAGTCTTACTATAGTATAGATATCAGGCATGAGGAAGGTAAACAATCGAACATCATCTTCTTGACATAGCTGAAAAACAGAAATATGAATTTTACATTACATTATCCAATATATTGTTTTTTTTTAATCTGTTAATATTGTTCTTTTTTAATCTATAGCAAGCATAGTTTTCATAAAATTTATTAATCACTCACTCACACATGGTAGTATACAATTACATGTGCCTAATACATATACAGGTATGTACCTGAGTACAGTAAAACTTGGTTATAACAAAGTCACTGGGACCTATGAAATTACTTCGCTTTATCTGTAATTCATTATATTAATATAAGAAATTTGTTAAATTTATATAACTGGGGATCCAAGATAACATCGCTATATCCATGAATTCGCAATATCTGTGTTCGTACTAACCAAGTTTTACTGTATTTCAGACACACCTGTATAATTTACCTGATACTACTTGTCTTACCTTCATGTCTCTCATTAAACATGAGGTCAGATCTTTGTTGTCCAGACTTTTACAGAAGTCCTTGTATGTGTTCATCTTCTCATCATTTACTTTGCTGAAAATGAAGACACATGGGATTAAATAGAGTGACGAGAAAGGGAGGTTATAACTGCCAATGCTGACAACTGTAGATCACAAAATTTCCGCGACACCTTATTTTCGCGAGATAGTCATTGACTCTTGATTAGCGAAACAAAATTTTCATGAAATGTGGTTATTTCTCTATATAATCTTAATGAATACTATTATATGCAAGAATTTAGTTTTCGCGAGCACACTATCTCGAGTAATTACGCGAAAATAGAGTTTTCGCGAATAAAAAGTGATTTTCAGTAAATCTTGCATACACACACGGTGCCAACAAGACAGGGAGGCTAATCAAACTGTAGTATAAACATCCCCTCAAACTTATCCCACTGATAATATCCTACTCTGTTTGTTGTATACCTCTACCTCTCTCTCATTCTCTTTTACTCAATAAACTTTCCTACCCAATTTGTCAAAGTACCGGTAAATGAGGCAAAATCCTATTCTGGCTTATTCCTTGTACATACAATACATTCTTTCTCATTCTATTTTTCTCCCCACAAACTTACCCGACTTTGATAAAGTAGAGGAGGTAGTAGCCTATCCTGGCCTGTTTATTGTACATTTCCCCCAAAAGCTGTAAGATGGGCTGCCTGTTTGGATCCTCCTCTGGCATAGTAGTTAAAAATCTACAGAAACCAGCAACATTTAACTTTAATTACAAGCTGAACTTAAACATGTGATGTCAAGTTCATGTACTGTTATGTTGTATAAATCTGATTTATTAAACACAGGGTTATCTTACCTAAACATGACAAATAAAGGTGATCCTATTGAATCTTCTATAGACCTGAAACAAAAATTCTTAAATCATATATAACTGAATCAAAAACCAGATAAATCTGTCATTTTTTTCCTAGGACATTACTTACTCATCATCGAGGTCTTTGGGGAAGAGATTGCTATTGAGTTGGCTGGACAGAATCTGACAAATGCACGCTGCTAACGGAACCGTCATATCCTGATCACACTCGTCCTGTAAAGAAATCAGAGAAAACAATAGGATTATTCTTATCTAAGTCAACCAATACAACAAATAACAATGTCAATTTACACTTAAAGCATAACTAATTCTGCTAAAATTTCATTTTTATAGGTCTTCTGCAAGAAAATAGTGACTGTTACAAAAGAATTCATTAGTGGGCAGATGATCTGCTTTAATGACATAATGAAAAGGCAATTGGATTTTGTAAATACACGACAAGAATCGATTATCAGATTTTGTGACATTCAGCAGCAAACTCAGTCCGCCCGTCACATGAATTCATCATCGATGATTTTAGATCATGTTTTGTAGAGTCAGATTCTGAACTTCTAACGTTCTAGAAAACTAACCAATCAGCAATGGCACTGCAGAGGAATATGTATCTCTGGGTGGGGTTAAAGGGATGAGAATGTGATATATTAGAAAGAAAAAAATCAGAATGAAAATTTATAAATCTGAAAGAAGGTGAGAAAAAAAGTCAGAGAGATTACTAAGGGGCACCTGTTAATCCTTACAGGGCCCTAATCAGGATAAACTGAACACTTATTTATTTACCTCTCTCAGTATTGTTTGTAGAAGTCTGTCCATCACCTCACACTGAATCTCCTGATCTCTGGAAATATTAAAACAGGTATAAACATACAGTATCACAGTAGTATTTAATGGAATAAAAAATCCCTTCATTTATTTTTAAATTATCCCTGTATATGTTTCTTACTTTTCGTCTCTGAGTTGGACAGTGTACTCGTAAATATCACCTCCCAGCTGTTGTAGATATTCGTCTAAATCCACTGCCTCATACCGAGTGTCTCGGATCGGTTGAAATGTACAGTCAGTTCGGAGCTTATCTGTTAAGATTAAAAAGTTCTCAAGTGAGACATACTAGAAACACAAAGCAAGCATACATTTTCCAACACCTTGGCAGATAATAAATGAGTTTAGAGGCTTACCTAGTGGAATATCATCCTCTTCGTCACTAAAAGCTGCGTCCAGATTATTCTCTACGTGATTCCCATTGTCTATTTCTATCACATCCTTGTTATTCAATGTGTCCTCTTTAACAACTGTTTAAAATGGAAAGTATCAATTGTACAAATTTCATGGCCTTTAAATGTTGGAAGACATCTACGTGTATATGACTATAAAATATTTCCACTACCTTCTTGTGAGCAGAATTCACTGAAATTTTCCCGAATGAGGATTCTTAATTCTTGGTCAAGTTTGTTGTTATCAAATAATGGTGACAAAGATCTGAAAAAATAAAAAAAAACATAGATAATTTGTGACAAAACCTCTTTAAACCTGGCATTTTATCATAAAAGTAATGTTGCTTTTTTTTTTTTTAAATAACTTGCAACCTGTCCATACATTTTAATGATATACTTTGAATATTTTAATGGTCTGCATAATTTAAAAATAATTCTGTATTTTTGTGGAATCTTTCATATAAATATAACAAGAGGCCCATGGGCCACATCGCTCACCTGAGCACTGTGGCTAGGAAAAAGTAGAAATTGGTTTATTATTGAAAAGTTTAAATCCAAAAGTAGTCCCATGACCAATCATGGCTTTGCTATTCTTGAGAAGAAATTTTTAAACATGTTCCTATATATTTCTATGCAAAAATTTTATTGGCCATTTTGGCCCCACCCTACCCCTGGGGGTCATGATTTGAACAAAAATGAATCTACACTACCTGGGGATGCTTCCATATTAATATGATCAATTATAGCTTTGCTTTTCTTGAGAAGAAGATTTTTAAAGAATTTTCCTATATAGTTCTATGTAAAACTTTGGTTAGCCATTTTGCCCCCCCCCCCCACCCCCCGGGGTCATGATTTCAACAATCTTGAATCTACACTACCTGAGGATGCTTCCATATTTATATGATCAATATATAGCTTTGCTTTTCTTGAGAAGAAGATTTTTAAAGAATATTCCTATATATTCCTATATAAAACTTTGATCTGCCATTTTGGCCCCGCCCTAACAAATATAACAAACTTGAATCTACACTACCTGAGGATGCTTCCATATAAGTTTCAGCTTTCCTGGCACAGTAGTTCTTGGGAAGTAGATTTTTAAAGAATTTTCCTATATATTTCTTTGTAAAATTTTGGTCGGCCATTGTAGAATGAAAGGGGGTCATGATTTGAACAAACTTGAATCTACACTACCTGAGGATGCTTCCATATAAGTTTCAGCTTTCCTGGCACAGCAGTTCTTGGGAAGTAGATTTTTAAAGAATTTTCCTATATATTTCTTTGTAAAACTTTGGTCGGCCACTGTGGCCCCGCCCTACCCCAGGGGGTCATGATTTTAACAATTTGATATCTACACTACCCAAGAATGCTTCCATATAAGTTTCAGCTTTTATGGCACAAATGAGAAGAAGATTTTTAAAGAATTTTCCTATATATTTCTATGTAAAACTCGGCCATCTCTCTCCGGGGGTCATGATTTGAACAAACTTGAATCTATACTACCTGAGGATGCTTCCATATAAGTTTCATCTTTCCTGGCACAGTGGTTCTTGGGAAGAAGATTTTTAAAACATACCACCAAATTTTTATTAATTCCCAATTATCTCCCCTTGAATGAGGGCGTGGCCCTTCATTTGAACAAACCTGAATCCCCTTTACATAAGGATGTTTTGTGGCAAGTTTGGTTGAAATTGGCCCAGCGGTTACTTGAATCAAGTCGAAAATGTGAAAAGTTTACAGACAGAAACGGACGGACAGACGGACTACAGACAAAATGTGATCAGAAAAGCTCACTTGAGCCTTCGGCTCAGGTGAGCTAAAAAGACAAATGTCTGAATTTTATCCCCCCACTTCTTTTTTGTGTTGGAGGTGATGGGAGGGGATACTTACTGTAGCACTCTCTTCTCCAGAATGACTTTCAGTGAGGTATAAATTCCTTGTTTGACTTGCTCATTTAATGGCAGACAAAAGTTTGGCATGATCTAAAATGAAAAAGAAGACTGACCTTTAATGAGATGCAATGCTTAACAGCTCTCTATAAAAAAAAACAATTGCTAAAAGTGCTATATTTGTCTCATTTTCAGAACAAGATTCCAATGTTTCTCTTGACTAGGTTTAGTTCCTTGGGTTTTAACCTACTGAAATACAGTACAAGTCTCATCCTGGGAAACCAACTCTATTTTTGAAACCTGACTATCAATACAGCGAACAAATATAATCATTAACTGTAAAACTACATGTATCAATTCCTTAGACACTTTTAAACACTAGATTATACGTACCCGGCAGAGAAAATCTAATAATGTAGCTGTAATGGCAGGATGAGGACGAATAGAATGAAACATGACTAATATTGCGGGCTCTGAAAAAAGATAAAATTCTAGTCTGAAATAAATTTTTAGTATTTCCTCTTCTTATCTACATTTAAAACTCTTCCTTAAATATGTGTACAAAATCTAGAATTACATCTGAAAACAAACTACAGCTTTATGTAAAATCAGATAGCAGGAAATTCCTTACCAATATTCATGATGCTATCTCTCTCGGGATCAAAAAACAACCAATCGTAGAATAATGCTAATTTGGCATTACAGGCTGCAACTGCTGACTGAAAATGAAAATTAACAGGTATTAAATACACAAAGCCATTTGTTGGCACATTCTGTACTAAATCCATTTTCTCTACAAAAAAATACTCAGCATGTTACATCCAACTGGATTTTTTTTTTTTAAGCGTATAAATTATTGACATCAATACTTACAGTACATGTGGTCAGCAGCCAACCAATGACAGCCCAGCGAGGGATGATTTCAGAACACAGAAGTTCATTAGGGGGGTGGAAAACGGCACAGATGTACCGAATCAGATCACAGCGCAGGGACTGACTCTCTGGGGTGGCCAGATACTGAAATAACGAGCAAAACTGTAATTACATGTACATATCACAAGGCTCAGGTCATAATAGATATGAACGAAACAGCAAAATTATAATAAAATGTGTCACACGGTGACACCGCAGTCACCATTAACAATGATTTTTTTTATTTTTTATTTTTTACAAATTTCAATAGAACAGACATTTTTGGTACTGAGCATTTGTTATGTAATCATTAACACTAGAGGTGTGTTTGTTATGTAAATATTTACAGTAAACAAGAGATACTGGTACAGTGAGTTTAATTTTTTTTGTTTCAATGCATTACCTGTCTCTGAAACCATTCCTGATATTTTTTGTGCTGACCAAATTTAACCTAAAATTCATAAAATACATAAAAATTAAATATATGTTTACATTATTTCTTCCATAGAAATTCACATCATATTTTTTATTCTTTAACAATTCTCAAGCTTTTTATAAAGTATATATGTAATGATGAAGACTTGACTTGGAAGTGATATTATTAGACTTGACTTTAATTTTACCTTTGTGATGAGGAACACCAGTTTGTTTTCCATGTCTGGAGTCAGTCGACTTATCAGGTATTTCCTGGACGTCCGTGTGTGCATCAGCTGTTGGACTCCTACAAAACACAATCACATCATGACAGAACATCATCAGACCATGACAGAACATAATATCAAAAGCTGAAACTAAAACCTGAACATTATGACAAACTAAATTTAAGATCTGACATTTCTAGCATTTTAAGATATACACTACATACCAGTAAATGTTGGACAGATTGCTGAAGGATTTAACATAATATCTCTCCACAGTTTTTCAAACTCTGGGATTCTTGCGACATTTTGTAGAAGACGAACTAAATCTCTCCCCACTGCTTGACAATCTGTCCACTGCAAAATAAATTACAAACAAAAACCACATTGTATAGAAACAAAATGAAAGATTTTTTGTGTGTAAAGTTTGTCAGCTGTGATGTATTTCATACCTTCTCTCGTAGAATGGAAATACAAAGATCCACCTCCTTCTGTCGTAGATTTACAAACATCTGTCCGTTGTGATCAACAATCACCCGGAGATACGTATATACAACCGTGGACAGTAGATTGGGGAATTTGTCCAACCAAGGTCTACAAATAACAAAAAGGTTATTCATAATTTTTCTATTTAAAAGTTCTTTAAAATTAAGAAAATGTTTGTTCTCCCACAATTCAACATTTCATGATAGAATCAATTTTTAATTTAGTCAAGATTAAACTTTCCAAAGTTCTTTTGAATTAAAAAGTTTGTATGACATGGCATGTATAAATTTGTGTATTATTTGTGTGTCAGTCTATTTGAAGTAAAGCATCCACTAACCTATTCTCAGTAAATATGTCCACCATGACTTCTGTTAACCAGATATTCTTTGGGGTTATATCACCACCTTAATGTAGAATAGAAGCATTGTTAAATCTTATTAAAATTATCAATTAATTTTTTCTTTGAAGATATTGGTCTATTTACTGATCTTGACTAACCTGCTATCTGTCTGATAAGACTATGACACACACTGTCTGCTCCAATAATTCCATTCTGTATCAGCTCCTTACATAACCATACAATCTGAAAAAGTTACATTCTGTTTGAAAACAATGTAATAGACACTGATAAATTTGAAAAATGAATTTGTGTTATCTTTTTTTTTTCCTCTGGAATTTTTATAAATTTATTTGGTTGTTTACATACCTGTGATCTTGTGTTGTCCAACAGCTTCAACCATTTCTCAAAAACAACTTGATTGGTTTTAGTCAATACAATGGTGAGGCCATCTCGGCTAACCAAAGTCATGTCTCTGTAATGCTTTAACAAGAAAAAGTTTATCTTAATTAATATCACACAACCAAGAAGTGTTATCAATCAAGCTGAAAATGATACAAGCAGAACTACCAACCTTTGGTGCCATTTTGGGATCCGTAAGAATCCCATATAGTAATCCCAACTGAATTTCTTCATGTTGTTGAGTTCCACGGCATGCCTAAAAAGAAAATAAAAAATAAGTTAGTCTCAAAAAATACCTATAATACACTTTTGGATATAAAGAACATGGATTATCAGGAAATTGTGTTTATAAGGAACTTTTTTTAGATGTTTTCATGATGTTGCTTAAAGAAACTTTAGATGCACATGTAAAGAAACAAAATTAGAGGTGACTGGTCCCTGTAACTTTCTTATAACAGAGTTTTACTTCAGTCTTCACAGCTTGATTCCATTCTGTGTCAGTACTTACATAGGAGTTAAGTGCATCGTTTGCTTCTCTCTCAGACAAACTATTCTGAATTCCAATTACTGTATTGTAACATCTCTCCAGTTTCTGCAATATCATTTGAATAGTTAGAATTTTAAATTAGAAGACATATAAGTCAATTCTGTTAAGAGAGTTACATTAAGTAATACAGTAGACCTTCAGATATCCAGATGCCAGATATATCTGGATGCTTCAGTATTCAGACAATTTTTCATCGGAATTAAGAGTGCAACGATAAACCGAATGACGGTATACCGCGGTTTATTTTTCCACAGTTAGGTTCACGATACATGAAACTGATATAATATTATGGTTCGGTTCAATTGGTCCGTAATTCTAGTGTTAGTGTTATGAGCATTTTATAAAACTTTTGAGTTTAAAGTATATGATAACAAATGTCTGACTTTTTAACCCAATATGTCATGTATCCTGATACGTATTGTACCGTGAACTGAATACTGTGATACGTATCGTATCATGGGGTAGCCATAGTATACCATTGCACCCCTAATCGGAATGGAATTTTTTAATGTTACTTTAATTGTCTTGTTTAACCGATAACGCAAATTATCACGCACATATCAAGACAAATTAACTAGGAACCAAAGCGTCCAGATAAATGAGGCTCCACTGTACACTCTATATATAATTACATAAGTTAAGATTCCTTATCATTTGTCAAAGGCAGAAGCATGTCTATGATTTATTTAACTTACCTCATTTACTTCATCTTTAGGTTCCAAAACAGAAGTCACCACAAGTTTACAAGGTGACAATCTTGCAGCTTGTTCCATTCTTCAATACAAAACTTATTTAATTGGACAGTCACCTCTGGTAAAATTACTTCAACATTATGTTTCAACTTCATTCATATTCCTCTATATACAAAGGGAGGTAACTCGAATATATTTAACTTGTCCGCCATATTTGTTGTCAATACTTGCGTTTTATACACTTGTTGGGCTAAAATGCATCACAAAATGTGAATGTGACCACTCAAATTTTTTCGAAAAATCTCTATGAATGATGTATGTGATTTTCAGATCAATAAAAACGGGTATTTTTGTCTAAAGTTGCGTTTCTTTCCAAGCTCTACTTCCTTTGCGTGCGCGTATCGTATTTGGGTTGATAATGTCGTGACGGCATACATTTCTAAAAATACGTTGTATTTATCAAGTATTAAATTTACAACGTTTTTGTGTTAAACAGCCAATATATAACATAATAAGATTTTTAATTTAATTTAAATGAAAAATACATGTATCTTTTTTTTTTACGACATTACCTCTGACAACTTCCGGCATTGTCGTGCACCGGTTACACGAGGAGGGATCAACAGATGATGCAATAAACTAGAAATAAACAAGATTTTTAGTATAAAATCGTGCGATTTTGTTACCTAATATTGTGTAAAGAAAGTCGAATTACGGAGACAAACATGGAGGGCGTAGAACAAGCTACACAGCAGTTAAAAATCGGTATGTCAATATGGTACTTTTTCAGACTGTCAAATCAGTGGATCTGTCTGCATAAATAATTATCCAATGAACATGTTTAAAGTTAGTCTTTGTAAAATATGACTTTTCATATTAGTTGTAATTAAGAGGCATATTAAATTTCCTTGACACTAAACTAAGCATAATTTTAGACAGCAAACTGTCTTGTCAAAATGACCAAACATGTTTCTAACATTAGTATCATGGTTTCAACTTTCAACTTTCATAGTTTCAACTTTCAACTTGTTTTTCTCATGATGATCATTACCAAAAAACAATGTATTAATCATTGTTTGATGTATAACAAATGAGTTCAAACCCAATGAAGGACAATAAATTAGGCTAAATGAACCTCTTTCATTGAAATCAGAGATAATAAACTGATCATTCTCAAAATTCCAAATTTCCGAGTATAAGCAGAGCCAACTAGGAACTCTGAAAACAGAGGTGGGATCAGATGCCACAGATGAATAAGCATCTCCTGTCAAAAAATCACACTGATCAGTCTATTGGACAAGTTCTTGGGTCATACAGCATTATGGGAAATTCATACTGAACACACAGGGCCTACATACCAAAAATCTTATGTAAAAAGTTAATCATGAAAAGATTAAGAACCAAGGAAATCTTGTTACTATTCTTGTATAATAATTGAGATAGTTCATGGTGTTAGGTTTACAATCTTTTATTGATTAATTTACCTCTCAAAAGTTACACATCTTTGAGCTCTCCCAGTCCAACTCTTTATTCAAAAAAGATATCAAGTTCTAATCTATACGTTTTAACAAGGTCTTCCTCCTTTGTTTGTTTAAGCTAAGGTACTGGTTTTTGTGACAGACCTCTAAACCTTGCCTATATATTTATTATATTATCTAAATACAGAAATGCTTGATGTTAAGAACTGTAGATCACCAAATTTCCCTGACACCTGTTTTTCTGAAGAAAAAAAATTATTTAGATTTTAAAAGTGGAACTTATGTTTTGCAAACTGTTTCTATGGTTCAATAATAGAAAAAGCAGTTACAGTATATGCAAAATTAATTTTTCGCATTGACTTTTAGAAAAAATTATCAAGTTCTGGTTTGTATTAAATTTGATAATGTAATCATTGGAGACAATATTGACGAAAATCAGAAACAAAACTTTTTTAAAAATTTAGTTTAGCAAATTAGTTATGTTACTGTTTAAAATTAGAATGGTATGATTTGCAAGGACAACTATAAGAGTTATAAAACATATCATACATCAAAGCTTTAGGTCATGACAACCATCTTATTTGCCTTAGAAATAATAATTTTCTAAAAAACTTTTTTTCCCTGTTAATTTTACTAGATAAATTTCCGGTAATGTGTGTAAAATGTGTATCATGTTACACCTGAGTCACCTGACAGGTGTAATCAGACTACCTTACAATGTCATTTTGTAATTCAGGTGAGATTTACACCTCCGAGACAACAGGAAATGATGATACAGGCGATGGCACAAAGGAAAAACCCTTCAAGACTATTCTTAGAGTAAGACAGTAAAGTTATAAATAGAAAGAATTCTTGAGTTTCAGCAGCAAGATGCAGCTGTAACAGATAAACCATTTTATTCTTAATAATCTTCCTAATAAAATCAGATTAGTTTTTACATTGTAGACAACATTTCTTTTTATTTCATGATATACAATTATAACTTGTATTTTCATACTTACCTAAGTTTGGAAATAATCATTATTTTTTTTTTTGATGATTTTTCATGAATATATAAATATTGAGCCTAAGGTTTTAAAAAAAATTCCTTATTGTGCTTTTTTTCATGTATAAATATAAGAATTGATTTATTAACTGTTGCTGTATTCCAGGCCATGAAACAGGCGGGACAGGAGCCATTTCCTCCCATCTATGTCGACAGTAAAAAGGAGAATGAGGTAGGTAAAACAAATCAGAAAGTAATAATCAGGAGAATAAATTATTATCATTTACAAATATAAGAATTGATCTATTAACTGTTGCTGTATTTCAGGCCATGAAACAGGCGGAGATAAGTCGACAGTAAAAAGGAGAATGAGGTAGGTAAAACAAATCAAGGCTAGGAACCCCAGGATAATCAGTAATTGAGACAATGACAAAGGTATTTAAAAGTAAGCATTTTTTAAAAATAAAGTTAAAATCATGTACTAAGATAAGCAATTTGTTTTTCATTTTGATAGAAATATGAAGTCGCTTCAAAGTCACAGCTTAAGAAGATCACCAAACAGTTTGTGAGGGACCAGCATAAAAAGGCAGACCTGACAGCCAGAGAGGTCTGTAACATCAGTAGATGTGTTGTTAAAGGTTGTGTTAGCTCATTATGCAAAGTTATAGAGAGGCAGTAAGTGCAGTTGTCAAGCCATGTGATTTCAGTTGGAGAAAATTCTTTTCAGTTATTTATCATATTTTTAAGAGTGTTTTCAAATATTGATGTCTTTATTTATATGCGCATCTATGGAATAGTTTCTGTAATTAAATCTGGTAAAAATCGTCCAGTTGACCTGACTTTCTTACTTGTAGGCAGAAGATGCTGAGAGGCGAGAGAAAAACTTAGAGGAGGCAAAAAAGATTGTGATAGAACTAGACAAGTCATTGCCAGCCCCTCAGCAGGTGGGAAAATTGATCTGAACACTCAGAATTCATCTTAACATATACAATTCTAGACCATGACATGTTTTCCTGAGATAGAAAAAGTTTTATATGCATAGATCAACAACATTGATGATTAAATACAAAGGAAACTTGTATGTAATGATATGTATAGTATGTCTGAATATCAGTTTTCTATGTTTTTGTTGTAGATTAAGATTCGTCATGCTGTTCAGACGAGGGATGTCAGGGTCAAGATTTTTGGTTGGGTGCACAGGCTTCGTCGTCAAGGTAACACAAAATTTCAAGGTGTAGACTTTTAAAAAGTATTCAACATTATACATATACTTTGTTTGTTTAATAAATGCCATGTTGTTTTCTTTTAGGAAAGAATCTCATGTTCATAGTTTTACGTGATGGAACTGGTTTCCTGCAGTGTGTACTCTCTGATAAGCTGGTAAGTCCATATAGGCTGAATCTAATTATATCATGATATGGATAGACTAAAAATACATGTTAAATCCATTTTATTGCAAATGGGAAGCAGAGTGTTAATTTTCTGACGTCAGCTGATTTTTTGCTTTTAGTGCCAGACATACGATGCTCTGCTGCTGTCAACAGAGGCTGCCATTTGTGTTTATGGTGTTATTAAACAGCTGCCAGAAGGGAAAGTGGTAGGTCCATGTTACAATATGTCCAGAAAGATTTCAGTTTCATTTCTTGTGAAAAACTTTTTCTGAAACACTGGTATCCATTTACAAGCATCTTTTACAAAGACAGATAAATTGTAGATTATTTTTTCCATGAATGAAGCAAATCTTTGTTTCACTGAATGATTTTGATTTAATTTTCAACAGTTTTCTTTTTATATTTTTATATTAAAATGAATTTGTTAGTTAATTTATATTTGTAAATGATTGATACTTATGCCTGAGGACAGTTGAGGTCAGTGCACTTTATTTCAGGCCCCTGATGGACATGAGCTGAACGCCGACTTCTGGGAACTGATTGGACCGTCTCCACCAGGGGGCGCCGATACAATCCTCAACGAGGTACAGAACTTATAATGACGTACCAGCGATTTGATATTTAAACAGTTACATGTGAATGGTAATGATTGTAAAAAAAGTAACACGCTGAAATATGAGATATCATGATAAATCTATATTATATTTCATCATTTTGTAGGAGGCTCACGTTGATGTGCAATTAGACAACAGACATATGATGATAAGAGGAGAAAACGTAAGTAAAGTCAGGATATTAATAAATATCATAACAATGACTGAAATATTTTTTTTAAAATACTTTATGATTAATATTTTGTTTCCAATCTGTTTGATTCCCTTACAGACCTCAAAGGTGATGAAGATGAGGTCTATTATAATGCAGGCCTTCAGAGACCACTTTATTGACCGAGGCTACTACGAGGTTAGTCATGGAATGATATACAGTCAATCTTCAGTATCTTGAACACTGATATCTTGAATCCATTGAGTTTGATGTAACAATGTTTGAATGAATGAGACTTAGAATAATTAAACTTGGTTAATAAATGTTTTTAAATAGAAGGTATGTCAATATCCAGTTCAAGATAATGAGGTCTAACTGTATCATGTAAATGTTTATCTCAGTAAACTCATCAATCATACTTGGTTAAGTTATATACATGTGCATGTGTGTGTATTTTCTGAAAGATTTCCTTGAAAACACAACTTATTTATCCCTTTTTTTGTTGTAGTAGAAATACATACTATATTATTATCCTATATTTACAGGTAACCCCACCCACTCTTGTACAAACACAGGTAGAAGGAGGATCAACATTATTTAAGCTGAACTACTTCGGAGAGGAGGTAAGGAAATGTCAGATTCAGATTCCTAATATGAATTTATCCCCCCTCATCTTTGCAGTGTCTGGCTAATTATTTTCATTTACAGGCTTACTCTGACCTGAAGTTATTTCCCCCTCATCTTTGCTGATTTTAACTCACTATTTCCTTTTGTAGGCTTACTTAACCCAGTCGTCTCAGCTGTACCTGGAGACCTGTATACCCTCCATGGGAGATGTGTT